GTAATGAATCTTAAAGTGAATCATTTATTTTTAAATCTTATTCTCGCTACTTTCGAAAATTCGGCTCGTGTGCTTCGCACCGCATTTCGTAGTCGAGTGAAACTCGAATACCATCTAGTTGTAATTGGAAATCGAGTCATGAATATGTATGATCTCTAGTAAAAAAAACAGAAATCCAAAATATAGTTTGTCACGACTTTGTTTTCAGACATATTAATTTGCATAAAGTCTTTGATAAGGTGGTTGATGTTCCATAGAACTTATTATTATTATTATTATTGAATGTGATGTTAGAAGTAATAGCTTACTCCTATGCATAAAGTCTTGTTAATAATTTAATTTATTTCAGGATCTTAGAAACAAGTTAAGGTTTAAAGTTTCCTTTTCATGGGACGCCTATCTTCGTATTTAAAAATAGACACGGTCTCTTTTACATTTATGGAGTTAAGGGTACTATAGTTTGTATGGGTGTACATTCAAGCCGATAACATTTATGATTGACATTAAAGGATTGACAGCAACTAAAAAGAAATGTTATTTTCTTATGACTTTGACAAAGTATAAGACAATTATTGAGTCGAAATACGATTGGACTATATTTCTGATTTCATTGAGATTCTAATCTATTGTACTACTTTTTCTTTCGTATCATTTGCATTAAGATTCGTTATTATCGATATGAAAACAATGATGATTATGATGTAGTTGTTTCGAAAAAAAAATTAAAGCTAACTTTCTGTTGAGAAGACATTAAAGAATTGAAATCCATGCAAGTCAGATTATGCAAGTCAATGGAACATGGGATCTTTTTTTTGTCACTTCTATACAAAAGAAAAATGAATTATTAAACGATGAAAAGGCAATGTTAACTACAAGTGATTGCATTATGTCGAATAGGTATTTATGAGCCCTGGAATAAAATTTAATTAATTTCTTCACAATAGTTTTTTGCTAAGTTTGAACAATAAATGAATCAACCTCAACATATGGTGTGACAAATTATTTTAATCAAACTAGAAAGAAATCTAGAATATTAAACATTTCATATAAGATTTATTAAGATTTATACATGGCGTACATTCGATAAATGTTATTTAGATTGAATTTAAAAGCTATGGCAAAAATTTCAAAAACTATTAGTTTCATTATTTCCCAAGTGTCTCAATAAGTTCAAGCGATGATATATCTCTAAACAATTTAGTTTTCTTTTTTTTTAAATTTCAGTCTTGTTTAACAGAGTAAACTAATGAGTGCATAAAAATCCTCATATTTCAATCTATTACTGTCGGAGAATGTTTTCCTACTATTCTTACTGGGATTTCTATTTTTATGTTATGTGCGTCAGAAGCTTTTTTGTCTTTTCCTTGTTCTCTAAATCGTAATCATCGATCTAATTTTAAACTTTATTCCACAATGTAAATGGTTTCTCGTGACAAATGACGATTGAGATTTGCACTTGCTCGCTGCGTTTCTTATTTACTTTCATTGAGCATACAGCATAAGTCAACAAGTTTCTTTTTTTTATGTACACTATAATCAATTGGAACGACATTCTTTTTAGTTGTTAGAAAATTTCTGAACTACGTTGAGTCTCAAAACAAATTTACATATCATAGTCAAGGCTCTCAATTACGCAGAATGTGGATTAACAAGCATTCTCTTACAATTCATGTCACTTTATCGTATTGCTCTATCTAGGTAATTTTTACCTATAAGCCTGAAATAAATCTTATCTTAGAAGAAAAGAAACGAACGTTATAAATAAAAAATTAGAATGAATAAGGTCATTTTTCTGCTTCCGAAAAAAAATAGCTTGATTTATTCTGTCGGAATGAGGTCAACGATAATATCTGTTCATGTATTCCAAGAGTTTTTTTTTACGGAGAGTTCTCAATTGATTTTTTTGGGTCTGTTCTTGTGAGCATCCTGTAGATGTCACTATCCAACATCAACAGTGTTACGCTCTAGTTATTATCCGTTCTGTTGCGTAATCCATTGGAAAACACTATTCACGTGATAGTGTTAAATTATATTACGCACTTAGATTATTCCTATATATGTATCCGTTGTTTCTCTTTCTCTCTCTTCTTCTTCTCTTTATCATCTCTACTGCTGGTCATATCCATGTTGATCGTTCATAACCAACATTAATAAATTATATACATGTATTTCTACGTGGCTTCATATTCATATTATGTATGTAAGCTTATATTTATATATGTAAAGAAGACATAGCTTCAGTATATATCCCCTAACATAAATAGAAGCTAACAGTTCTGTTCTAGAACAATATCAAAAGGCTTCATTTATCATATATAATCTTTGTAGCAATGTGTTTGTTCTTTAGAATGCGAAAGAAAGTTATTTTCTGTTTTGCTCTACTATTATTATAAGTTTTCAAATTTCGATCAAAATAAAATATTTAACATTACTCATAATCAATATTGGTTGTGAAAGTATGAATCATTAAATGATGAAATAAAATTTTTTTTCAATAATTTCATCCAATCAACTTTCAAAAGACAACTATGTATTTGTTGCTACACAAGACAAGCAAAACTTTCAGCATGGGAGAGAACGATAAAAGAAAATTTTCTTTTATCGTGATTAATCACCCTTGACATACCACCATCAACAATGCTAATAATATGAAACTCTACAAGCGAATCATTCTTTCTATAATAATCTTGTGCAACCAAATGAGATAAACAAACGACTAGTGTTGCTTTTTTTTATTGCTACTGAAAGATGTAAAAAAATAATTAATATTTTGACAATACTTCTATCGACATCTTCATAGATGGATATACCTTTGATTGAAAAATAATTTTTTTCTCTCAACTCCTTTTCTCCCAATGGAAAAATATCAGTACGTCATTTCTTTTTGTAAGATTATCTGTTATTCAATTTAACCAAAACTATGGCAAGTAGTGCTTCATCGAATACTGTACGTATTGTGTGTATAAGTGATACTCATTCACGGTATCATTTTGCACTTCCACCTGGTGATATTCTTGTTCATGCTGGCGATTTTACTTTATCTGGTCAACAAATTGAAGTAGAAGATTTTATAAAATGGCTTAAAACTTTAAATCAATATCGTTTAAAAGTAATTATTGCTGGTAATCATGATCTAACGCTCGAACCTGAATTTTACGAGCAAACATGGCAAAAATGGCATCATAGAGGAAAAGAAGATTATGAAAAAATAGGACAATTAATTCGTGACCCATCATTAGCAACTGACCATGGAATTATTTATTTGGAACAACAAGAATTTACTGATGAAAAAACAGGATTGAAATTTTTTGGAAGGTAAAGTTAATTTTTAAAAAGGAAGCAAGTCCAAGATTTTCTATTTCCTAGTCCATATCAACCTGAATTTTGTGGTTGGGCATTTAATTTGCCTATTGATAGTCCTCAAATCGCGGAAGTTTGGTCAAAAATACCGAATGACCTTGACGTACTAATTACTCATGGGCCACCTGCTAACATACTTGATACAACTTTTACTGGTGAACATGCTGGTTGTCCGCGATTACTTACACGTGTTCAACAAGTCAAACCACGATTACATGTGTTTGGTCATATACATGAAGCTTATGGATGCGTAGTACACGGTTCAACTACGTTTGTGAATGCATCAACGTGTGATTTTCGTTATAAGCCGAGCCAACCACCAATTACTGTTGATTTAGAAGTAAAAGGCACAAGATGAAATTTATTATAATTTTTGTCATATATATTTATATATATAATTAAGAATAAAAAGACACGAGAAATAAATACACAATATTGAAAGGATGACTCACTAAAAAATATACTGTTTAGACATAAGTAAATATTTAATTTCTTGCACGAACAACAGAAAAACAACACAACAAACAACATGGAAGGAGAAAAAAATAAAGAGATAGAGACACAGAAAAGCAAATAAGTGCAAGAGGGTCAATGAATTAGTGTTGGAATGACACAAAGAGCTGTTTATTTTTCGTTTTAAATTTCAATTAAGACCTATTAACCAGTGCACGAATAACTCGTTTGATGGCTTCTTTGGTTGAATCATCTGCTTCTGAAGGCTCTGGTTCACCATCACTCGATGGTGTTGCTGTTGCTGTTGCTCCTGAACTGGGCGTAGTAGCAACTGGTGTTGGCTTGGATTTTGGACGACGTGATCCACGGGGCTTTTTTGTTGGTTTGTCGCCATTTAAACTATCCTTTGAACCACCGGGTATTGACTCACCACTCGCCGATGGCACAGCTGTTGTTACACCACCAGATGGAAGAGCAGGTGTCTCTGACTTAACTTTCGATCCAATCCAAGCTAGATAAAAGAAAAGGTGGTTCAGATTTTTATTTACACATGTTTCCTGCTAAATAATAAAAGCATAAGAATAACATGCAGTATCACAAGTACTCATTAGGGATAATAAATAAAAAAATAAAAATAAAACGAAAATCAAACAACAAAATCTTTACCTATCACCACAATAGCAAAAATTATGCCCACGACTCCCATTATGATCATCATCTATTAATCCCCGTTACAATTTTTTTGTGATTATTCGATCATTAGCACAAAACAAAGCATTTTAGCGTACCTTCATATTTTTCCACCAATATTTTCGTTTTAATTTGCCTGCATGTTGTTCAAATTGCGCTGCATTATGTTGTAGTTTATCTTAAAGAACAGAAAAAAAGAGCGTAGTTGGTTTTTCTTTTTGTATTCAAAAACAAAAACACAAAAACATTCGTACCAGCTCGATCGTCGAGAAGTGACAGATTTTTGTCACGTTCTAACACCTTATCAACATTTTGTCGCATAATATCAACAACTTCGTCCACTTGAGCTTGTTGTTGAGCGAGACGCTTCGAACCACCACCACTGGCACCACCTGGTGGACCTCCTGCACCATTAGTTGTCCTAGGAAAACACACGAATTCATTAAAATCCTAAGTAATCAATTGTCTGCAATTGGATAGCTATACTTACATGATATAATTTAATTTAATTTAACAAGATAATTAGAAAATAGAAATATCTAGAAAAGAAAACGTTTTAGTAAAAACAGAAGAAGAAGATACGAGAGACCGAATATGAAGATGACAGAATACGAAATGTCACCAGTGTTGATAGGTTTTTCTTTTTGCGCAGCACTACTAAGCTTTCGACGCAAGAAAAATGTACGTATGCATAATACATTCAGAAAAAAGACTGGCACGAATGAAAGATAAGATCCTATCAACGAATGTGAACGTGAGAGAATGTATTAAAGCGCAATATCAAATAAATAAATAAGGACAGAATACGAGCAATAGAAAAAGCAGAGAACATATGAATGTGATTAGTAGGTTTCCTTTATTTGTTGCGCGAGGAATGAAAATACATAAAATAAGCGTACAATCAGTACTAAGACGTAACGTGCGATATATGTATAAGTATAAATATAGTGTTCTCGACCAAAGGAATTCTAAAATAAATAATTTAATTAAATATTAACATAAAAATAAAACTTTCTTACCTTTTTCTGTGAAGTTATTTTCCGTTGTTATTACTTTTAACCGATTGAGTAATAGCAACTAAAACATAAGTATACATATATGTAAATATAAATATTCTATTATTTTCTTTTTATTCTTACCAACAATAACAATAATCAAAACGATCTATATACAAAAAAAAATATATAGATATATATATATATATATAGACAAAAAATATTAAATATGATTCATCACTTACAATAACAATAATGAGAATGATCCACATCTAAACAAAAAATACATAAATATGAGTGATTTTTTCTTCTAAATAGATAACTAACAGCAATCGCAATCGCAATCACACAAAACAAATGTACCTTTAAATGTTCAATTAACATCTTACGCCTTAAACGTTTCGATAAATACATAAAGTCATCAGCTCCATGCATTAGTTTGTCTGAATAATAAAAATTCGCTTACTCAAATCTCAACAAGCATATTTTTTCTTGAGCATTTTGGTTTTTTTTACTTAAACTTAAAAAAATCAAATATACTCACTTTAACATTTTTCCACCAGTATTTACGTTTTAATTTACTAGCATTGGTTGTAAATTGTGATGCACCAGTTTGTAAAACTTCTACAAAATATAATTTCTCATAGCATAAATCAACAAAAACAATCGTATTAGAAGCATGAATCTGAAGAGCAGCATTGCGCTATATTTATACTCTTTTTTTTTTGTTGAGCTTACCTGCACGATTTTCAAGTGTAGTTAATTTGGCATCACGTTCCAATACTTTATCAAGATTATCTTTCATAACATCAACGACCTGTACAAGACATGCATACATAAACAAATTTACATAAAGCAAAGGAAATAAAACTATTCGAAATAGATAATTTTAATTTCGCAAGCTAATTAATACATTCACTAATTAAATAATAAGTAAAATCACAAACCTGATTGACATCAGCTTGAAGATTATCAAATCTTTTCGATGATTGATATTGTGTTGCGCGTGGTGGATTTTCATATGAAGATGCCCTATAAAAACGACAGGAGAGTTTTTCATCATGGAACTATTCATATTTTCGAGTTACTAACATTGTTTGATTCAATTGCGTGTGGTTAAAATATGGTATAAATCTGAAAAAAACAACAACACGTCAAGTCAAACATCCGGAAAACTAGTGAATATATAGACGCCATATTGGCTTTGGTGTCATATTTTCCTGCACGATAGAGATTCTTATTATATTTATTATACTAGCGACAAACAGAACAATTTTATTAAAAATATCATTTGACGATTTCTATTGTAATAGGAGCCAATCATTGACAAGAAAAAGACAAGTACTATACTTTTTGCTAGCTGTAGAGATTTTTTGATAGATGAGGGAAGCAAGAAAATCGAATTTCATTATATAGCTAATACCTTATATTACTTTTAGATGGCATCAATTAATTTATCTGATGATTTATTGAATAACTTTGAAGAATCAATTAAATCATTTGTTGCCTTTCTTCTTCAAGATCCATGTACAGGTTCAAGTTCAGCTGTAGCATCGGCTTCATCATCTGAACACAATGCAGCTGCTGTTGAACAACATATGAATCGCATATATGAATCTGCAAATGTAATTGAATCTAATTTATTACAATTGAAAACATTAGTTAATCGAACATTACCTGTAGAACAAATACTTGAAAATATAACTGATTTACGAACAAATATTGAACGAAAAGAAACATTATTACGCGAATTCAATCAATATTTAAATGATGCTATTGCTGATTTTAGTGCTGAAAATACAGAAAGTCTCAATGGATTACTTGATGAATTAAGTCGTGGTACGACAACAACATCGGGTTTAACCAATGCAGATCTCGGTGATAGTTTATCGCAAACAGCAGCAACAGCAAGTCAACCTTGTTAGTAATCAAAGTCTTTGTTTTCTTTATCAAGTATTAGAGAAAGAACAATAACTTTTGAACTATTTCCTTTCGTTTAGTTTTTTTGCTATACGAATGATTAGAAAAACTTAAATTTGCAAAAATTCTTTTCTCTTCTAGCACTTCTTGGCAATATGACACATTCCAATCCACCAACGTCAGATTCTTCTCAAGATTCTCTTCGACAATTTTTGAACTAATTCAGTGTAAAAAAAACTCGTAGAGGCTCAAATCGTTATAAACGTTTATTCTTGAATAAAAAAGCATTGTCCAATGGAAGAGAAAATAGAGCAATGTAATTGATAGAATTTGATATTTTAGATACTTTCATTTATGGATCGACGTATTCTATTTGATAGTTTAATTGAATGGGTATACAAAAAAAAGAATTTGTTTTTTCCTCAGATATAATTTCAATGAATTCTTTTATTCAAAGATGAAAACATTAAATTTAAATGGAACTGAAGATCTTTCAGATGGTAGAACGATTGCATTGTGTTTGAATAATATGTTCGTTGTAGATTTCTTTACTTTTATTATGTGAAAATAAAATTTTCCTTTCCAGTGACTCGATTCATTTTAAGAAAGTTTGGTTGCAAACAATTCGTACTGATAGCGAAAATAATTGTCGAATAAAAGTAAAAGAAAATTAAATTTTTTCTTTTCGAATTATTCATCGCATCTATTATTTAGGCGAAGAATCTAAATGAAATCCTCGCTCATATAATAAATTACTATTCAAAAGTATATTTTATTTATAAATATAAATATAAATTAAATTCTTTATTATTCTTAGATATTCGATCAATCGCTAATCGATTTTCAAATGCCTAATTTAAATATGATCGGTAAAAAACTAAGTAATCAATAGGGCTATGTTCATTTCGGATGTATTTCTAGCGGAACGTGTTGACGAAATTGAGCTGAGTCGACTTCTACAACTTGTTCTTGGTTGTGCTGTTAGTTGTAATAGAAAAGAATTTTATATTGAACGTATTATGTCAATGGAAAAATCAGTTCAGCATATTCTTATGAATGCTATTCAAGAAGTATATATATATAAGCTGATTGCATTCTGATCAGCCAATAGAATTTGATCTCATTTTTAGTTAATGATAAAAGATAATCGAAAAAGTCAAGAAGATTATTCTGAAATAGAAAATCAAGTAAAAGGAGTTTTCTTCATCAAGGTTGATCATTTCGTTTATTTTTAGTTAAAACAAAAATTCGAAGAATTTAATCGAGTTATTAAAGAAAAAAAAGACATTGAAAATCATTCTCATGAACTCAGCTTACAGGTTTTATATTCACAAATCAATTTAAACAATTAGATAATCTTTTTAAGATATCTGCACTTGAAATGGAAAAACTTCACTTGATACAACAAACAACAAAACTAAACAAATGTATAGAGACATTCGAAAATCGTTCCGAAACAGAGTAAATATTAATTATTCATTTTTTACTCAATGAGACGATCGTGACCAGAGCTCCTAGAGTATCCAGCCCATATTTAACTGATTTTAAACCAATCCAATTTCTAGATCATGCATCTTGTTTTCGAACAGATCAAATTCATATTCACACAAACTCTCTGTAGAAAATCAAATAACAACACGACATGAAAAAATGACAGAGAACGATGACGTTGATTGAATAAAAGCCTAGTTAATTTTTTAGCATGAATACACAATTTTACCATTCTATTGTTTCTCTAGAGAATATCTTGAGTTCACATTGCCTTACTTCCAGTATGTGACGGAGATATTTTAACGATTAATGAGTTTTTGACATTGCACTACCGAAGGCTTTATTATGTTCAATCTACAGACTACTTGAAGAAAATTTCATAGAATACTAAAGAAGATCGGTGAATACTATGGTTGGTTATGAGATAACCCGTAAAGAATCTTTGAATCCAATTCACTCAATCGAGTTTTCCTTACTTAAATGTTTCAGTTATTAACAAAAAGTTCAACACATGACTTAGGTTCTTTGTGACCAATCAAGAGTTAGCGACTCGCAAGTTTCATAGGAAATACTAATTGACTTCTATTTGACAATTTTAGTACAGTTCCAATAAGTCGTTATAGAATTTTACAAGAAGAAATTCAGTTTCAACAAGAAGAAATACTTAAACTTGAAATCGGTAAAATAAAACATTGTGAATATTACTATCTATGCTATTTTTTTTATAGCTGTACAAGACTGTAAAACTAAATGCGATACTTTACATGAAGACAATGAAAATCTTCTCAAACGAGTAAAGTCACTGTCTTGTGAAAACAAAAAGAAATTGTTTTGTTTTAGAACGATGATCTGATGAAACTAGCAGATAATGCACGAATTTTAAAAGATGAATTAGATGTTTTTCGAAATGAATGTGAAAAAATGGTTTGTTTTGATTGAATGAAAACTTTTTGATGAAAATATTTTGCTTTACTTAAGACTAGATTACAAACAACAATTGATAGTTATAAGATTAAACTAGAAGAAATGTGTGATCTTCGAAAACAAATTAAACGTCTCGAAGAAAAAAATCTTCGTTTACTTGAAGAGAAATCTCATCTTGAACAAGAGAATAAACATGCAAAACTATTACAAACACAAGTTGAATTTCATAAAAAAACACATCAAGAATTATATCGTAAAATGAGTGAACTTCAATGTTTAGCGGATAAAACTGAATTTGAAAAACAGCTAAACGAAGAAAAATTAAAAAGTATCAACGAAGAAAAACTAGTAAGAATCTAATTCAATAGATCAAATAAATTCATTTGGTTTCTTTATATACAGAAGTTAATCGATGAAATACAATTGTTAAGAAAAAGAAACGAACAATTAGTGAATGTTGATCCAGATGATGGTAATCATAAATCGATAAAAAAAAAGTTCGTTTTAAAATCATTTTCTATAGTTCCTGAGGAACCGAATTCGAGTGATGTATTAACTGGAGCACTGGCAGATCTCAATATTTTTCATTTACCAGCTGAAATCAGGTAATGATATGTTAACCGGTACTCAACATGAGTTCTGCATTGGAATTAGAACTTCCCAGTTCATTATGCTAAACTGTTAACTTTGAGGAAATTTTCGATAGCGGTTTATATATCGCATCCGTCACTTAGTTACAAAGTCATAATCGACTGTTATATTTTGATTATGATCGACAGAGTACTGATTAAACGTACTCAAGATGGAAGTGTTTATAAATTTCCTTTTCAAGATCTTTTGACTTCCGGAATGTCTATGAGTTGCACTATTATCTTAACGTATAAAGCTCAAAATCAATAATAAAAACTGTTTATAGAAGTCAAGATGTATTTAAATGAAATTTTTATTTACGACTCTTTTAGACAACATTTTATTCGTTTACAACATGAAAATGAAATGTTAAAATTGAGTCAAACCGAAGAGAATAATAACGAACGTGTCTTACTGCTGCAAGCAAATTATGAACAACTTAAAAATCGAAATAATCAATTAAATAATGAACTTAGGTAAATAAAAATAATATTTATTTTCCGGGTTCATAACAACATTTCTAATTCTAGAGTATCAAATCAGAAAATTCTTGAATTAGAAGCTACAGCGAATGATTCAGAAAATACTATTGAAATGACTAATCTTAAGAAAACACTTAATCGAACAGTATCCTATCATGAAGAAGAATCAATACGAATTAAAGCTCGAATTAATGAACTACAAAAACGATTAGAGAATGCTGGTAAATATTAACATTTTTCTTTCTTTTGGTTCGAAAGAAATGAATGTTTCTTTAGAGAAACAATTAATTGAAAAAGATACAATTATATCGATAAAAACATCTGAATTAGCTGCCATTAACGAACGGTATCGAGAGTATTTAGAAAAAGCTAAAATGGTGTTACGTCAAATGGTCCCACATAATGACAGTTCATTAGTAAATCAAGAACTTCACTCATTACGGAAAAAGTCTCATGAAAAGAATAGAAAATTAAAAGATCTTCAAGTAAACATTCATTTAATCTTTTTTCTTCCTCTTTACTTTAATTTCTGTCTTATAGAAACAATACGAAAAAGTAAAAAGTATGAAAGAAAGTCAAGAGAAATTATTCGTGAGTGCTTGGTATTCATTGGTAAATTTCAATGTTTATGTAAAATATAAAAACAACAATTAATTTTTTAAATTTCAAGGCTAATCAATTACAACCGAATGAATTTGAAGCACAATTAGCATCCCATGAAGAGTAAGAAATTCTTTCTGAAGAAAAAAAAACACGCAGTGCCATATTTTACTCCAAGATAAATCACTACTGATAATTCCCGTTCAACTAATCTGCAAATGCAATATAAAATCAGTTTTTCTCAATACTATCGTGGTTTTATTTTGTTTTTATCATTCCGTTTTACTACGTACAGTGATATTTAATGTTTGAATTAAAAATATCTATGATAGATTTTGTTTTTGTACTATTCGTAAAATAATCTAACATTAATATTTTTAGATGTTAAGATTTACTTTTTCTAATAATAAGTTAAATTACATACGTTACAGTAATGTTATTTTACAACGTTTTCTGTCAACACAACCGTCGCCAAAAACAAGTCTAACGTCATCCTTACCTGTTGGTACGGGTTTGAGTACTGTGCAAACATCGAGTAATCTTCCAATACTTTACCAGCCAAGTTTATTGTCACGTATTAAATTGAAACTTGGTTTACAAGGCGAATTACGTGAACCACAAAAGGTTTTGTATCAAGCAGCAGCCATATCATACTATATGATTGGTTCATCGGTAGATTTCGATGAAATTCAACGTGAACTTGAAATGCCAGATGTATTTGCATCGTTTGGAAGAATTATTTTTCTACATGTTTGGTTTTTACTTGTTCGTTATATTCAATTAGGTGAGATTTGACAAATGTTATAACTACTTATAGTAACAATACTTAACTTTAAGATTAATCAATGGTTTCTTATAAAGACGAAACTTTGATTTTGATAGCACACGAAAGTTTAAGTGAGAATAGGTTATAACAAAAACGGAATGGTTTACATTTAGGAAGTCTTTTTTGAAGGGAAGAAATCATTGAAGAATATGAACACTTACATCTGCAAGCTACAGGTCGAACAAATAGTTTAACTCACAATGGAGGTGTTTCAGATGATAAGTAAAAACGTTGAAGTTTTTTATGTCAAATGAAAGCTCTCATCATGAAACTAACATGGTTAAAATATTAGCGGCTGTTGGCGTACCCTTATGGAGATATTCGATTTTTCAGTGAATTTTCTCTACAGGACCGGCTTNCCATAAGGGTACGCCAACAGCCGCTAATATTTTAACCATGTTAGTTTCATGATGAGAGCTTTCATTTGACATAAAAAACTTCAACGTTTTTACTTATCATCTGAAACACCTCCATTGTGAGTTCATGATTCTCTCTCTCTCCTGATTCTTTCTCATAATTTCCGATAAGATGTTTAAGTAATTACATCTTTTCATACTAATGACGTATTTGCATCTGTCCGACAGTCTTTCCATCAAGCAGCAAAGTTCACTGAACCTACAGTTATAATGATCTTTTGCTTTTTTTGTGTCGTTTCTTAGGTCCAACCGGTATATTTCTTCGCCAACAATTAGCACGTACTATGTGGATGGATCTTGATTTACGTGCTCAGCAAATTCTTCCTGGACAAAGCAAAACTCGTCGTGGCCAATTAGAAGAATTATGCTCGGAAATGAATGCATTTATGTTAGCATTGGACGAAGGTGTCGTCGATGATGATACAGTATTAGCAGCGGCAGTCTGGCGACATTTTTGTCATGCTCAACCTACTTCGCTTGATCGGCTCGTTAAACTTGTTGCATATATAAGAAAAAATGTTCAACATTTAGAACAATTACCAGATGAAAACTTTATGAAAAATGGTTATATCTATTTTTTGCCATTAAATGGTGATGTTGTTGATACGAAATTTGTTAATCAGCATTATCTTGACTTTAAAAATAAAGCTCGAGGAGTAATAAAATAATCGTAGAATACAAATTTCATTTGTATTTTAGATTCATAACTATGGCGAAAGCATTCGAACGTTTAACAGAGGAAAATCTTGCACAAAGTATGGAAAATGTTTTAGAAATAGTATGCAAAATTGGAAAAGGGTAATGAATTCAAAATGATTAGTAGCTTTATTTTATTTTATTTTATTTTATTTTCAAATCATATAGATCTTACGGAAATGTATTTAAAGCAAAACATAGAGAAACAGGACATTTTTTAGCAATAAAACAAAGTAGATAGAAAACCATTAGTTGAAACAATGCATTTCATGTGTTCACTTTTTTAGTACCGGTTGAAAGTGATTTACAAGAAATTGTTAAAGAAATTTCCATAATGAAACAATGTGATTCACCATATATAGTTAAATATTTTGGAAGTTATTTTAAAGAATCAGATTTATGGGTAAGAGGAATCGTCGTAAATAGATTATTTTCTTTTTCTATTATATTGTATGTTTAAAGATTGTTATGGAATATTGTGGAGCTGGTTCAGTTTCAGATATAATTAAACTTCGAGGCAAAACAGTAATTATAAATCAGATTAAAACAAAGAGTAATTCTACTTTTACTTTTACTTATTTAGTTAAACGAACAAGAAATAGCTGTTATTTTAAAATATACATTGAAAGGATTAGAATATTTACATTTATGTAGTAAAATTCATCGAGATATTAAAGCCGGAAATATTCTTTTAACAAATGATGGTCATGCTAAATTAGCTGATTTTGGTGTGGCAGGACAATTAACAGTAAAATTAATTTGTTTTTGTCAAAAGCAAATAAATATCTCATTTCGTTTCGTTTTTAAAATAGGATACAATGGCAAAGCGCAATACAATGATTGGTAAGTGACGAAATAACTGTAGTTGAAATGTTTTTGTTAAACTCTGTTTAGGGACACCTTTTTGGTAAGAAATGAAAATATTTGCTTAGACAATATATAAAAGCGTCGTTGATTAGGATGGCACCGGAAGTTATTCAAGAAATTGGACATGGCGTTTTAGCTGATATTTGGAGTTTAGGTATGAGAGTTTCAACAAAAATAATGTGTCTTCTCCTTCCTGAATTCGTTAGGGACGGAATTGTAAGACTTTCGTAGAAATATAGTAAGCTGCAATACATTTGCACATGTTTTAAATAGTGAATTTTTTGATTTTGATCAAGATAAATACTTTTTATTCAGAACACCAAGGATGATTTGTCAAAATCTTCACATGATTCACAAAAACAATGTGAACTACTAGAATTATAATGTGAGGACATGTTTAGAGTAGGTCTCGATCGAGCATAACAGTGCATTAGGAAAGTCTTTCTGTTTGTCTTTACAACAGGACGATATATGGGAGCTAAAATAGTCAATTTTTTTAAATAAAATTATTCATTGGTATGATTAGGTATTACCACAATCGAAATAACAGAAGGCAAACCACCATACAGTGATATTCACCCAATGCGTGTAAGTAATCAATCAACTATGTTCAATAGCACAAAAGGAAACTTTTATTTAGGCCATTTTTATGATTCCATCACGACCGCCTCCCACATTTAAAGATACGTCACGATGGACGCCAGCTCTAAATGATTTTGTTTCGAAATGTCTTGTGAAAAATCCCGATGCACGTTCAACAGCAACTGAATTACTAAATGTAATTATGAATTAATTTTATTTCTTTGCATTTAGAAATTTATCGTTTCTTTTAGCATGAATTTATTCGTAATGCTAAAGATATCAGTATTTTAAAACAAATGATTGATGAAGTTCGTGAAATTCAAGAACGAAATCGATCTATAATACCTCCCAGTGCAACTACAATAACAACTTTTCATAATGGCGTCGTCACTGAACGTCCTGTTGGTAGTGATGGCACATTAAAAAATAATAATCAAGATGAAACCATCGTTCCTGAACATCAACAACAGCAGCAAAAATTTATGCATACAACTACTAATCGACAAAATACAGAAACAGATACATTTCAATCAAGCAGTTGCAATACAATGATTGAATTATCATCGGAATCATCGGATACGATGATTATTAATGAAAATGGAACCGAAACAGAAAACGATGCCGACAGTCAACAAGATACTCTCAAGGTAGATCGAGTAAAATGCCCTTACTAAAATTTCACAATATTGAATTTCAAGAAGCTTAGGAAATACAAATAACAGAGATAGCGAATACGATTGAAATTCTATTTAGATATTTATTATTTATAGATGTAATTGTATAGTGTTTGCTTGAGTTCATAGCCAACTAGTGCCTTAGGAATTCGTACTAGGCAAGATCTAGATCTAATTTAATACAACATTATCAAATTATAGCCAAATAGATTCTCATACTCAAAAGAAACTCAGCAGTTAGGAACATCCCTTGATAATACAAACAAAATATTTTTATCAACCTGAGAAAACTTGTGCGGTTTATTCTTATTCAGCTAAAATAATTTGTACAATAAAATCATTCAGCTGTCGGCGTCTCTCGCTACCGTGTACATCTTTCTTTTTCATTTTCTTACTATCTAGTATTCGTTGTATACATACATTTGCTTTACTTTCACAGATAACAAACAAACAGCAAGCACCAAATTTAATCCCTCCATTTTCGAATTCAAAACGAACAACGGCCGATAAAAGTAAAGAAGACTTGATGAAACTGATTGCTCAAGAAGTACGTATATACAATAAAAATGGTGAAGACTTTCAACGAGTATGTATATTTATTATTATTTACAGTAAAATATTTTTGTTGTTATTGTTTGTATCTTCCTCGTTTTGCTTTCAGACAGTGGAACAATTTTCTGTTGAACAAATCGAACAACGTTTAGCATTGCTTGACGAAATAATGGAAATTGAATTACGAGAAGTACAAAATCGTTTTCAATCGAAACGAAAACCAATTTTAGAAGCAATTAAACTAAAGAAAAAAACTCAAAATCATCATTGATTCGAATTTCATTTTTCGTTTTCATTTCGTCTTATTTTTCTTGTTAGTGTCGATTAATTCTGTGATGATAGTGACAAAATACAATCAATTTCTTCATGAGAGCGAGAGAGAGAGAGCGAAAAATAAAATAAAATGTATATAAGAATAAACAATACGAGAAAAAAAAACATATTCAGTTTAGTCAAGTTTATCTAATCATCAAGTTGACAAAGTAATGCTACACCACGTTTTATCCAATGTTCAGACTTATGTTTTGTTGGTAAATATACTGGCATAACGAAGTTTGTTGAATGACCAGTTGTTGAAAGTACACCGCGTCTTTCACTTGTCTTATATATTGGACACTCATAGGTTCCTTCAATATTTAATGCATTTGTTTTAATTGGTTTTACCCAAATGATTGGTATTGGATCATAGAGCATTTTCGAAAATTGTTCATCAAGTAAGTCACTAGACGAAAAAAAATGAGAGTTCGAACAAAAAACTGATAGAACTAAGTTAATTTACGTGTCTTGATTCCACCGTGCACCATCGACATATAAACCATTAATGTATGCACCATCATCAGGGCCTATATCACTTTTACTAATTTTTAAAACCTAAAGAGAAAAGTTTTCGATTACTGGTCGCACTAAAGAGAGGGGCAAGTGACCGGAAAATTATGAAGTTAATTGCTATTTTGAGGGAGTAATGTAAAAGTTCAATGTATTTTACAATTGTTTTTTTTTGATGATTCCTTAGTGATTAACGGCAAAAATGTGCAACTTTCATTTTTTTTATGGCTTCTCATCGGTGTAAGACCTTAGAAACTAAGAGTGGATGATTTAAGATCGTAATCAAAACTAATATATTCTCATGTGTCAGAAGAAAAGGAGGACTAACATTACCAATGTAATTCACAAAATGAAAAAAAAGTGATTCCAGCCCAAAATAATAATTTTTACAACCATCTAAGCATATATTATTCTAGACAACGAGTAGTTTCTTTCAAAAACAAAATATCTTGCAATAAGCTGTATCTCCAATTTCTACAAAAAAAATGCTAGCCGTAAACTAAAAGAATCTTTTCAAATGCAACACATACATTGATTAGTAACTGAGAGGTGAAGGAGTAAAAAAAACTTAAAATTAGAAATTATTAAGTTTTTGTACGAAAAATTTTCTTTCGAATGACTCCGTACCTGAAATTCAAAGGTCAATAAATCAATTGGAATCGTATATTTTCTGGCAAAATTTTGCTTGACACCAGTTAAAAATGCTTGTGTAAAATAGAATCCTGATATCCAATATACAGGCGGTTTACCAACGTCATACCATGTCTAGAAGACAAAAAAGAGTGATGAATTTATCAAATAATTCTTTAAATATCTAAGCAAACAAATTTACTTGAAGAAATTTAATACGTTCTAATAGATCATTATAATAGGATCCTAAACTTTTTAGTGATGGATACGATTGTTTCGTCCACATTTCTGGTTGTTTACCAATCATTAAACTATTTGTTAAAGCTTCCAATTCAACATTCATAACAACTAAACCTTTGATAGCTTTAATCACATTTTGTAAACTTGATCGAATAACTGTCATTAATCTATAGAAGAGAAGAAAAGACAAATAATGGGCTTATCATTATCATTTCCCCTTACTTATTAAATCGTTCCATTTCTTGTACTAAAACTGTATTCATACTTTCATTATATTGTGTTGGATATTTTTTCATTGCTTCTTCCAAATTAAAGTTCTTAGGTAACTAAATGAAAATATAGAATAAAAATAAAAAAGTCCACAATCAGAATGGAATATTTACTTTTGAAAGAATATCATTAGAAATATCATTTAATTTTTTATCTGAATTTCCGCCTTCAGCAGTTGTTGAACCCATGGTTAAAAGAATCGAATCAAATAAAAGTCTTGTTGCTTGCAAATCTTTTGATATATCGACATTTTCATGCATACCGAATACTTCCGGGTGTTGACTCAATGGTAAGTTTTTGATAAATTCGATGTATTCATCATAGGTACCTTTGGGTGGTACATAATAAACACCACTTGGAGATAATTTATGTTTTGGCACTTCGGCTACTTGTGGATTGTAAAAATCAATAAGAACTGCAGCTAAACAACGACGATCCCAATCATCAGTTACTGTGAAAACGGCAAAAAACAAATAAAAGATAAAGAGATGGTGAACAAGAAAATAAACTTATCGGCCTCCGTAGTTACATTCACCAGCCATATAACGAATAGCATCCTGTATGAAAGAGAAAAAATAAGATTTTTATGGTTTTTCATCTTCAAATTTCAGTCAATCAAAATACTTACATATGGAATATCATTATATTCATTAATGAACATCTAAATGGAAACAATGTTTACCATTATGTATTCATGAATAAGAACAAAAAATAAACATACTTGAAGTTGTTTAACAGAAATTAACAAATCTGACTCATTGAATCCATATGGAATATTAAATCCTTGTGGTCTAGAATTTTATATTTATCTCTAGTTTTCAATTGAAAATAAGAACTTTGCATTCTTACCCAAATTTTCTTCTTTCTTGTACAAGCGCATGGAAGAAGCAAAGACCAAACAAAAGTCTTTCCCAAATTGCATCTTTTCCTTCGTCAATTTTTTCGAAAAATGCCGGTTCACATATCGGTGCATTTAAATACGATTGTAACATATTCATTCGAAGACCAGTCGGTGGTTCATTTGTTAATTCTATACATTAATCGTCTTATAAGTAACTTCTCAAATTCATTCGATACTTACTAACACCATTTTGTAAAATTGTGACTGGAAACTATTTGATCGAACGAATTTAACATTATTTTTCACTATAAAAAAAATTCAAACGAACCTTCGGAGATGGATATGATGTTAACCAAAGTCGAAATTCTGGATTTGTATTATCCGCTGCAAAATCTTCACAAATTTTCTCCAATGTTTGCATCCAACTAAACGAAAAGTATTAATTTGAACTTCAAATAGAATAATAAAAGGTCTCGTGTTTACCTGACAGCTAAATGACAATTTTGTAAGCAAACCCAACCACCGTCACTTTGAGCTTTTTGTATCATTGCTGAAGCAAATGGACCCTGGAAAATATAAAATACAATATAACTTGTTTTTATAACGAAACTCAACTAACTTGTCCTTGACCGAGTGAAATATAATTAAATTTCTTTTCAAAAAATCCTTTATCTTTAGCAATTTTAATTAATTGACCCATAGGATCTGCACCAGGCGATAGAATAAAAACGATTGGTGCTAATGCGTGTGAATCATTAAAACTTTTAGATAAATCAAATGGTGGCGGTTCAACGAATTTTTGTCCTAGATTCTTTTTAACGAATTCAACAACCATTTGTACAACTTTATCTGGACGAATAACACGAACGACGGTCATCTTTTGAAATTGATCGAATTTTTCATTCCATGGTGCCGGTAGCTCAACTGTCATAGGATCTTTTGCATCATAGATTGATTTAAATACTTCAAGATTCGCTTCAAAACTTTCACTAAAGACAGAAAAATAAATGGTAAGAATTTTGTCTCGTTTGCTTTTTTTTTGAAATTTATTACCGAAGTCCAATAAATTTCTGTAAATCAGATAAACGACATAATTCATCCCAGCATTTATCTGAAAGCCAACCTTGACCAGGATTTTTATTTTTATTTTCTAAACCGATACCACCAGTGAGGAAGAAGAGATATTCACTTTTATCCATTTCTTTTTGAGCACTAAAATATTTTGTATGAGAATTTTATTTTCTCAACAAGTTGTTTTTCACTTACAGCATTATACTTGTGCATAATATGAATGAAAAAAGTAGTTTATCTTTTTCAAATAATGATCGACAAACGTTTGTGTATAGATTATATGTGAAATGTTCTTGAAGATTTTTTAAACGACGTTGTAGAATTTTTGATTTTAAGCTAAAATTTCAAATGATTATCAAATACGACGAATGCAAAGAAACAATTTCATGCCTATCATTAATTGAATTCATATATAGATTAATGAACCATTGTAGAGAATATTGGTACACTAGAAAGCAAATAAAACTCTTAAATAGAGACCGAAGTCCATGGAGAGATTAGCAAAAACTAACAGTTTTTCTTCAGTAATAGAAAAACGTCATACCATCGAATATGTTAATGTAATTCTAGAAAGCTTAAGCTTTTGGAAATTACTAGAGACTGATCGGCTAACATTTTCATTCACGCAAACAATCCAAGTATATTCGGCAGAGAAAAACTTTCTTTATTACAAAATATTCAAACATAACACAAGAAATGTATTACAGTCTCGCCATCAACTCAGTTAAGGTAGTAAATCAAGACTTGTCAGAGAACTTATTTCATGATATAAAAGCCCTTTGTCTTGAATCAACTTGATCATGAGGAAAATATTAAGACCCACAGACACATTCAAATCAAAAGATTTCCGTTCAATGATCGATAATAGACGATATGCAAATTAAACCTTTTTCAATCTATTAGAACGGTGAATCTTAATTGCAAAATATTCATATCTGTATAATCCTTGTTGCTATTCTAATGACTTGAATAGTATAAATAAATTCTTACTTGGATCAATATTTGGTAAATCATTAAGACAAAAGAATAGAATAGCTGAATATTCAGCGATTGGTTTATAATCTTGTCTAGATGCTTCAATTTTCTTTGCTGTTTCTTCTGCAATTTTTTGTTTTTTCGATATTTCATCCGAAATTACTTTCGATGAATCCAATGTTTGAATAGCAGCTTCATCTTCTAAAATATTTCCTTCGGATGAACTGAGTGTAAATAGAATTTTATCTTCAGCTTCTTTCAATAAACGTTGATTTTCAGCTTGAGTGATAATTAATGCTTGTCGTTCTTCTTCCAATTCTGGACGTTCTTTAGCAACGACAATACCTAAACAAGAAAACAAAAGAATTCTCTTTCCATATAAATTCACATTTAATTACCGAGCAATTGATCTTGAAGACCTTCAGATGTAATCATAAAATTGAGTAACGTAACTTTAGTTGAAATTTCTAAAAACAAAGCAATCGTTCGAAAGATATTTTTCAATGGAATCATCAATTAAACCTGGTAAATAATGTGGATTTCTTAATTTAGTTGTAATAAACAATTTGAAATCTTTTGAATATTCAATAACTTTATCACCCAAACGAATCATTTCAACGCCACCTAAATTATTAAGTAGAAAAATTCATTTGAACCTTTTCTCCCGGTGAACATTTACCTTGTTTAAATACTTGTTTAAGTAGAATAGGTTCAAGTGATGGATCTAAATCTTCGCCAACATTTTCTATCAGTAATGGTAGGCCCAATTGAATACAATTATCAAGTTGCCGCATAAAATCATTATCAGTCAATTTAACAACTTTTAAGTTCAGTTGTGCGTAGGAATTTTTTACCCAACGATTAGCTTGATTTTGTGGATCGATCATTAATGGCCAACGATTTGAATTTTGAATTGTCACTGCATTATCAACTGAAAATGCATCCTTAGGTAAACCATTAATATTCCATGCCTATACAAGCCAACAAAAAAATCAATAAATAGTTCGATGTAAAGTAAAAATTTTACTTGAATTTTAATTGGTTCACCAAGTGTATTGGCCAACGAATATTTTTCCGCATCAGAACATGGTAATTTCTTCTTTTTACATAAATCAATCCAAGCACTAAATAGATAAGAATGAATGTGTATTTTGCATACCTAGTTAAAATCATTCGTTTTCAGTTTATAAAAATATCTAGCAGCATGTGCAACGTACGCTTAGAACTATCAAATGAATGTGCAAATTTATAGTAAGCAAGTCGACTATTCCTAGAGCTTTGCTGTCGAAAAACTTAAAATAAATACTAAACACTTTTTCGATAAGTTTTGTTCGTGAATAGGGAAAGCAAAAACAAAACATTTACTGAGTGGCTTCATCACGAAATGCACTTGTAAATGCACCGAGATAACCAATAACACCCGATGATACTAAGACATCACCAAGTAGATTATCATAGATTTTTTGTAAATTTTCTGCTGCTAATGTCCAACGTGATTTTTCACCACCTAAACCACCGATTAATTTTTGAGCTCGGACTAATTTTTTGGCACAAAGATCGACTTCAAATTCTAATTGTTCTTTACGTTTTTGTGCTGTATCGAGATCATTTTGAAGTCGTTTCAAACGAGATCTATTAAAACACAATCATTGTATATTTGATTTCTTTAATGAAATAATATCATACTCGACTTGTGCTAATTGTGAACGTTTTTCTGTTAATGTTGCTTCAAGTTCTCGTACTTCTTTATCGACTTCTTCAAGTTTGGCTTTCTTTGGTGCAACTTCTCTTGCTATACGATCATACACATCCATAGCACGAACGAATAGAATTAAACCATGCGCAGCAACTGATGCTTGCATGACACGTTTTGGTTCAAGATCAGCATCTGTTAAATATTCTTCGCGTAGTTTTTTCATGACTTCAGGCGGAATATGATCTTTATCGAATGTCTTAAGTTGATTAATAAAATCCATTTCACCAAGCGCTTTCTTAGCTGGAGCCCAATAATCAATAATTTTCTTGCCAGGATTATTTGGATCATTTTTTCGATCGGGTTGTCGATTTGTTAGTACACAAACTGAAGCAAGAACTTTTCGGACTGTAATTGGCGGCTGTTGCATAGTACGAATTTCTGTTATATCAGCTGGCTTAAGCGTATCTAAAGCATTGATAGCTGCTTCAAGAGCAGGCATAGCTGCTGAAAGATCATGTTCACATTCTTCCTATTCAAGAGAGAAGGAAAATAGCTTGTATAAAACAACGAAAATTAAAAAATATTACTTTAAGTTTGTTAGCATCAATAGCTTTCGCATTGACGACAGCTTCTTCAGCAACGACTACTTCGCGTGTTTGACCAGCTTGACGCGATTGAATTTCAATATCAACTAACATAGCTGCTGTTTGTTTGGCACTTTCTTGTAATTGAGGTTGCAATGCTTCAAGTTCCGTACGCATTTTACCAACCTAAACAAATCGAAAACAAAAATGTTTTTTGTGTTTTGATTTAGTAAAAATAATTTACTTGTTGTTCAGCAAAAGCTAATTGATCAAGACCTTTAACATAACGTTTTTTAGCTGCCATGATTTCATTTTGTTTTTGTGTGATTAACATTTTGAAGCCTGATATGGCTTGAAGATAAGATGTTGGCGTTACATAGTTGTATCGTTGTAATTTTGAAGAAAATTTTTCTGATAATCTTTGTGTGCTTGTATGAAAATATTTTACAATATCAACGCAAGCATCTTTTTCTGAATCTTTGATATCAACTTGTTCTAAGAATTTTTTAGCAACACGTTCTAAAGCATCTTCAGGCCATGCTTGAAACCAATCGAGTGTACAACAGCTAAAGAAAGAAAATGGTTATTTAATGGATTAAGTACTGTTTCTTTCTTCAAAGAGAAAAGAAAATTATAAAGATTTGCTTTTTGTTGTTTTATATCTTACTTGATAAGCGATGGAAATTGTCGTAGACGTGATCGGAATGCGTCACCAATGGGCGAAAAAGCAAGCACAATATGAAGATTATCTCGGACACGATTAACAAAAAATTGAAATAATGCCAATGGGCCAAAATCTGCATTTTTATCTCCATCGGTTTGAGAAGCAGCAGCTTGTCCAGCAACAGCTTCCATAATTTCACCACGTTCATCAGCAGGAAATAAATTTGGTACTTCACCTGTATTTAATAATGAATCAATATCTTCAAGAAATCGTTCATCTTTTATTTGTGAATCCGTTAAGAGAAATACAGTGGGTTTATTTTGTGCGCCAGACATTTTCATAACTTTTTTACAATCTTCACGAAATTCATAAACACCATAATTCTTTGTAATTTCAGGTTGATGAACATCATAATTAGCCATAGCAGCAGCAAGTCTTGTTAGAGATTGTCGACCACTACCGCCCACACCGACCAACAATGCATTACCACCGGGCAAACGAAGTATACGACAAATACGTGATAAATGTTCAAGTACATAACGAAATACAACTAGATTCATTTTTGTCTTATGTGTACTATTATATTCTTCAACGGCTTTTTCAACAATTGAATACATTGTATCAATAACTTTAACTTCCTCATAGAAACGTTCTTCAACTTCAAGATCAGGACGAAGAAAATCACCAAATAATAAACTTCGTAGATCTTCTTCGCTTACCTTTAAAAATATAAAATAAACGAGATATTAGACTAATATCTCTCTAGGCAAAAATAAAGATAGCCATCGCAGGTGATGCACACTACTGTCGGACACACAACCAAAACGATGGACATTTCTTAAAGAAAACTATTTGTTTTACCTTTGTACCACCTCTTCCATTGTTAGCTAAATGTTCAAATACAGCATCGAAACTTTCTTTGAAAATATCTTTAACACAAGCTTTCACAGCACTATAAACGGAGAAAAAAACAGTGAAAAAATAAAATTTAAAATCATTTTGTATTGATACTTACTCAACAAGCCAGGTACGATCTTTATCATCAATCAAACGATCATAGAACACACGCATAGTTTCATGAACCCATAATCTGAATAGAAAAAATATATAAATTCATACTAGACATAAATTATTCGATTTTACCGAATAAATGTTCGTTTTGATTCAACTTCTGATTTACGAATTAAACAACAACCGAGAATAACACGTGAAAAATCACGTAAATTGAAGATATCTATTTAAATACACAATTAAATATTGATTAAAAAATTTTTTTTGTTTCTAATATTTTTTACAATGCGATTTAGCTGGAGTTGGTAAAAGAGATAGAGCAGCTGCATTATAAACTTGTAATGTTGATTGAACGATTTGATTACCAAGTGATAAGTAATCTGAAGTAAATTCTTGTCCCTACAAAAATATAATTTATAATATATTATGAATAAAATAATTGTTGAATTACGTACTTTGATGTAAACTGAAAAAAGTGTTGAAAATATTTTTGTTAAAGTTTCATCGGTAAATGGATTGATTGCAATAGTCATAAAATGTCGAATAAATCTTGGTGTAACAACATTTCTACCACCACCTGGAGGTCCCATAGCAGAAACAAATTGAATATCTTCAAGAATTATTTTTGATGTATCTTTACGATCATACCTACAATATGACAAATAAAAAAAAGAATTTTATCTTTCTGTTATTTAAGAGAATTTACCAGTGTCGATGATCCATAAATTGACGTAGCAATTCGATGGGACCTTGAGCACCATATCGATCTTTTTGTGGCATATTCATATCATCAACAAAGAATACGGCTTTTTTCATCATCGGTGGACCGAATGTACCTTTACGACGACGATCAAGACGCGACATAATGATATCCTAAACATGAAATAACAATATTATTTTCATATTAGATATTATACCGAATTAAATAGTATCAGATGAAACTGTTTTCATTTTGAGACAGAAAGGTTTCATCTGTAGAACTATAAAAGAATCACAGAGGATTCAAATTTGTATTTATTCCGAAAAACCGATTCATTACAGTAAGACTCAATTTGCTGAAATTCATAACATCGATATAGTTGATGGCAAATTAATAGTGCTTAATTAGAGATAAGAGTGGTGTCACATATTCAAGATTTTGGAGATGCGGCCATTCACCACTGGATATGTAAGATCTCCTGTAGAGATGCGCATCCCCCACAACCACACCCACATCTCTTGCGTGAGATGCGGTATCTCCTGCGAGAGATGTGGTTGAATCTCCAAAATTTTGGATATGTGGCACTGCTGAGAGATAAACTGAAAGAGTAAATATGTTTATCTATATCAATATGTATGAGTCAGACTAACGATTATGGCATAAGCTAAGACCTATTACAATATTATTTTCTTTTGTAAATATCTACCTGAACTTGATTATTCGAAGTTTGTGCGCTGAAGTTAATAAAGAATGCCATGTATTGATCTTTATCTATTTTATTCATTAAATAATTTTGTACATAAGCACTTTTTCCTGTTCCAGTTAGTCCAACAAATAAAATAGGTTGTTTACTTGGCACAACAAGATCGAGCATGTAATTGACTCGTGTTGTATCAACAGTCGGCACAATATAACGACGAATATTCTTCATCGATACTGTTCCAGCAGCTCCTTCAGCAGTTCTCATTAAATTTTCCCATGGAAACCAATCACCACGATTTTTAAATACAAAATAATAATCGTGCACAAGACCTTTCTCAGGTATTTGAAGATCAAATTTGCCTTGGAATATATCGGGTATAGGTTCAAATTTTCCACGTAATAAATCGCGAAAGAATACATCAAATTTGATTCGACTATCTGTATCACCTGTTGCACCAAGTGACCACACACAAGACCAGTGAGCTACATAAACAAGCCATGAACGTATATTTTTATTTTTTTCCGGTTCTTCTTCATCTTTTAATGCTTCACCCATACACATATTTATCCAATTCATCATACTACGAACTAAATTCGAATCGCCAGTTGGATTAACTTCTTTTGTGACATGTCGAACATGATCTATTGAAAAATGAAAAACATGGAATTTTCTTTTCCCTATAAGAAAATTGTGAAAACATACCAATACATTGTGGAACAAGAAAATCAAAAAGTGCTAAAATTTCATGTTTATACATTTTTAATGGTTCAGCAATTTCACGATTAACCCACGATTCAACCAGTGGTCTCCAACCGAGTACACGGGGCTCTAAGTAAATCATACCGCAACGAGAAACTGTGGCTGGCTAAAATAATAGATCAAGTTGAAATAGACTTTTATCGTAAATATCAAAAATACACACTGAAGCTTGTGATAAGTCCATAACTTCGAAAATCATTGACATAACATTTGACATTTGAATGATTTCACCACTTGTTAAACATAATTTTTTATTATCATCCAATACAGTATTCATATTTTCAATCCAAACTGCATCAACAGGTCCATCAAAAATAACCCATTTTCTATCTGGATTTTCCGACATAGCAAAATCACGAAACGTATTAGCTAACACACCATCATTCCATTCATGCGAAACCAAATCTAAAGAGAAAAATAAAAATAATCGTCAAAGCAATCTTTGAGAAAACAAAAACGTCCGAGACGTTTTATACAGGTATTGTTAAATACGGGTTTGCACATAAGAGGCAGTGTTTATCACAACTTAGGAGATGTGCAATCTTAGGAACGATCCGAAACTAATAACTATTAGTCACTTGTCGTAAGTCAATGAATTTCTAATGATATCTACGTTTTCATAGAGTATCTTAAAAATTCGAACATACAAGTTGCTAAGATTATCTGTGAGATACACAAAGGTGTGAGAAATCTGACTAAATCCTGAGCTAAAAATTTAGTTTATATCCAGATTTCAAACAGAGTCGAAATTTAATTCAATTTAGATGTTCTTTTATTCTTATAGCTCTTCGGTTGAATTTCAGAATACCAAGATGCTTATTGTTCTACGAGATCTGTGTCTTTGTTGTTTTCAGTAATTAAATACGCACCGAAATTTCCGTACAATTGCCCAATTGTGACAGCTTTTGGATTAAGAACTTTATATTGAACTTTGAGTTCATCCCCTACACCTTTTGTATTCATCAATGATAATGATTCAGCCAGGACTTGCAAGACCATACTTTTACCAGCAAACGGTTCACCAACAAGCATAAAACCATGTCGAACTAACATCATTTCATATGTTTGAGTTACTTTAGTCATGAAAGCTTCTGTGGGTTGTAAATTTTTACGCTCACATACTTCAAGCATATTTACAGTGATAACATCATAATCTGGTTTAGGTAAAGTTATACCAGGAAATAAATCACTAATAATACCATTAAATAAAGGTATATCATGTGCTAAAAATTTCGGTAAGTTAACATCGATTATACTACGAAGAATCTAAAGTTTGGAAAACAAATAATTATTACGAAGAAAACTGTTTCGTTGTTTTTTCTACGAACTAAAATATCTTCATCTTCAGTTGGATATTTTTGTTTTAAAGCACCGGCTGCCCAAAGAACTGATTTGACAGCACGCATACCATAATCGTAGTGATATTGTGATGACAGTTGTTCTGAAAGAGAAAGAAAAATAAACGGAATTAAAATTAACTTGAGTGTTTCCTATACCTGAGCATAGCTTATAGACAGTAACAATTTTAACGGAAAGTGGACGAGCTTTCATAAAACCATAGGAATATAGTGAAATTTCCGAGATAAGACCATAATCAGGAACCATCATAGCTACAGGTCGAAAGAGTACTTTTAAATTATCAGGCAGTTCAGATCGACCAGCATAACCAGGATTCTAAAAAATAATTGTTTTTCTTTGATAATTCTCACAAAAAAAAATTACCATAGTAATGCAGACATAACAATTTGTATTTAGTCGAATTTCAGTTCCTTCGAATTCAAATTTTTCCATGTTACCTTGTATTGCTTGAATAATTTGTAAAATTTGTTGAGCAATAACCTAAATAAAAAATCAAACCAAATCGTAATGTGAATCCATTTTCAGAGAATAAAATACATACAGATAATACTTCAAGATCAATACGATTGAATCTATTTCGAATTCGAATAAAATATTTGAATTACATATCCAATGAAAACTTACTCATCAAAACATGCCCATGCACCTGATGAAGCCAAACCTTTGAAGAATTTACCCATACCTTTATAATCCATAGTATCGGAACAATTGAAGACGACGCATTGCACTGCAAGAGCTTTAGCAAGATCTTTTGTTGTTTCAGTCTATAAATATATATTTTTTAGAAAAAGTAATTTATTGAAGATACAAAACATTCTACAAAATCTACATTTAGTGAAACTGATCCAGCTTATCAAATTGTTTACTCTACTATGTTTTCAACTTACTTTTCCTGTTCCGGCTGGCCCTTCTGGAGCACCATTTAAATGCAAATGAAAAGCCCCGACAAGCGTTCGATAACAACGATCTGTTAAAGGTGTAATAACGAGACTACATAAAATAAAAAATAATTTTCTCTTGACAATCAAATCAAATTCGCAAAATATCTACCGTGGCGTATTTCCCAAATATTCATAACAATATTTAACTGCTGCATTGGTAATTCGTACTCGACAATCATCTTCTTCCCAATAGTATCGTAATTGTGCTAACCAATTAAAATCATTTTCTGATTGTACCTGTTTATTGACTAAATCTTTCACTGTATCTTTTGCATGTACATCAATAACGACCAGAGCTTCCAGTGTTATACGTGTTTGTTTATTCAATTTACCACGTACAAGCTCAACGATATCACCTAGTTGTGCTTCAAGTTTTGCATAATATTCTCTATAGGAATAAAATCAATAAAATCAAATCATTCTCCACCAAAAATAAAACGACATACCCAAGTCCTTTAACACCAGTTACTAGTGCTTCTTTGACTTCAGTTGTCCAAAAAATTTGTGAAACACATAGAACAACTTGGCCAGGCCAATTCGTAACCCATTCACTGCGGTATTCGTTTGGATAGGCAACATAAGATTGTTCAATAACATGTCGAACTGATTTAAGCATAACATCTTCAACTTGGATTAGCCATTTTTCTACAGCACCTTTAGTTTCTGATGTACTGATTGAACGAATAAATTTAATTTTCTCTCCTTCGCTTGACATCATTGCGTGTATATCAACTTTAGCATCGAAATCAAGTTTAGCAATGCCTTCGAATAGCTTTTTCAAATGTGGTTGAACACGTGTTGGATCTTTTGTCTCAGAAAGAATTTCAAGCATTTCATCATTTGATAAGAAAAAGAAGCGTGGAAAAAACAAGCGTTTCTTTTCGAGATAGGCATTTAAACCTTTATTGATCTTTTCAAGTAAAGTATGACTGTCGTTTAATTTATCCAATAAACCCGTTAGACTAGTTGCTGCCATTACCTGACAAAAACATAATCATTATAGAATAGAATATAAACAAGTATAGATAGGGAAAAACAAACGTGTTGATCTTTATCGAGATGACGCATTATATCTTTGTAATTTCGATCGACTATGGAAAAAAGACGACCTTCTTCGGGCATTTGTTGACTAGAAAAATAACGATGAATGAATAGTTTGACTAAAAATTGATATCTACTTAATATCTTCAGATGAAAAAATTGGATCCAAATAACTGAAATGAAAATGTAGGTTTCAAAAAAGAAATGATCAGTAATAAAACGAGAAAAAAAAGCATACAGCCAATTAGCTTGGACTTTAAGCCAAACATCAATAATAGCTTGAATTAAAAGTAGTCTAACTTCCCAAGCCTAAAAACAAAACAAAAGAAAATATAATAGGATAGAACACGTTGATGTGTATTTTAAACGATCTATAATTTCAGACAAATCAATAGAGTTCTCGAAAAGTTTTCTATCGCCGAAATAATCAAGCAATGCGTCCCAGGTCGAACATTCCGGCCACCGGATTCTGTAGGATACTCCAGGGAATATGCGGGCAAGTCACCATATCCTGCAGGAAAACACGGGAAATCGCTGGAACATGGAAGCAGTATTCCGGTCAAAAATACGGCCGAACTTTTCCGGATAATTCGTGCCAAGTTCCGGTGTTTTCCGGCAGGAATTGATCGGAAATCACCGGAAAATTTCCAACCGGAATACTGCTTCCACAAAATCAACGGAACTACCCGGAGCCGGCCGTTTCCAGGCCGGACTGTTCGACCTGGGGTGTGGGGTGACACTGCATATTTCATTTTGATTAAGTAGAAACTTCAATGAAATAATTCCTTGTTAACATATGACCATTGCATACGTGATAGAGAGAAATTTCGATATCAATCAGTTTGTGTCTATAGATACTAAATGCTATTGCAAGAATTTATTTGAGAATATCAGTCTTTAGGCTTTGATCGGTTATTTAATGCAATAAAAAGTTACTGATAGTGAACTATCGCCATGATGCATTTCAAAACTCACTTTAATTTCATTTTCAAATGGTTTAATAAATGGACTGCCTTTCATTGTTTGCGTTTTAACAATATGATCATCAAGAATTGTTTGTATGTCATCAACCGATGATAAGATAGTTAAACCAGTTTCTTTATATTTACTTGTATTAAACATCACAGGTTCCCAATCATCTTGCATTTTTTTTAGAGCCTTTTCTAATGAGAATTCCTAATAAGAAAAAAAAAGATAATAACAATCAAAAAGCATTTCTCTTCATTATAACTGAATCTTACTTTCGATGCTCCAGCGCTGACTATTTCGAATTGTTCCATATATGGTTCCAAACCAAGTTGTAAAACTTTTCGAAGTGTTGTACCTGTATCTGGTTTAAGATTACGTTCAAATATTGTTGACATTTTCTCCCAATGACGAGTACGAATACCCGGATTACACAATATACTTATGACAGGTAAGTGTTCCTGTAAAATTAAAATATAGATTATATTGTTCAATGTGCAGGTATTATACAAGCAAACGACTAAGATAAATATGAGGCAAGCACACACCTTAAAGCTACGCATTAGTTTTTCCACTTGGTCAAGTAATTCAGAAAGAAGCAACCCATAGCTTTCCATTTGCTGCAGGAATTCTTCTCTTTCAGCAATTTTGTGCGGATCTAATATATACACACATCATGTCAGGCAAGTGCAAAGTTAATAGAAGCCAAAAAACAAACAGGTAAAGTTATTAAAATGCACACATGAATAATAATAAAAACATCTCTAAGCTTAGTTAATTCTACACACATGCCAACCTTAAAAGTATCGAGTTGATCAAGTATAACTGTACAAATGCGTAACATTTCCGGATCACTTTTTTCAAGTTTTTCCAATTCTCGTTCATCTTCATCTTTTTCGACGGCATCGGCATCAGCCCCAGAAGCATCGCCACCAGCTTCGTCTTCCATACGTTTCTTTCCTAAACTCATTTTTAATATTGTTTTTTTCCTTGTTGTCTATCTCTTTTGCTATTCAATCTTTTTTTTTCATGCACTTCGTTTCCTAATAGGCAAAAACCAAAATGCTAGATCGCCTTACCTCGTGCTTTACGTCGTTCCATAACTTTATTAGCTAATTCGAGTTTTTTCTTTTTGACTAAATTTGTAAATTGTTTTTTGATTTTAAATATTTCACGTAAATATTCTTCAACTTCGCCTTCGACTTTTTCAGAGTTCAACTCAAGAAATGCACCATCCATCCATTTCTTTTCGGCAACTTGCCATTTACGAACCGTTGTAAATAGACGAAAGTATGGATCAACTGCTGTTTTTATTGCTTCCAATTGTGGATACTCTGTTTTCGCCATTCGGAATTGATTTTCTTCCTATAAGAGATTACAACATTAATATAGAGCAAAAAAAATCTTATTCAAGTGTTACGTACTTGATTGATCCATTCGATTTCATTTTCAACTTCAACGATTTTCTTTTGAATCTGTTTAACATCTTGTGCATATTCGCCCATCATATTTAATTCGCCATAATCAGCAAATTCATCAACACGACGTTGCATCTTTTGTAAATCTGCCAATAGACGTTCACGTCTTTCCATAAGAATTTGTTCATTTTTGCCACGGATTTGTTGAGTAAGCTAATAAATAAAATGATTACAGTTAAATTTACTTTTTCAAGTTGTGACTTTTAAATAGAAATCTTATTTCGAAATAAAAGAATTTCAGAGGCTTTCACTGTTCTCATATTCGATCTGGTGGTACGGCGAAGCTATCAAGAATATTTATTTTTCAAATGAAAATTACTTCATCATTTGCATCAAATACTGGTCCAATATTAGTGGGCCATAAAAGTGTATCGGCATTTAATCGAATATCGTCTTCCGAAAAGAGATATTCGTCCAGATAATATTCCATTTGACGTTGAACTTCCTAGATTCGAAATGAATGATATTATTTTTGTTTCCTATAGAAGAATTGAAAGCAACAAACTTTTATTCGTTGTGCTAAACGTAATGATTTTTCTCCTTTAGCATTATCAATATATTTAATAATGTCATTAAGTTCAGCAGTAGTTGCTGGTTTAGCTAAAGCACGTTGTTTAACTGATTCGAATTCAGTGCAAATACTAAAAATAGATAAAAATATTTTGAAATTATTCAATTCATATAGGTAATCAAACAAACCTGTGACATTCTGTACGATAATCGTTAACAAGTTTTTCAAATAATGTATTACGATGTTTACGTGCCGCTTCCACAAGACCTTGTTTAACTTGTTCACTATTTGTTTGAAGTAATGGGAATTCTACAGTTGTAGGCTCGAGCATGATCTGTTTGATAATATCATTAAAACGATCGAATTCCTAACAACAAAAACTAATGCTAAACAATACAAATTTACATTGTGAAATTTACTCGTGTATATTCATCAAAAGTATGATTTTCTGTATTGAACTTTTCTACATCTGCTTGGGCTTGTCCGTCAATCAGATAATTGTATTTATCTTCATATGCTTTTAATAATTGCCGTGGCTCTTGAAAGTAATATTCAGTTAAATCAGCTAACTGCTTGTAAGCTCGATCAATAACTGTTTGTGATAGACGAGTATCAAGTGCAATATTATCATCACCATTTAAAAATGATTGAATTGTCGCTACACGTATGCGATTAGGTCCATTGATTGACAGTGCAATTTTATCAACAACATAACGAAGTACGTTTACAAAGTCAGGCATCATTGGTTGAAAATCAATTTTACTAATTGTTGAATCGTCATCATTAAGAATAATGTCAATTTTAATTATCGGAAGATAATCTTGATCTTTTGGATCGAATAATGAGCACCACGTATCAATACTTCGTTCGAGAAGCTCACGTAGCTAATAAACAAAAAATAGATGAGATAAAAAGAATGAGCGTAGAAAACATACTTGATTCGATACGAGTGTATTAATTGAATTATAGAACGAATTTGTTTTCTCTGGTGTTGTTGTTATGCCTTGAATTTGGCCAGTTTGAAATATTTGACAGATAAGTGGAAACCAACTTGCACTTAGATAATCTTCGTTACGTTCAATATCACGTACAACAAACGCACGTAAATGAGGAAAGTCTAATGCACCCAAGGATCTGCAAAAACCAAAATCAAACATAAGATTTAGATATTCGGGAGACAAAGGTAAGTTGAGAAAGATTCAGGTGCATGGTCTACTAGTAAAAAGTTATAGTTGTTTGAATAGAGTTTTTCTTTTTTTTTAGAACAACACGTCGCTTAAAAATTCAAAACAAGCTATCATGTCGATATTAAGATGGAAAGATATGTGAATCCGGTCCATCTTACCAGAAAGAATATTTTTGTTGAGATTTGATTAATGAAGAATATCGGCGTATCCTTAAGCATTTCCGTTTGAGAAAAATATTCCACCAAAGAACGGGGTTTTGACCTTTAGCGCCCCATTCAAATCCACTAGTGGATCTGATCTGTATCTCTTTCCTGCTCTTCACAATTTTGTTTCCGATCTATGATTTCACTATGATCCTTTTCTTAGAGAAAAGAAGTTACAAACCTGATTCGTTTGAAATCGACCATAATTCTTGGTGAAAGCGTTCTATTACATAATTCAAGTACTTGTCGATGTGTTGGATGAACAATATATAGATGTTCTTTGATTGCATCACGACTTAATTGAAAGCTAGTTTCCCATGAGCTCGAAAAGTCTATTCACAAAAACAAATCTTCTAACTAATAGTTTTTTTTTTGTTTTGCATTACCGAATCCGACTAACTCTGGAGGTGGTGGACCTGCAGCTTCATTTTCGAGACCTTTCACATGTGGTGCAACAAGAACATGTTGCACTATAATACAAGTAAATAATTGAACCTTTTTTTTTTGAATTAATAAAAGAAAGCCTTACATTGACTTTTTTTCATACTATTCTCATACAAAACTTTCGTTTCACTAATAAATCGTTGAATAACAGCTTTCATTTGTGGACCTTCTTTTAGTTTTTTATCAATAAAATGCTCAATAATGTGTTTAAATGATTCATCTGAGGCTGGTGTTATCGGTAATTGTGCAACGCGTTCCTTCATATAGTAATAATTGTTCTAACAAACAACAAAAACATAGCATATCTCTTTTATTCCTAATTAAATCTTAAGTTACTCGAATTGCACGATCTTCGCTGAGACACTAAAACAAAACTTCATCAATAAATCAACAAAAACAATTAATGTTTATGGCAAACCGTTTTTGGGCATTCCGGAGATTTTTCTCGCTGTCGACTTTTTCCACCAGAAGATTCAAGTGTTGCTTGTTCTTCTCTTTTTGCATGTTCAATGCTAAATAAAATGCATTTTGACATAAGTAATTAATTATTCATAAAAATTGAAAGCAATATAAAAACGAGTAAAATATTTTGCTAACGTCACAATCGATTTTTATATACTTACACAATTTGCTGCAGCTTTTCATCTTGTCTATCTTTTAGTTTGAATGAAAACAATATGGAATTTTTGTATGGATCTTCATAATAGGCTGGATGTCGTTGAATTTGAGGTAATACTGGTTTACTAGACTTCTTATTAGTAGATACTGTCGGCAGAGACCCGCCTTTGCCGCTCATGCTTTTTTTTTACAAAATCTGTAAGAAATGTTTTTTGTTACATAATTTCAATGAACACTAAAAAAAGAAAGGATATGAGTTTTTATTTTTCTCGAAATTACATTTTTCGTGTACTATGTTATGATCACTGCGTATACCATTATGCAAAGTTTTACACTTATCGTTACTTAGTAACAGAAAATGTTCTCATTTCATTGGAATATTTTATTGTAATTTTCTATTAAATTTAAAGAAAAATAATCTTTTTTTCGTATTTTCAAACTGATAATTTAAAGTAAAAATATTTCGAATAGAGGTCGTTGATGTTTCGTAATCAATGGTCTTCAAGTGTTAACCATACAGCTCTTCTTCACTTCTTCACGCACTTACACCTACCTTTTTACTATAAGAATAATGTCTGGCTCGATTGATATCCGTCTTAATCGACAAACAAAAACCTATAGTGAGAACGTGAGTATTTTTTCAAGCACCAGATTTGCAGTTTTATCAAGATCAATTATTTTTTGTGTTTTTATGAAGAAAAAATAATCGTTTTATATTATATCATACTATGAGTTGTCTAATGTAAATCACAATCGCATTGCATTTTTTCATAAACTGAGTTCCATCAATATTTTTCTTGGTGAAATTTAATAAATATGAGACTTCCTTTGTGATAATCCTCGCATTTCAATTGACAACATCTTTTATGCACGTACTATATTCAGCAATAGTGGTGAATGTCAGATCAATATCAGAGTGATCGTTCTAATAACTATCACAATAAAGTACAGGATATTATTCGTTCATATTTTATATATTCAGTAAACCTCGATTACTGCTAATGCGAACGAAGCATCAGCAGTAATCGTTCTTGTATGCTGTCGTGACTTCAACTTAGCATTTTTGTTCTCAAATTCTGAATTTTTCTAATATGCACGATTGAATTCATGGGACTTCAATTGCCAACACCATAGACGATATTCGTCGGTACTGTGCGAAGACTGATAGAATGAAAGAAATGATAGAGTAAATGGCATCGATTATTTAAACAGTTCTATAAGTAGTTGACTAGAATGAAACATACGAGTGATGATGATTGACAAAGATGAAAAGGAATAAAATCAATGTTAAACTTATGTCGCTCTGTTTTTTTCTTCTTCTAAATAGGATATTATTCAAGGAGCCGTCATAATTTCAACACCATCAGCATTCAAACATAATGGTATTACAATAACAGTTGATGGGTCTGTTCAGTTACATCTAAGTGGAAAAAGTGTTGGTGTTTTTGAAGCATTTTACAATTCAACTAAAGTAAATAGATGCTTTTATTTCTTTTGTTTTTCGCTATTGTTGAAATTGATTTTTTTAGCCTGTTGCACTGATTACTCAAGTGATTGAATTATCTAAACCAGGTCATATATCAAATTCAAAAACGGAAATTCCTTTTCAAGTACAATTAAAAGGTCGACCGAATAAACCCCTATATGAAACATATCACGGAGTTTTTGTTAATATTCAAGTAGAATTAAAATTTTAGATTTATGCATTATTGTTTTCTCTCTCTCTCTCTCTCTTTTAGTATTTTCTTCGTGTTGATGTCAAACGAACATTTCTTTCAAAAGATATGAGTAAACAAATTGAATTTAATGTTGAATATAGTCCGGAACATGAATTAGCTGCTGAAAAAGCATCAGTAAAACCAGCTGCTTTTGAAATGACATCCGATTCAATAAAAACAATTCAAAATGTAAGTGCTTGAAATTTAGTCTTCATTTTCAAGTTGATCTTGTTTATCTAAATAATCATTGTCGAGAAATTTCCTTTCATTTGCATCTCGTTCTTTATCTAACATATAATTATCATTATTGAAGTTGTTTTCAGAAATTTTTTTTCCATTGTAACTATTTTTAAAGTATTGACGATAATTATCAGCATTTAAATTAAGATTATCATTATTTAATAATCGATCTGGATTTACCAAATTTTCATCATTCTAAAACGAAATATAGAAATATTTATTTATTTAATGATCGTTAATCCCTAACATACTATGAACTAATAATGGAGAATGCACACACCTGCATATATCTTTTGTCTGCATAGCGTTCTTCTTCATCACCACGAGCATTATGGATATGATTTGTATTGTCTTCGTATAATTCATTATGGTCTCCTAAACAAAAGTCAACATTCATATAAGACATCGTTTTTAATCCGTGGAAACGAATGTAGATTTTTCTCTGCTCATTCCACTCTGCTGTGTTTTGGGGCACATTAGAATAATAGTTTACTTGTACTATAATCACTAGGAAATCTTTGTTTTATAAGTAAACAATATTTTTGCGAACTACGAATATCCTCGATAAATGATCTCGAGTTGGAATATTGTTTAATATAACTTACTCATTTTAAATTTGGTTTCAATTGGTGCGTAGTATTCTCCATCGAAGCCTCGTTTTTCTTCAGCAATATTTTCTTGTTGATTTCTAAAGTAGCTTTGATCATCAGTACCATATGCATGTACGTCGTCTTCATCGTTTAAGGTATTCTCATGTAAAAGATTACGTCGTATTCGTGTATGATTACTATTCCTAGGCTTTCTTGAAGTATTCACTATTCTTGTAGAGATGATAGGACTTGTCTGACGAATTGTTTCTAGTGAATTGTTTGTTCGATTTTTCTTATTCATCGATTTTTTCCAACCGATAGATGATTTGAGGATTTGAGGATTTAAATTCAAGAACTGATTATAAATATGATTGATAAAATGATGGAGTTTTGGATCCATATGAAAATTCTTATACGATTGATCAGTATTCGATGTTAAATGTAAACGAACTTTAATATTTGATGATGATCGACGTAACCATTGTGATAGAATATCTTTATGGCAATTATGATAAGTCGCCATTTGAGTTGTAGTAAATAGAATGGAATCGGAGGGTAGTTTATGTCGAGATTTCATCCTATTAATAATAAAGATTATTGATGAACGATTGTTTGTCGACGAGAAAACTACTAGCATCAACCCATGTAAAATGATGAAATATTGCGTAAACATTTTCACTTGATTTCGATAAATTGTTACTAGTTAGAGTTTTTACAATAGTTTCTAATGGCGGGTAAATAAAAATAATTTTTATTTTGTTTTTAGAAAATCGACGTACCAAAATTTAAAATATCGGGTAATCTTGATAGTCTCTGTTGCTCGATTACGAAACCGTTTTCTGGCGAGGTTTGTCGTTTATTTTTTGTAATCATCTATTTATTTTATTGCGATTCAGTTAATTGTCGAAGAAAGTGAATTAGCAATAAAATCAATTGAAATACAACTTTTACGTGTAGAAACATGTGGTTGTGCAGAAGGATTTTCACGAGATTGTAACTAATTAGTTTTTTATCTTTTTTTTTAATTCAGCATTTTGACTTTAGCGACTGAAATACAAAATATTCAAATAGGCGATGGTAATGTAGTTCGAAAGATAGCAATACCTATTTGGATGTTGTTTCCCAGAACATTTACATGTCCAACTTTATTAACGGTTAATTTTAAAATTGGTATGTCGATTTAAATATCAAAAATATTTCTTACAAAAAATATTTTTTCTTTATTGAAGAATTTGAACTTAGTGTTGTTCTTGTATTTGAAGATGATCGTATGGTATCTGAGAGTATGTTTGAATGGATTTTGTGTCTTTTATGATTATTTATTTTCGTTAATAGATTTTCCAATTAAATTAACACGTTATTAAAAGAAGACCTTTTTTATAAGCTAATTTATCTCCGGTATGTGCAATGCCGGGCGTTCTTTATTTTCTTTACACAATTTAAATTTCTATTTGATTTTATGTCTTTCATTTTTTTTTGTAATGATTTATTAGAAAAAATAAAATATTTTGCTATGAGTACGTCCAGAACTACAGATTATAATTTATCTTTATTTTGATTACAATACTGGATCTTGGTAGATGTACACAAAGATTCTAATAGCTCTTGGCGAGCCATTCCGATGCATGGAAATACTAGAGAGTGCCCAAATGAGTTTTCCCCCTTGCATAACTCATTTTTTTACACCGGACAACTTCTCTTTTTATCACGCCATAGCTACAGTTTTTGCAGTACACGCCAGAAGTCAAGCCACAGCTCAAAACGTTTTCAACCAAGTCAGACTTGACTTGCCCAGCTCTCCTGCTAACATATTCCAAAATTCCAAGAGTGCTATTCATAAATGAGAACGATTACAATACTCGATAGAAATGATCATTTAGTTTATTGAAATAATCTGTTTTCAATGTAGCATAGATAAACACCTGTTTTTCATTAAGAATTCTCCAGTAGTACACTTGAATAGTATCATATGAAAAGAGCTCATTAAAAAGATATAATTGTTTGAGTATTTTATGGATTTCTTTTCATAGAAATAGAAAAGAATACTTTTATTTTTCAAAGGATAAAATGTGGTCACATTGCATCATATATTATACATCTTCCTAAGACGTTTTAATTACTTTTCTAAAACAGAAGTCCTACATAATTTTAGTCACAGATCAGAGTATGTTCATTTGCAAAACTATCAACTCGTAAATTACAGTTCTCCTTGCTGTTTTCTGATGAAATATACATTAGTACTTCGCGCATACTAAACGAGCTTTCCAGACAATGTTTTTATGGTACTTCAACTTATGAAAACATGTGTTTCAAGATACACAGTATAAAAGCGTGATCTCAATTGTAACAATGATAGTACTTTCAAGCTCCCGCGTTTAACGGCTTTACTGATCCGACAATATATTCACAGGTTGAAGAGCTCTCGAACAAACGGAAATCCACAAGGCACACTATGCAAGACTAGAATACATGCTTTCTGAAAGTAACCTAGAGCTTCTAACATAATTCTTAATGTACTCGGATATAAATCGACCTTTTGATTTCAATAAAAATCTACATATCTCTAATTATAAAAAATAAAATTCTTAAACAAGAATTATTTTACAATCGATAAGTAAATATTCGAAAACGTGAAATATATTTTTGCTACCGATCTTTAATACATAAAGCTTCTACGTATTACTGATAGTGAGAAACACGGTTTTATGTTATTCGCTTATGAGTATAGAAACATATGTTGTTTTTGTTTGGTAGACGTATTTAAAAAAGGAAGAAAGTTTATTCAAACATTGTTAGACATTCTTTTCCTCGTAACATTACAGCTGAAATGAACTTTAAACTATATTTGATTTGGTTCGGCACTCTAATGCTATGCTGTAAGTAATGATTTCGTCACAAAACATAATTTTTGATAAAAATTCGTTTTTTTCTTTCAGTATTGCCCTTTGCGATTTCAATCAATGAAATCCCACAGGATCGAAAGTGTCATGCTCAATGTATGGAGTATTGTACAAATGAAAGTGAAAGCGGTATTCCACTTCATTTATGCGATAATGCTTGCTTAACAATGTGCTATTCGGCTCGTCGTGATGTTGGTGAACAGAAAGAATAATTCTGTAAGGATTTCTAATTCTTAGCTATTTAAATGTTTTATTCGATTATTTAACGAAATATCAATTTAACATTTTGATTGATGAGGAAAATTTTTACCACTAATCAAAGATAAATCATTAGTGAGAAAATATTTTTAGTCACAATGACAAGAATAGATTCCTATAGGAAATCAACTAATGACGTGTGTAAAAACCATAGAAGCAGAAAATCTATTCATCGTTTTTGTTTTGTTTTAGGTCAAACTGATTTGGAATGGGAAAATAATTAATCAATTGATAAAAGAAGATCATTGAATATCTTTTTTATATTTTAATTGAAACATCAATAAAAAAAAATGAATTGACCGGCATTCTCTTGAAAACTTTATTATCAGGTTTTAAAACGAAACAAGAAGAAAATTATAATAACATTTTTTTCTTTTTTTGTCATTAAAATAAAAATCTGACGATTAAGAAAAACAAAAAAAAATGATTAATATCACAGATTGTAGATTCAATAATTTAATTCGATGGGTTATTAAGATCATAGGTTGTCCAACGTCCAATCCATTCATACATATGTTTATATTCGTCCTAAATTTGAAAAAACAAATTCAGCACGATGTAAAATATAAATTAATTCGTACCTCTGTTCGAAAAACTGGGCAAGAAGCTGCAATTTTTCTAGCTTGATGATAAACATCGGCTGGATTGTCAATCATTAATTGTTCCATTAAATTTGCAATAAGACAAATAATAGCACCTTCTAGAATATTCCTATTAATTAAAAGAAATTCTAATCTATTCAAATAGAAAACCAAATGAAAGTCATACTCAACACAAATCAATATTGGTATATGATCAAGCTTGACAATAGATCGAGAAAGTTTGTATAAGGGAGTCACTCGGATAGAAGTACTTGGTAGGTAAATGCAAACATCTGACTTACGATAACATCGAAAATCATTCGATAGGTAATGACTATCGATTTGAAATTGTTCTTTTTGAATTGCATCCAAATGCTAATTAAATTATTTATTTTAACGAAATATATAGAAACAAAAAAGATAATTACTTCTGCACTGTGTTGTTGATATAGAAAACAATGTTGAATTTTATATTGTGATATTATTTCTACTATACTGTTATAATCTCGAGCAACAGTTAACATAAACGCTTTGTGATAGATGATACTCTTAATTAATTGAATAAAATTATTTCTAAAAAACAACAACATTTTACTTACATCAATGAAATAGATTGTATTATGATCAACAACAGTTGGCAAAGAACGATTTTCTAAATCTGAAGAAGAAAATATTAATTAGTGTTAAATGTTTCTATTTTTAAATCAACATACTCGATGGGATAATAGCATCGAGTTTTTTTAAACTATTGGAAGTGAATTTCTAAAATAGGGGAAAAAAACGTTTACAATAAATCAACTGAAGAGAATGAGATTTTTCTACTTCAAATTGATCCAATAATGGATCATGATAAAATCGTGCGAATACATTTCGAAATAAATTTTTAACTTGATTATCTAATGCTTTTAATGTTGATATATTAGGTGAATATGTCCAACATTTAAGATGTAACATAGTTGTATAAATAACGGTTAACATAAACTAGAATATATAAAGATTTGCTTCAAAGAAAACTTATTAATTATCATTATTTTTACTTCGTTCATTATTGACAAGGATAATTGTTCATTTAATTGTGCTATTGTATTTAATATATTTATAAAACTATATCGATTTAATAAACGTCGGTTGATATCGACAGTCATAAAAGCAAGAGCTCGTGTATTAATATCACTAAGAAAATTAAAATCGTATAATTTTCGATTTTATTTTTATTCTTACCAGCAATTTATAGCGATACTTCCGAGGGTTTGATCATATTTGTCTTCTCTATGCTTTTGACTGATGTAATATTGAAGGCGCAATAGAGCAACGGGATCCATTGCGAATTCTGTTTCAGTCCAATTTTTGATTTGAATATGTTCAATTTGATTAATTTGATTTTCACCAATCTAAGTAGAAGCAACAAAATAAAACTCTATGTAGAAATTATTTATATTGTTATTCTATCGAACTTTCTGTAGTTGAAATTGACAGATTTCAATATCTAACAGTTTCACTTTGCGTGTAAAGTCAATTTGATATTCAGCATCGATTTTTATTGTAGGATTAGATTCATTTGGCCAATATTCAATAAAAAAATTCTAAACATTAGAAAAGAACATTATGGATTTGTGTATTCTTTATTTTTCTAATGAAAATTTTGCAGCTTCTCCAGACGATGAGTTTTTCCGGTTTCACAAGTTCATTTTTCACACATGACAAAATTAAAAGTCACCTATTTCCTTTAGGTTGAGCATTTATAGTTCCCTGGATTTTGTCTCATAATTATAATGCAAGATTTAAAAGAAATGACTTTAGCAGGCGAAGGAAATTACTGGATTCAGACTGTGTCAGCTACGAAGAATGTATTTGTGTTTGAGAACAAACAGGCGATCTATAAATACTACATGGGCGAATGTTTTCCATCAGCATGTCAAATTGCATGTAAAGAAAAGCGAAAACTCCCTCCTTTAATTTGACAGCTTACATTTTCTGTGATGTCATACAGCATAATAATTGATGATATGTTATGTGACCATATTATTTGCCAAAACGTTGACAAATTCTTTCGTTGTACACCTAGAGAAGAATTGTTTTTCTTCATTTATGATCTTATATTTATTACCTTCAATTAGTAAATATTGTGCATTCAATAGGTAATTTCCAAAAGTATTTATCTAAAAAAAATTAAATACGAACTGAATATACGAACAATAAATATTAGGGCATACTCCAATAGGATATGTTGGAAGATGATGATTTATATCCACATGAGCTAATGACGATGGAATTTCGGATGTAGTTCTTGTTTCTCTAGCCGTTTTATCATATACTTCAATTTGTTGTTTTAACATAGAATAATTATTTTCTGATAAATTTTGAATGTGTTGTCGAATTTGTTGTGAAAGCACAATCAATGTATTGCTCAGTAATGTTGGACGTAAACTTTTATAAATTGATTCTTGATTTTTATAATGATCACTATCGTACAATTGATTCCAATCGACTCTAGAGAAATTTTTGATTAAATTTTTTTTTCTACTTTTTAAAAAACAAAACTAACGATGGTTGTAATGGACCACACCATGAGACAACTAAATTTGTGCATTTCGAACTTTGAGGTATGCCAGCTTGTTTTTCCTCTCGTCTCGATTTAATATCTTCTCTTGTTGTTGCACCAGTTAGAGCTAATCCAAGATGATAACACCAAAATGGTGCTAATGTAGCAACGAATACAAATGCAATAAAGCCAACAAAAAATGTTGGGATATTGTATGCAAAATATAATCCCGGATCATTTTTATAAATATCCCATCGAAGATAGGCTGCAACGCCACCACCAGCTAATCCAAGGGAGCACAGTAATGCACATGAAAGAAGAAAATTACAAAAATAACGATAGTTCAATAAGCCGACGCAATTATTGACTAAAAAGAAATGATATAAGCAAACATTTTATTAATAATTGAATTATCAGTAACATTATCTCTAGAGACTAGTAAATGACTTCGTCTACCCAGCGAAAAATTTTAGAGATTAAAATCGATTATAATTTCGAAATCCTCTGGGCATAATCCAAATTGATAATCGGATTTTTCTGCAACAAAGTCGAAATATAATCGATCGAAATCGAAATTGAAATCACTCTCAATCGATTGTCGACTACGAATAATCGATTGATGTTGATTGGAATCTCGATTTCGATCGATTATCATTTTGATTTCGTTGCAGAATAATCCGATTGATAATTTTGATTGTAATCAATAAAATTCGATTGATATCAATTCTAATCGGTCAGAATTTTGATTTGGTTGCAGAATAATCCAACTGATTATTTTGATTATAATCAATAAAAATCGATTAGAAAAGTATAATAATAGATTATCAAAATAAGAAAAACGGTAGTAACGCGTTCTCGATTTTACAAAAAGAAATAGACTGGTATCACATTTATGTAAAACTCAAATAGAAATACACTAAAATCCATAACTTGAGATATCGAGAATTAAATTCATATATAATAGCATACCACAGTCCAAATAGAAACTTTCATCTATTTCTGTAATGAACAGCTAAATATCACTACTCTGTATTCTTTGGTGTCTGTTCACCGTTGAAAAGCGGCTGCTTCTGTATTATCACGAGATAGCATATTTAGAAGGAAGCCAAGCACAATTCTACTATATATGAGAAGAAGGTATTGCATAAGAATGGTTTAAACCCTATCGGAATAATGATCTAAAATGAAGAAAGACTACAAAATCTTTTTATTATCTTGGTTCGACTACTGTCTAAATCTTAATGATTTCAGCGTACAAGCTTCTTCCAGAGGTTAGTGACCTTCTGTAGAAAAAAATAGCAAAGCTTTCATGGTTCTCTAACGGATTCCTAACGATCAAAATCGAAAAAATCAAACATTTTAGCTAGGACTGTTAACTATAAATGGCATGCCACTCTGTCTTGCCCGTTAATCAATTGTAGTCGATCATCCGTTGTTAATTAAATTAATGCATAAACATAGGAAGCGAGCGCTTCTTCTTGATAGTTAAATGTTTAACACAAAACTTTTACGATTTTTACATTTCTGATGTTTAAAAATATAGTTATTAAAATCTCACAGATAACCTATAAATTTGAAGCTGCGATATAAATTGTTTTGAACTTAGATCGCAATATGACAAAGCTAATTGGTTAAAAATATTAAAATTCAATTGCGATTACCCAGGTACCAAGAAAACGGTGCGTAGATGACCGTAAAAGGCGCAAAAATGGTATAAAACGTTGAAAACGGCGCTGTTTTCCGTCAGCTCGGAAAAAGAACGAATATACTGTTAAAAACGATGACCGTTTTCTAACGAAAGAAAAAAGGTCCGTAAAACGAACTGACAGATTACGACGAAATAAGGTGAAAATTAACGCCTTAATATACCATTTTATAGCCATTTCAGGCCTGTTAAAATGACCGTTCTGGTGGTCGGAATGATTGTCCTCGGTAGCTAAAAAGTTTTTATCGATTCCAATTCGCCCTATGCACATACTTAACGTTCTATACATAGTGGTGATAGAGCTGATAGTGTTTTATATTCTACTCATATAATGTGTGCTTTCTACTTATATATACTCTCCGAGAGTTTAAATACGTTTTTTGTTACTTTTGGTAGTATATTTACAGCTAGCGACCCGGGCGAGTGAATCCGACACTGAATCCTATCGGATCTCACGGTATCCGATAAGATTCCGATAGTATCCCACTATGGGAATCATTCTCCTGAGGACATCTATAAGAAATGTCGAATCGGAGAATACTTGTGTATTTTATATCGGAGAACTCGAAAAGAAGTATTTTAGCAAGGGGGAAAAAGCGATTTATGAGTTTCATGATTTTTCTGAGTTTAGCTGATTTAAAATGAGTTTGAGAAAACGAAAAATTTGCTAAACTAACTAAAAAACTATTCCAAATCATAAATTATTACTGAAAATCATTCAAAGGCACCGAAACTGACGCAAACTCATTCCAATACAGTCAATTTATATTGATTGTAAGTTGAGTTTTACTGTGATTTAAATCAGCTTTTCCCCCCTTGTATATTAGTCTATTTATATTATGTGTCTTAACTTATTCTTATACAACAGCCAACAGTATTAGTAAAAGTTGTGAAAAATAACAAAAAAATTCTGCCAAAAAATACTTTGAGAAATTTGCCACCAATGATAGCTCTCCTTCAATATAAACTAATTATTAATTTTATGAAACATAAATGACATTTAGAATATCTACAATGAGTTCTCGACTCATAAGTTAAGTGTGTCACCTGCAATTCGAATGGGAGTCATCTATTATCATTGGGCTAGATACCATTATAGGAAAAGATTCAAGTTACAGTCATTACGACTTAGCAAATTCACTTAATATTTAGTGTTTTAAATGCAGTTGCGATCCACTAAAATCGATTGTTCGAGCAAAATTCAGTCGCAGCTGCAGTAATTATAAATAATCGATTGATAATCTATCAATTTGACTTATAAAAATTTGCTCAACCATAATAAAAAAAATCACAATTTTGTGAGGGATACTCTTGATTGGGTAGTTGAATGATGTTCATTATAGAAAGGAAATTGAACATGAACTGGTTTTGTTAGTTCCGATAGTGTTTACACTAGAACATTTCAATCTTCTTAAGAAAATATTTTCCATGCGGCGTTTCTGTTTGTTTTGTAAGCAGAAAAAAATGAACTTACTCCATGGACAATGATGATCAAAATTTTGTACACAAACATTACAGATTGAACAATGTGAGACACGTGGTAGACGATAAACTCGACATGTATAGCAGTAGGATGATGCATATTGAAAATTTCGTACAAGAATTGTTCGCGGTAAAGGTAACGATGGAAAATAATGTCCATTTCTTGGTAAAGAATAAAAAAAAATTCTTTCTAAAATTTTTATGAAAATTTTATTTTACGCATCAGTTTGAATATTATTTTCTTTTTCTGTTTGAAGTATCTCATCAGCATTTGGACGTGGAAGAACACCAGGATCATGTAAAGATGCAAATAAATAATTTACGATGGTATAAAAAAGTGTAAGAATAAAAAGAACGGGAAAATAGATATAACGGTTTTGAATGAGTATCGGAAAACTAGAATTAGAAAATAAATTAGATTTAATTTTTTTTTTCTTCAAAAGTCAATGAAATTTACTCCCAGCCTATATGTAAACCAGCTATAACGCAAATTAAAATAACTACAGCAATAATTACAGGCCAAGTTTTATACGTCCAACATGAACGAAAACAGGACACCGTTTTACTTGGATAGATCTAATTAAAGAAAAAGAAGAAGAGACTAGACACGAAGAAGCAAACTTATAATTATATTTAAATACGTACTTCTCCTCGTCGTGCCATTACTGTAGCTGGTATATGAAGAACAACACCAGAAGACATGGAAATGTAAATACAATATGATGTTTGAGTGTGAATCTATCTATAAATAATGAACTAAGATGTTGCTAATGTTGTTTAAAAAATCCTTGATCAGATTTCTTGTTGTCTTTTCGTAAGATGGTATTCCACTGTTGTTTTACATATTCAGAATTTGTATGACAGCAGTCTATCGCAATTTTATTTTATACGCTTCTATACAACATCATGCCAATTTTTTCTAACAGGTGGAAGCCAAAAATGTAGAAAGCTTTTTCTCGTTCTGTTCTTTCTCTTTTTCTATATCCACGCTTTTTTCTCCTTATTTTTTTTCTCTCCAACAGGAACAATAAAGCAAGCAAGAAAAAAAACAAGCAAATAACAAGGCCATTTTATATACAGCTAATGGAATCACCTAAAACTCACACCCAAAACAAATCTTCATGTCTATGTGGATTGAAAAAGAGTAAATTATTAATACTTAGCATAAAATAAAACAATCTTTTTTTGTATTAGAATCTCCATTAATCACATTAGAAAATGCGGATTCAATTATCCAACAAGCTGATGATTATTTACAATCTCTTGTTAACGATAAAATATTCAGTGGCTCCGTGCTTATAGCACGAAACGATCAAATTTTAATTCTGAAAGGTTATGGTTGCGCAGAATATATTTGTCAAGAAAAAAATACTAGTCAAACAATCTATCGTATTGGTAGTGTTACAAAGCCTTTGACAGCAATAATAGTACTTAAATTGCATGAGAGAAAACAGCTTGATATTAAGAATAAAATCTCACTTTATTACCCCGACTATCCTCATGGAAATGAAATAACAATAAAAAATTTGCTTTCAAATACATCTGGCATTTTTAATTATACTGATTTGGAAATATTCGAACAAAAATGTACAGAAAATTTAACAATCGATCAATTAATTGAAGTTTTTAAAAGTGAACCCTTACAATTCAAACCTGGCTCAGAATATAGTTACTCAAATTCAAATGTAAGAAATTCTAAAAGATTATTTTATCTAGTCAAAAACAAAAAATTCTTCTTCTCTTTAGTACATCCTGCTAGGTTTAATTATTGAAAAAGTCACCGGAAAATCCTATGAATCAAACCTTCGAGAAATAATTCTTGAGCCATGTCTAATGAACGATACAGGATATGAATGTGATTGTGATTTTGTATCAAATACAAAACACACTCAACGAGCATGTGGTTATACGTGTGACACGAATACAAATATATTTGAATCATGTCGTTTTATCAATATGTCAACAGCTCGTAGTGCCGGAGGAATTCATTCGACTGTTGAAGATTTATACCGTTTAGATCGATATTTATATGGAGAAAAATTAATACAAAATCCAACAAAAAAGCTTATGTTTAAACCGGTTCGAGAACATTATGCACTTGGGTAAGTGAAAATATTTAATTTTCAAATGTTAGGAAAGCAAACCTTTTTTTTTCAGCTGGGAAATTCATCGGTTAAAGCATGGAAAAGTAAAGCAGCAACATTTTGGTGAAATATTTGGTTTTATCAGTTGTTTAATTCGTTTTCCGAATGACAACGCTTGCATTATTGTATTAAGCAATTTGGAAGGAACGTCAATGCATGAAATTGCTGATACTTTAAGTGATATCTTATTTCAGGAAAAATAATTAATCACATGAAAAACCAGTATTATCTTGACGTTGATGATGAAAAAACATGAATAGATGCTTGTTTTTATCACAGTCAAAATCTCACAGCTCAATTCGCATGTTATAATTAATTTTTTTTCTGCTTTTGTTTGGTAACATGTTCTATAAATTAAATTCAGACAGGAATGTACTCGTTTTTTTTCGGTGTAATGAACCTATTATATGCAATAGAAAGAATAAATCTAGCTTAGTCACGTTCGTTACATGGACATTACGATAAAATAAGATTTATTTGTCACAAAAAAAGATAGTAATCATTTTAATTAGGTTCTCTAAAAGACTTTAATCAAATACAAATATTGCAAATTTTCAATAGAAATCTCTACTAGTTTGATCTATAAATATTAAACCGCGGATACTTTAGATTAATAGTTTTTTATTCTCCAACTAAGAGACACATACATTTGCTTCTTCCATTTTTATCTTCTAGTTTCGTTCTCAATGCAGTGGTAGGAAAAAGCAATCAGGATAAAAACTATGACAGCTATTAATCACATATGATGCCTCAGGCAACTTGCCGCTCGAATAGAACGTCAAAAATCCCTGGTTACTATCTAAAGAATATGATCATTGTATTGTGCGCAATTAATATTATGTCCGGGTTACATGAAAACATTCACCCTGTGAAAATATTGTTTAGTTTCATTGATATTTACTCTATTAGCAGTATTCCAATTAACATTCGTGTGAATCATGACTGTTATCGTTTATTGAACAATAACAAAACAATTTGTACAAAAACACTAAAAATTGACTATCGATGATGATTGTGGTTCTCTTTTCAATGCTCGTAAAAGAGAAAGTATTGTTACTGGCGTAATACCCGGTATTCGACCAGCTGAAGCTAATGTTGTCGGTCGCACTTGTTCTAGTTTTTGTTTTGCTTCATTGGATATTTGTAACTTTTGATAATCGAACGCATCTGGAATAGCGTATGCTTCATCTCGTTTAACTTCGTCAATTTCATTTTTTTGTCTCATAATTAAATGTTCATAAACAGCATCAAGACAGATACGTTCACATAATTCATTATCAGATAATAACATTGAACGTACGCCTTCATCATCCGGTACTAATGCAAGCCATTTTTCATTATCCATCATATAAGGGGCTTGATGAACGAGTGAATAGAGAGATTTTAATGTATCATCTCGACATGAAATAGCTTCAGATGGTGAACTTAATAATCGGCGCCAAACATGAACGGATTTTTTAATATTTTGTAAGCATTCTTTAGCTAGATTATAATTGTTTTTAAATGTTTGAAATTGGCTATAGCGATGTTCACCGACGCAACCAATATCATAGCCCGCTTGTGTTAAGCGAAGATCAGCATTATCTGCGCTGAAAAATTAAAGAGATTTTCAGCTTTTTTTTCTAAAAGAAAATAAATCGAAGAACTCTTACCGCAGAGATATACGATATTCACTTCTTGCTGTAAACATTCGATAGGGTTCAGTTGCACCATGTAGAGTTAAATCATCAATCATTACTCCAATATATCCTTCACCTATTTTTGTTTTTTTTTATACAGAACACATTATATTCTAATTATTTAAATCGAAACTATTTATACCCCGACTAATTGTAAACATTGGTTTATTTAATACTTTACATGCACTATTTATACCAGCTATAATTCCTTGCCCAGCGGCTTCTTCATATCCGGTGGTTCTATGTTTCAAAGGGAAAAATATATAGATTAATCTATTAATTGTAGAAATTTGATTAAACTATGCTCAAACAAGCACTTTTACATTACGTTACATGATTGATTCTATCATATTTTCTTGTAATTATACAATATTTCGACTAATCATCAATTATGTATTACGTTAGATAATTGATTGTATCATGCTTTCTTTTAACTATACAATATTTTGATCAATCATCAATCTCGAAGTAGCTCTAATTAAATCTTCAGATGAATAGAAAACTCGGTTGCTTGAGAAAATGTAATAGTCGTGAGCACAATGCTTTGGCAACTTCATCCATTAGATTATTGTTCTGATCTAGACAAAGTGCTTCTTCAGTTCTTTATCAGAATGAGTTCTCGATTAATAATTGATTGTGAGACTCTCTACGATTAACAATAACGTATGAAATCATTCACAAAGCTTGATTTTCATGAATTTTAAACATATATTCTGTTTACGTGTATGGTATCGATTTTACAGAGAAAGACTTTCCAAGCATACGGAAATATTCGTTTTTCAAATAATACATTAAATTATTTACCCATTGATTTGTCCAGCAAAAAATAAATTCGTAATACGTTTTGTTTCTAAACTTGGCTTAATTTCTCTTGGATCGATATAATCATATTCTACACCATAGCCTGGTCGAATCATATTAACATTTTCTAGAGATGGTATTGTACGAAGCATACGTAATTGTATATCAATAGGCATTGTACAACTTAAACCTTGTGGATAAGTTAGGTCAGAATCAAAACCTTCTGAAAATGTTTTTAGAATAAACACACTGTGAAATTCAATGATAAAAATAAACAAACCAGGCTCAAGCCATACTGGATGTATTTGATTTTTGAAACGAAGAATTTTCGATTCAATGGATGGACAATAACGTGGACCCTGAGCATCTTGTGTTACATGTCGACTTAGATGAGCATTCTGCCGAACAATATCCGCTGTTTCAGCTGTTGTCATAGCTAAATGGCAGCACAATTGTTCTTCGGATTTTATCCAAACATTTTTATTTAAAAATGAAAATGGTAATGGTGGATCATCACCTTTATGTGAAATTGTTTTACTAAAATCAATTGTTTTCGTTTCTAAACGAGCTGGTGTACCTAGAAACGAACTTGTTACAAGAACTAAAATTTCAATATAAAAGTTTACCAGTTTTTAATCGGCCCATTCTAAATCCAAGTTCTTCAATTGATTTCGCTAAATCAATGGATGGTTGATCATTGATTCTACCAGCTGGTTTTTGTTCATCCATGCCAAGATTAATACATCCACGTAAGAATGTTCCAGTTGTTATAATTACTGAGTGACTTGGTATCAATGCACGATTATCTAGTGTTATACCTGTTATGCGCAATTGGTCTTTATCAATAACAATATCATGAACAGCTGCAGTCATGACATGTAAATTTCGTGTATTGAGAATTTCATCTTGCATTGCTTGCTTGTACAATTTTCGATCGATTTGTGCACGATATCCCCATACAGCTCGGCCTTTACTTCGATTTAAAACTTTATAATGAACACCGGTTTTGTCACATAGACGTCCACAAAGACCACTAGTGAAAAATAAATGAGCATTTCTTATCAGAAATAATGATACAAAATAAATATTTTTAGTTACTCTAGAGCATCAATTTCACGCATTAAATGTCCTTTACCAATACCGCCAAAGGATGGATTACAAGACATCTCACCAATGGTCTCTAATTTATGAGTGATCTAAAATTAGTTTAATGATTGTATTTTTATTATTTTAGTTTCTCTTCAGATCATACCAAAAGTGTTCGAACACCCATTCGTGCAGCTGCATGTGCAGCTAAACGAAAAATAATCCTAGAAAAAACCATTATTCTTTTTCAAAGTATCTACCTTCACAACCCGCATGTCCGCCACCAACAACAATTACATCATAAGGCTGAAAAACAGAAGAGTTAACAGGCTGTTTAACAACTCCTTGAATTGGAGTTGATTCAACTTTTAATTTTGATAACGAATCATAACTATAAGTTGTCAACCATTGACGTGTGATAGTTAAATTTGGCAAACGAATAGATCTTAAATTATATCTTTTTATATTCAACATCGGCTATCAATAGAATGAATTCACAATGAAAATCTAGTCTTCGCCGTCGTCCGTTCAATTCGAAAGCTACTATTTTACTTGCTTGCCACTACATGATGATTCATGATCATTGAATTCATTGGTAGATGGTGATATTCACACCACACTAGATGTCAGTACTACATTGCATTCGAATAGATTATATGTTACCCCAAGACATTGAATTATACAATTTTCCTTCGTATACAATTGATATTAGAGTTTTCAAGAGATAAATTTTCAGAAGTACTTAATGATTTTCGTTGCGTTCGCTTCAAGCGAATTCAATAGAAGATTTCTTTTCGTCTGTACGTAAGTCATTCAAAATTCTTAGATAAATCATCCACCGAAACTAGAAACAATCCTTTGTCCACACAAACCAACAACAAACATTTGAGTGATAGTGTTTCGTTAATAATAAATATACATCAAAATTGAAATTCTTTTTTTTCTCAATTTTTCATCGTTATCCTGAGCATTTTGTCAAATCTTCTTGACAATTTTCCATCTTTCTTCAACAAATTTTTAGATCTACTGTTATAGTACCTTTCCGCTCCTTTATCTTGAAATACCGAAATGAAAACCTGTAGTTTAGGTTGCGTATGTGCCAAAATTCTATACGCTTATATCTATCTTTACTTTGTTTACTATCTCACGAAAGTTTCATGCTTCCTTTAAACCAAACTAGATTCCTTCGCCTCATTTATGAATCTCTTTCTATTTCATCTGGTTCCAATCCATTCAAATAAGAACTAAAATCTAAACAAATAGTCATTTATCATTTCATTCTTTATTCACTATTGCGTATTCTCAGATCGATTGGTGGCACACAGCTAAATACGGAGTTATTCAAATTCAACCGTCTTCAAATTATGTGCCATTGACCGAACCTGAATATCTTTCCTTCAAGCTTTACCTGAATGTTACAAATAAAAATGGAAATTTCGACGATAAATCATCTCTCGATGCATGACACCACAATGCACGGCAAATACATAATAGTAGCCGTGAATTAGAGTGCCATAAGTCAAAGAGACAAATATTGTATGAAAAGCAAACCCAGACAAAGTGAAAGAGCAAACTTACCGTAGCGGAGAAGTAGAGATGACCGTGTTCCGATTGTATGATCCGAATTATTGATCGGTGGCTTGGAATCGTGACTATTTATATTCGGAAAAGACTACAATGCCCAATTTCGACAACCAATCTAAAAATTCGAAGAGAGAGAAAATAAGAAAACATCATCACTCTCTCTCTATCTACGTGTGTATATTTTATCTTTTTTCGTGAGAGAAAAAAATTGTTTAACACTTTTCAATTGGTCGAAACGAAAAAGAATGACCAATTGATCGAGGGTGACAAATGAACTAATTGATCATAACATAGACAAAGCTGTATGATGCAATAAACAGCTTGTAGAGAATTTTCATCGAAACAAATTGACAATCGAAACGGACACAGTTCTCACATCTCTGAAAACTGTTTATATTTTTTGAAGATCATTTCACACAACAACACTATATTGTGGTTGTAAACCGAATTTATTTGAATTGAAAATAACATAACGTTTTTAAGATCATGTTTAACTACAAAAATATCGCGCGAAATATGAAAATGTCGTATGCAAGATAAGTAATTTCGATGTTGAGACCGATGAAAATGTTCGAATCGCTTTTAAAATATTATTTAGTGTAAATAAATCTCCAAAATGTTTTCTCATGATCAGCTTGACTCATAACATATATTATAGTTATAGATGTTGTTTTCATCAGTAGAAAAACTTTTCTTCACATCTTCTTTTCTGGTGATAACAACTGGTTCCTATTCTGGCTAGGTGGTCATAGAAAAGCTCAGACAGGGGCCAAATTTTATATTTCGACAAATGTAATACATAGGAACTTCAAGTTTGTCTTTGTGTTCATCAAGAAAAAAAATTCTTTTTGAGCCCAGCTGTCTTTCACAATTGTTTCTAAGCGAGCGATCTATAGATATCGTGTTAATACGTAATCAAAAGTACCTTTTCAACTTAGACTCGTAAAGCGGAAAAGTACTTCTGGCATTGTTAAGGAAAAACCAACATATTTTCACGTTAAATTTCCGATGTATTTAACGACGTGTTTCCTTGATCTTTGTCACATTAGTTTGAGTAGAAGAGATCTATTTATATTGAACATTGTTACGTAACACATTTTCAATAGAATGAACGCAATATCAACATTGTTATTCAATGACATAAACCAGTTGATATGTGAATAAGCAATTTATTTTAACCTGCTGCTTCTAGATAATTCAATTACCTAGAGCCCATTGAACACACCATGCGTATTCGAATATCATCACACTTGACAATCGAATGATAATATTCTGTCGGGGAGAAATGAGAAAGAATGAAAGCACTATGCTGGGAATGGATGAAGTTGTAATATGTAACATATATCATCACCTATTCACAAGCACTTGATAGTCACATAAATAAAATTTTGTCTTTTCGTGTTCGTCTAATTTTATAGGAAAAGACGTTATCTTTTAATAAGATATAGTGAAGAGTCAAAAGATCAAAAATAACAAAATTGAGATATTGATCATTGATTGTACTTCTGAGAGAACTTTTACTATGAAAAATATTGTATTTTTGTTTACAAGCTGTTGTTCAATATATGAAATATGTGTGATCAATTAGAAGCATCATCGGGCTATCTGAACAGTGACAACGAACGAACTATTCATCTAATACGAACTAGCATCATTTTTCCTATTCGAACAAGCTGTTACTCTTGAACAATTGTCATCGGTATAGTTGTTGACAAACAGATGACAAAACGTTATGAATCGTCTTCGCTTTTTTTGTTCTTCTTCTTCAAATTAGTAACAGCTCGTAGCAGCTTCACTTGGTAACACCTTGTGTTAGGATATTTTCTTCTTCTATTACTTAGAATAAAGTAGATGCTTATTGGATTGAAAGGTGTCTACTGGAGCGCTAGATAATCGAACAAGATAAATTGGCTTTACTAATAAGATTGTAGAAACATATGATGATGCTATCTATCGAGGATAAGCGTCTTGTATATTCATACGAATAAAAATCTGTCTCAACGTCGTATTAAATAAAGTAGGTAAGAATGATGACAATTTCCTTGAATAGTTCATCGTTTTATCTATTTCTCATCGTCCATTGGCCTTCTTGTAACTGGAAAAACATGTCCTATCGATGGATTAGAATGTACTTTCATACTTTTGTAGAAATTTTCTTGAAATTAATGTCTTGTATGATGTTAAAATAATTCAGGTTCGATCAAATTTGCTTCTTAAATCCATCAGAAAAAAATTCTGAACGTACTCAATAAACATCCTCTTTCATATTGATAAATGTTCTTTCTGGTGTTTCCACAGCATCAACGATTGAAATGGTACGCTGTGAAGTTTAATTTCTATGTAACCATCCTAAGAGACTTAAAGCATGACGAATATTTACATTTCGTCATTAGTTACTCCTTATACAATAATCCGAAGCGGAAAATTGGAGAAAAAAAATCAATAACAAACCATGAAATAAGCATAACCAATGTTTATTAGACAGACTTGTAAGATATTGTTGCCAAAAAGCTTAATGTCATGAGAACAATCACATAGATATACAAAAAATTAAAAAACTAATGATAATACAGAATGCAGTATCTATTGCGAGATAACTGTTTTCTCTTGAAAAAGATATTTTTTAAATTTTAGCACGATACGCATTCGTTCATGAGGCTCATTTGATTCTGCATCGGCATCGGTTGTTGTTGCTGTTTTTGATTGTTGTTTTCGACCTTTTGCGTTATTGAACAATTGTTTTGTTTCAGCGGAAAGACCATCTCGATGAATAGTTGATGTTAGTTAATAGTTGAAAAAGAAAAAAACTTACTCATAAATCGAACTTTAAATTTTCCACTTTGTCCAAATGATGATTCAATAAAACCTTGTTCACCTTTTGGTGTAAGTTCAACTTTAAAATTAACAAATGTATTTATATTTGTTTCTTTTTGAAATAGATCTTTTCCAATTATTGTCTGATCATCAACGACTCGATCAATGAAACCGACTTTCTCTTTTCGTTTATAAACTCGAAGTTTACTTGGTAATTCTTTATTTAAATAGTCAGTATCGATAAAGCCATCAAGAACATGGCCATAAAAAGCAAGACGACATGTATTTGCATGAATATCTGTGTCTAAACGAGAGCCGATCATAATTGATTGTAATTGACAAGCGATTGGCGATTCAAGTTCAATTAAAGCCTGTTGGAAGACAGAAAAAAATAAAAATTCAGATTAAACGAACTGTTTTGTTTTACATACATATATATGTTTATTTTCTGAGGAATCTTCACTTGAATATTGATCAGTAGCTTCATATTCTTTGCCATAATTGAATTGATCATCGTTATTATTCTGTTCTGTTGAATGATCAATAAATAATACGATTTTACCCATAACAGTTGCGTGGCCACAAGTAATATGAAATTTTGTTCGACTTTCAATATCATGTTTGAAATGCTTTACTTTATTAACTCGAATAATTAATCCATGAAATATTTTTATAACACCTGGTGTAGCTAGAAATCATTGTGAGAGAAAAAAAAGTCAATAGTAAAACCATAAAAGTTATCTCTCTGACTCCCACAGAGATTTGAGCTGTGATTCAATCTCTACTCGTAATATTCTCAATAAAAAATTTAAACTAAATATAATTCGCAACTCCTTTCAGATCTTATCGAATTTCACTTACAAACTATTCCTCGTTCGAGTTTATCTGGATCAAATTGAGTAACACATAGACCAATACGATCACCTTGAATAGCTCTATCGATTGGTTTACGAAACATTTGCATTGATTTCACTTTACGAACTTCTTTAAGTGATACAATTTCGATCGACTATAATTAAACAGATGAAAAATGATTGTTTTTTTTTTGTTTTTCGAAATGGCAAATCGATATTATTACATCATTAATTCGAACTGAACCTGATAGAACTGTACCAGTCATAACTGTTCCTTGACCACGAATTGAAAAACAATGATCAACAGAGAATATAAATGGACCTGTCGCTGATCGATGAGGAATGTAAACATGTTGCTGCAGTGTTGATACAAGTTCATTGAGATTTAATGATGAAACTGCCGAACAAGGAATGATAGGTGTCTGTGGAAATTTCGTTGATTCAAATGTTTTACGCAATCGTTTTGTCATCTGAGTAGCTAAGACAAATGAGTTGTACGATACGAATATTTTTCCTTTCTAAATATACCTTGTCTATGGTTGCCTGTTGTTGATCTTCTTCGATGAGATCGATTTTATTCAATACAACTAGCATTTTATCACAAGTAATTTCACCAATAATTAGGCATTCAGCTGTCTGTGTTTGTATACCTTTTGTTATATCAATTACAAGTAACATTAGATCAATTATTTGAGCACCTAAACAAAAATGATTCCTTCATTGGAATTTCTTAACAACCTTTGTTAATCACTAGCTAGCAATGTGATTCAATATCTGAATCACGAAAATGAACTTTTCACTTTTGTTTTTAATGAGATTATTTCTTGAATTATTCAAACTAAAAACTGTTTTTATGCTATCAATAAAAACTTCGAAAAATTTGTTCTTTCAATTAAACAAAGTCATTTATCGAATGACTGAAATAGACTACGAATTCTCGAAAACTGATTCCAAACATCATGATGAGAATTTATCAATTCGCTCGTTACTTCTCCTATTGAGAACATATCCGTACGTTTCAGTAGTTACACGATTTTTGATAGCATTGAATTTATTTTCAAAATTACAATCTCTATCAATATTAAATTGTTAGAGTTATTAATTTACCTCCAATAATTGTTCTTATTAAAGATGCATGTCCTGGACAATCGACTAGAGTAATTTGTAATTGACTATAATTGCTGCTCTTCAAATGTTCCGGCATATCGATTGTAAACGATGAAAAACCCAGGTCAAGTGTTATTCCACGTTCTTGACTTTGTGGATTTTTATCAAAAGCATTTGTACTGAAAACAAAAAATTTGTTTTAGACAAGTTTCATCTCAAATCTATTCATATCCACCTAGCAATAGTACTCAATGCTTTAGCAAGACTTGTCTTTCCAGAATCGACATGTCCTAGTACACCAACATTAAAATTAAGTATCGACATCTGAAGAAACAAAAATCAATTGATGATCGTTATGCAGACAATAATCTTTGTTTTTACATACAAAAAAACAAACATAAGAAACGAAAAAGACAACAACAATAGAATTTTTCTTTTTCTTTTTCAGATTTGATTTAGAGTCTATCAATGAATGATTATAATTTGTTTATGGACGACCACGTTTATCGTTACGATAACGATCATCAGGTGATCTTGAACGATGATGATGTCGACGTTGGTCTTCACGCGATGAACTACGTCGATGGTGATGATGTTTATGTGATTTGTAACGGTCTGAATTATCATACCGTTCATGATGTCGACGACGATCAGATGAACGTGATCGTTCTCGATCGTCACGAGAAGATCTACTGAAAAGAGACATTAAATATTCTATATAAAGAATATTTCAATTTACCTATGTTTTTTATCCCGATGAGAATCTGATGATGATGAGTAATGTTGATTATAAGATCCATTACGATCTTTGGATGATGAAGCAGCATTGCCAAATGTTTCAGGCATATCAATAGCATTGGACGATTTCGATTCGTATTGTTCGTCCTCATAATCATACCTGTAGTAAATTAAATTTGAGGAAAAAAACATGCAAATGTATAACATGAGAATACAATATGACAACAACATGTCCTTCTTGCTTACTTTCCACCTCACATACCTTGAATTTGCACCATAACTATCGCCCTTATAGGGACCATGAGCATGTAGTCTTTCCATGATCTCTTTTTGTACTGGAACTGGTATTCGGGGAAATAATGTATCATACCATCTGCAAGCAAAAAGTAAATCTCTATATCTAAGAATAAGAGCTAGTATTATATGTATACATACTCAATACGTGTCAACCATTGACGAAGCATTTGGCCTATTGACATAACACCACCACCACCAGCTTTCACATCTAAAGTCTATTAAAATTAAAATTAAAATTAAAAATTAAAATCTCTCTATATCAATTTACTTCTGTGTCATCAAGATATTCTTCAAACCATTCAAATAATTCATTAGGTGGCTGAGTATATCTATTAATAAAAATAAATAAAAATAACATTGTTACGTTAATTAGTTTTTGAACTTACCGAATATACATAAAACCCAGCGCACGTATAAATGGTGAATCTGTATGAATAGTTAAACTAATGACTTGTTTTCGTGTTAATTTTAATGTATACAATTTATATAATAAACAAAATGCAGTCGATACAATACCACCACCGCCAACACCGCGGACCTGAATAGTAAGAAAATCTTGTGAACATTTAATTGCTATCATTCTATATAACAGAGATCTACTGAATGATATCTGTATTTTAGACGTTTATTATTCTTTTTTTTTTTAGTATGTATATATCCCTCTCATTGATATATAGACTTACGACAGTAAAAATAGTGTCAATGTAGAGTGAGTTTTGGATATATCATAAAAATAGAATTTTTTAACCCAAATCCAAATATATCCTTGCTAGTCAACGAAAGAACTATAACATGTTCATCTAAATGAAATATTTCTATATGTATATAGAATTTAATAACTTACCCCGCCACACATGCCAGTTAAACCCGATGTTTTTCGACTTCCTTTTTCCCATGGTTCTAAATGTTTGACCTATAAAACATAGAGGAAAAAAATTTGATGAATAAAATCCAACAATGTATTTACTCGATAATAAATTTCATCGACAACTTCATGATAAGTTTTTTTTTCATATAATGCACTTTTGAAATACTGTGATGACATGATATTATTGAGTACGAGAGAATTTAAATTCATCGAATCTTTATTTCCCCAAGTACCAAGAATATTTGAATCTTTTGCCATGATTCCGTGTACTAATTCGATCGATCTAAATATTTCAATGTAATCGCCGTAGTATATACGCAAGACAGAAGAAATATTTCAAAAAAAAATATCTATATGATTATTGTTGTTCTGGAAAAATCGATAAACCAATGGGAGCAAAGCGCTGTTAGCATTTAGTAAAAATAATATTGATAAACATATCAAAAGTGTTTTTTTCTGTTTCAAGTTTGAATTCGAAACTTTTATTTTGAAAAAAAACGAATCATTTTTTCCCGATCCGTTCTTTACCATGTGGACACATGTTTATGGCCGCAACGCAACGTAAACATCATGTTCGTAGTTTTACCTAGCAAATCAATAAGGTAGTATCTGACTAGAAAAAAGAATTGATCAGTGAGTAAAACAAAGAAATTTGAAGAATTAAAAACGTAATATAGGAAAACTATAAAATTAAATTATCATGTAGAGTTGCATGTTTGAGTATTTATTTGTCAATTATGATTTTAGATTCTAATACATTTTCGACAAAGATATTTGAGAAATGTCAAGTCTTTTGACACAATTAGTTCGTCGTCAGGCATTGATGATGGTGCCTCGTCGTTCAGAAACTGTCCTTATTACGGCTGGTCCACCATTGAATAAAGTGACAAACAAAGTATGAAAAAAATCAAATTGTTCTTTATATGTCTCACGATATATTTTTTTTCTTTTTACATATTTTTAGGAAAAAATGATTGTTTTAGGTATGTTTTTTGCTATACCAATGATCTATCCAATCTACGTTATGTCAAATTTACAAAAATATAATGGATCAAATCGTACATTGAGCAAAAAGAAGAAAGTCAAAGCTGCTACAAATTGATTGACCAAACAAATCCGACGATCAATCGTTTTTCCATCCTAGAAGATATTCGACCATCTTAAAACCTAATAGATTATTCCTTTTTTTTGTCCTGTGTTTTCTTTTTGCTTGTCGTCATAAATAAAAACAAAAACATAGTTCCCTGTTTAATACAAGTTGAAATTTTTCTTTTCATAAGATTATTTAGATTTTTTCTTTAGATGCTTGTACGGTTTTCATGCTACAGCATAATCTATTTTCGAATGGGCATTTTCTCTTAAAAAGCAAATCACACTATCGAATATCGTCTGTTCTTCGTCGTTTAGCTTCATATGATCAACATGAATCACCAACGCTTCCTCATCTGACGCACGCAAATCCAATATTAACATTAACAGATAGAATTCCATCAGCATGTCAAATTGTTATTGCTGGTGGTGGAATCATTGGACAGTCGGTTGCTTATCATTTGAGTGAATACGGTGCTAAAGATATTGTTTTAGTCGAAAAAGCAAAGTAATATTTGATTTGTAGAAAAACAAAAAATCAATAAAATATATTTACTGAAATGGATAGATTAGCTTCGGGTTCAACATGGCAAAGTGCAGGACAAGGCATGCACATACAAAATACATTGATTCAAACATATTTTACTAAGTATTCAAGAGAATTATATAAAAAGTTACGTGATCAAGGACAGGATGTTGGCAAGTTTTTAATAGAGAATTCGGGTTTTCTGAAAGACTCATTTGTTTTCTCTTTTATTAGGTTTTTCTGAAAAAGGTGGTCTATGGATAGCACAAACAGCCGATCGTTTACATACATTAAAACGGCAATATGCGATCATAAAAGCATTAGGGATTGATTGCGAAATATTAAATATTGATAGAATAAAAGAGAGACTACCATTTATTAATTCACATGAGATTTGGGTAAACAACCGAAGCAAAATTTAGATTTTAATTAATTATTAGAAATTATTTTTCTAGGGTGGTCTTTTAATTAAAGATGATTTTATGGTTGATCCTGTACCACTTGCTTTGACATTTGCCAAATTAGCAATAGATAAAGGTGAGTAAAAGAAATGTTTTTTTTTCTGATGATCAGAATTCACTATTCATGCTTTCTTTTGATTATTGATTATTTTTAGGTGTTAAAATAATTGAAGATTGTGCTGTTACTGAAATTTTAACTGAAAAACAGCGTGCTGGGCAATATGATCGAATAACAAGTGTTGTCACATCACAAGGACCTATTAAATGTGATATATTTATCAACTGCACCGGATTGGTAAAGCTATCTTTGTTTTTAATTACAAAAGATTTAAAATAATTCTAATTGTTTTTCTAGTGGGCTCGCGAACTTGGATATCGATCTTCGCCAGGAGTACGTATTCCTACGCAAGCATGTGGTACGTAACATATATCTCAAGAAAACATCATCGAAATAATTTTATATGAAATATTTTTATGGAATACAAGAAGCGTTTTAGCTGTTAATTTGAGAAGAAGTTATAATATAGATCTTAACAATCAGAACATAATTTAATAGAAAATCCCCAAGGATTGTAGTATTATATTAGAAGTGATATTCAATTCAGTAGCTTTCTTTGGAAAGATCAGTAAAAATTGCTCCAGTGAGTTTCTAGAACATTTTATTCTATTGCAATATTTTTCACTGTAGAAAGTTTTTTTTGTAAGATTCAGTTTTTATATTAATATTTGATCATACATTGAAATGGATATCCGTCTACGCTGAAAAAACTCTTTCATTTTGTTGGATCTCTGAAGCATGACATAAAAAGAGGATCAGAAAATCGATAAAGTAAAATATCAGCATTGGCCTGATGGTGGACAAGAATTACTTGGCTAGTACTAATAGTTTTTGTTAAAATTTTACATATTAAATAATTAATTTAGAATACATCTGTTTAAAAACAAAACCAATAGCAAATTTTCCGAAACGAATGCCTATTGTGCATAATCCGGATGAACGTTTTTATATACAACCGTTAGTTAATGACTCCGTATTAGTCGGTGGCTTTATACGCGAATCGAAACCTATTTTTTTAAATGGTGTACCTGAAAATTATAATTATTCGCTTTTACCTGACAATTGGGATGATTTTCGTAAGTTATTTGCTTCTTGTTTTGTTAAATCAATCGGCAATCATAAAATCGTTTACAGATTGGATATTAAACAATGCTATCAAACGATTTCCTTTACTTGGAGAAAGTGAATATGAATCTTTAATAACAGGCGCTGACAGTTATACCCCCGATGGTCGACTAATAATGAATGAATCTGCTGAAGTTAGTCGTTTGTTTTGTTTTCTTCATATAAAGGTATCGATGAATAACTATTTTCTAGATTGACAATTATTTCGTCGCATCAGGTACTAATGGAAGTGGCATAGCAGTTGCAGGTGGAGTGGGAAAATATATTGCAGAATTAATACAAACCGGTAACACAGATTTCAGTACGTGGTCTGTTGATATACGTCGTTTTATGCGTTTACATACAAATAAACGATTTTTAAAGGATCGTCTTCGTGAAATTCCTGGTAAAAGATTCGAATTGTTGTTCATTTTTTTCAACTCGAATCATTGCTTTAGGACAACAGTATTCTTTGAAGTATCCGACATATGGCATGTCATTATATCGAACAGGACGAAAATTGCGTGTCTCAGCATTGCATCCAAAATTACAAGCGGCTGGTGCTGTTTTCGGTGAAGTACTTGGATATGAACGCCCATTATTTTTCAATCTAGATGAATTTGAAAAAAGTATTTTTAGAAAATTATTCTTCATTTTTCTGTATTCGTCGACTTTTATCTTTCAGGAGAAAATATTGAAGATCTCAGTAAAGAAGGCACATTTGGTAAAGCACGGTGGTTTAATATTGTAAAACGAGAATATAATGCATGTCGAAAAGGTGTCGCTATTATTGACATGACATCATTTACAAAATATGAACTTAAATCAGCTAATCGAAGTGTTGTGGATTTTCTTCAAATGCTTTGTGGAAATAATATTGATAAGCCCATCGGTAGTGTTATTCATACGGGTATGTTAAATGAACAAGGTGGCTATGAAAATGATTGTTCTCTTATACGTCTTGATCAGTATCAGTAAGAACATAAAGAAAGTTCTTTATCAAATCGTTACTATTCTGTTTCTCAATACTAGTTTTCTTCTCGTAAGTCCAACATCGCAATCGACTAGAAGTATGAAATGGTTGAAATCTCATGTGCCAGAAGATGGATCTGTTTTTCTATCGGATGTAACATCACTTTATACAGCATTGAATGTCATAGGGCCAAAAGCAAAATATTTATTAGCCGAATTAAGTGACGAGAATTTTAATGATTTTGCAAGGATGACTTGTCGAGTGAGAAAATCCTTAATTAATTAATTGAATTATAATTTCTTGTCGCTGTTTTAAAGGAGATTGATGTTGGTTTTGTCAGTCATATTCATGCGATGAGATTGACACATACCGGTGAAGATGGCTTTATGCTTTATATTCCGTCAGAAGTAAATAAATAAAGATATTGATGTTTTATTTACAGAAAAACTATTCATACATTTTAGTATGCTCTATGCGTTTACGAACAATTGATGGAACGAGGAAAAGATTATGGAATTATTAATGCTGGGTATGAAAATATTTGAATTTTTAGTTTTTTTTTGTATTCGTTTGCTTATTTTTTACAGCTATTTTGCTCAGCGTACTCTTCGAATCGAACGAATGTATGCATTTTGGGGCCAAGACATAGACAAGAAAACAACACCATTTGATTTGAATCGAGAGTTTCGTGTTTCATTTGATGTGAGAAAATATATGTTTTGTTTTTTCGATTCAAACATTTAGTTTGTCTTTTAGAAAGAATTTATTGGTAAGGAAGCTCTTTTGAAACAGAAAAAAGAAGGAATACAAAAGAGATTTGTGCAATTTCTTCTCGATGATCATGATAAAGATGTTGATCCATGGTAAAGATAAATCTTTTCTTATTTTAATCATAATCAATTGGTGCTGTTCGTTTTCGTTAGGCCGTGGAGTGGTGAACCTATTTATCGCAATGATGAATTTTGTGGGTTTGTTACATCTACTGCATATGGTTTTACACTTGGAAAACAAGTATAAACTTAAAACATACTTAAATAAATGAGGAAATATCGGATTCGCATCCGATTGTTAGGTGTACTTCAAAAACTGAGTCGATTTATATATGTTTTGAATAATTCTAAGAAAAAAATCCCTGTACCCCGCTCCCGCAGAGATGGTCTGGTTAATAATGGTAATTTTTTCGATAACTCAGCCATTTCTTGATGGATCCTTCTCTTTTTCGAACTCGACTGAGATAGTGATGAGATCATTCTGTGTACAAAATTTCAAGATAATTGGATGACGCTTTCAAGAGTTATCGTGTTAACGGCCGGACACATTGACCGAATTTAGAGTGTACTCACTTTTTGAGTACACAAAAAACTTCTGGTAGAAGCATTTTAATTTTCTATAAAAAAAATGATTTTCAAAATACTTGGAGTCTGGATGTGAACGGTTGAAGCGAAGACAACTTTATACTTGCAGTTGCATCGGGGTTGGAGTGGGCCTCTATCTTCACTAAAAATTCGCTTTAAAGGTAAAATAAAATGTCAATCTGGGTTTGTCGCCTGGATTATTGACAGATCATTCGTAACCAAGATGCTTGATTGACGTATTTAATGCATAAAAGACTTGCAGAATCTGCTTATCTGTTTCATTTTTGTTCTATGATTTCTACTAATTGTATATGCGTATTGCTGATCAGAAACCTAACAGACGATTCATTAGAGTATATGCAGAGAAAATTTCTATAAGATATTGAAATACTTCTGTCACTTGTGTTAGTATACTCCAAATAAATCTACAATTGATTTCTTTCGTTTAGGTATGTTTGGGATACGTTCATGCACCAAACGATCAAAAAATCACAACAAATTATATACGTCAAGCAACCTACGAAATTGACATTGGCACCAAACGTTTTAAAGCGCGCCCTAATTTATATCAACCGTCTGAAATGGGCCCAACAGTTCAACTTAGTACACCATAGAACATAAATAGTATCATTATGTAAACATTTCTGACTTCATGTATGCAAATTTGCCAGACGTATGAAATAAACCTTAGATTATAGTTTTTAAAATACTCACAATTAACACGAAAAAAAAACAAAATTCTTTCTTTTCTTCTAATTATTTATTATTTTGTATGTGTCTATATATTTTTTTTCGTGCAAAAAATATAAAATCAGCGACATCTATGAAATCCATTTTTCAATAAGTGCAACAACTTGTTGACGTGCTTGTAGTACACTTGGTGGATCAGCTTTATTAGCTGCACGTAAATCAAGATGATGAGCACCACCAATTACAGGTATGGCTGGAAGAGAAGGAGCAACTGTAGTACGAACACCACCAGATGACCATGGATCGAGATTTCCATTTGTAAAAGCAATATTGGAAAAGAAGCGTAAATCTGTTAAATTTTTGCCACCATATTCAATGTATGGCCATTCAAAACGTGGTCGGACTTTCCACTGATCATAGCAAGCATCAGAGAAAGCTTGAAAATCCCATGGTTGATTTTCAAACATATCATTGACACCATCAGAACACATTGGCATAACAAATTCAGTACACGATTGATATGACCAACCCAAATCACCGAGACTTGGTGAACCTAAATAGTTCGGGATATTCTCGAAAAATGTGAATGCTTACATTTGTTTTTCTTTTACCTTGTGAGCCTGTATCAAAACATTCAGTTTGTCCAGTATAATTAAAGAAAACATTTGTTCCTTTAATAATTCGTCGAACAACATCTTCATCGTCATTTTTTCTTAGTCTTAAAACTGCTGATGTTACATTTGAGCAAAATACTCGTGCTGGAAAAGCAGGCAAATCAGCTAGAAACGATGTTGGATATGGATAATCAACCATAGCTATATTTCCATACATGTCAAGTAACCAATTTTTTAGTTCATCAACAGATTTTAAAGGATTGCAAAGTTTAAATAAATTTCCAAGACGTTGTAAGCCACTTGCGCTTGATCCAATACGATTAATAGCACCCCATGATGATCGAATGATATCAACGCATTGTGCACTTTCTTGAAGAAAATCTTGAGTAACAATCTTTCAAACATAAAGTACGACTGTAGTAAGAGTGTCAAATGAAAACAAAAAACTTACTCGAGAAAATGCTTCACAAGGTGTTGTCATTTGAAGAATTGGAGCTGAGGCTGCATGTGCGCCAACAACAACGTGTGGATATTTCATTCGAAAATATGCAGCCAACATTCCTCCATACGATCCACCAAAAACTATTACTGGACTGAGTTCAGCACCTTTTATTGAACTATGAATATAATCAAGTAAATAGGCATAATCAGCAAGTGCTTGTCCACTAGTTAAATATCTTGCTGTAAAAAGAAATAACTAAAAAATGTATTGTTTTGCATTAGGAAAAGAAGCATTTACTATATTCAGGATTTGAATATGATTGATTTCCGTATGGTAATGATTGACCATAATAGCGATGTTCAGCAAAGACAACCATTGCATTAAATATTGGTGCAATATCCCACACTAAATTATATCGATTAGACATTTTTTGTAAAACAATTCATTTACTTACTGAAGCCAGTATTGTCACAGAAAAGATCGATATCACCTATTCGAACGCAAACACGTCACAATCTATTGAGTATTTTTCAAGTGTTCAAACAAACCTTCATTTCCTGCATAGAATAAAATTGGTTTTCCATTTTCCCAAACGTCTGTATTTAATGTATATCGTTGTTGATATGTATCCATATTACTGAAACCAAAATGGTCAACATTTTGCTTAATGGTTTTAAATTGTCTACATCGATCATCACGAAGACGATTTTGTGAACGAGAAACAACATCTAAGCGACGAGGTTTCGCCCATTTTGCTGATGATAATTGTAAGCAAACCAGAAGACAACAAACAATGAAGGAAACCTTCGTAATAATGTTAGTCGTCATCTTGAGACGCAAAAAGGTAAGTGAAGCAGTAAAAACTAAGACAGAAATCTGAAGTCATAGTTAACAAATAAAAACGAAGATAAAAATAAACATAGAGCCGACTCATGATGATATGGCTCTCTTTATTGATAATAAAAATGAAAAATTATCACCAGCGCGGATAGTTATTTATATTAGATTTGGATGATATTATCTTGAAAATACTATTACATAATCTTGGTCGTGTATACAAAAAAAAATTAATTTGTCATTTTTACGTGGATTGTATTTATGAAAGTTTCAAGCATACTGTTTCTTTTAATACAAAACTAATGTTTACTTTTTCTGATTAAATTATAACAAAAATCTCATCCCCTTCCACTTAAACAATCATCAATAGATATCTTCGATTTATTTAAAAATTCACTAAGTAACCATTGATTACATAGTAACTTGAAGGTGTGAGGGTAATATTTGTAGGCATTTAGTATCAGATCTTTTCTGAGTTGAAAGTAAAGAAAACAATACAATCAGGCCTATTTAATTCAAAATTTTGTCATCATGTAATCATCCCATGGTACGGTAGCTTTCAGTAGGTTTTTATACGCTACCTTTAAGTTTAAATAAATGCTCTACATTTATTCATATAAATTATCATTCTTTCTTGTGATAATTGAATCAATACAAAAACAACTATCTAAGAATTAGAAGAATTCATTGAGTCCACAAAAGAAAATAAAACTGCAGTTTTATTTTCTGCTTCTATTTATATTTAAAGAAAAGCATAGGAAAATCTGCTGTATGGATCAAAAATTTTTACAGTCGATCAACGTTCATCTCGAAGAAATTGACTGATTTTCAATAATTGACCGTTGCTTTGGTGTATAAAGGTTGCAAACGATAACCTAAAACAGCAATAAAAATCTTAAGATATAATTCAATTTTGTCTCCAATCATAAGAAAAATTTTATTCTCCAGTTAATTATTTATATAATTTACCTGTCTCTGTATGACTTCAAGATTTTCTTGTGCATATTTTAACACTTCAGCTATCTTTGTTGGATCTTGTAAATTACGATTTTTACGAAAATCTTCGCGTACTCGTCGAACAAAATATTCACTAAATAAAAAGTGAAACCAATCAAACGATGAACACCAGATAGATAAGAAATGGTAGAAAGATATCAGAAAAGATGCCATCTAGCTGCTATACTTAAACAAGAGCTACTCAAAAAGTCAATAGCTCGTGAATTTGTTTTTGTCACACCTTATTGTATCAGACTGGAAACTACGGTTCTAGATCTTAATAGGTTTTTGTGTCCTGATTCACCAGCTCACGGATTCAGAAAAGGAATCGTAGATTGTCAGTCCTTTACTCCTAGGACGAAATGCAACTATGTTCGAACACTTTTCTAATTGAATTTTAAATCTTAATTTCTCCATCAATGAACAGAGAATTTCTGGAAATCTGGTTCATCAAATGTTGAATTCAAGATTTGCTTGTTAGCAACTAGAAACGAACTATATGTTGACCTTCAACGAGCCTGTTCATGATCAAACAATACCTTGCCATAGAAACGACCTTCTACAAAGCACTGCAGATAACATACCTGTTTTTAAAACAAAAAACAAAAACGATTTACCAATTGTATGTTCTTTTCTAATCAAATTTTGCAGTTACTTCTAGTGTTTATAAAGTTCACCATCGATAAACGAACTATGACCATTTTAGTTCTCAAAAATTCGCTGTCCAAAAACGAACATGCTCATAACTTAAAACCCATACTAAAACAGTATTGGTTTTAGTCGATTAAATGACTCTAGTCTCAAGCAATTCAACAGTTGAGCATGTATCATCTTCAGATGAATATTTTCAATAGATAATAAATGAAATTTTTTGATTCGACCACAAATAAAATTAGGCACAGGTATACTCGTCTACACGAAAACAAAAATTCTCCAGTAAATTTCTAGCAGAAAGTGAGGTCTAATGCTACTTATGATCCACTCTCTCGATGAAGAAATACAACATTTACCGATAATTATAAAGTGAAAATTTGTGACATTCACGGAAAAGGTGTTTATATAGAGTTAACGTTGCAAGTTTGGTTGAATTCATCTAGAAAAAAATGCTCATATGAAATAACATATTTTTCTTTTTACTCTAATAGAAAACAAAAAAGAAACAGACAACAAGAGAAATTATGTTAAACGACTAAGATGTATTTCACGAATATTGCGTTTTTCTAATGTTTTAATTTTTCGGGTTTCTTTATATAAAACTTCTTGATCAAGCCATGGATCTTTATGTAGAAATTCAAGTTTTTCTTGTGTTCGTTCACGTATACGCATTACACGATGACCAGTTGCTTGAGATTCACAACTAACAAGTAATTGCCGTCCACTTTTAGCTGCTTGAAGTATCAATGATAAACGCATTATTTATTATATCTAAAGACATAATTAAGCGAAATAAAATGTTATTATATAGACATTAAAACTCCATGATGGGACGATCTTTTCATTAAAAATGATTTTGTTAACACAATAATTTTACATTTTAAAATATTTATTTTAGAAAAAAAAGTCGTTTTCAAATTAGAGACAATCAATGTTTGAATAGATTCTTTTTTTGGTTCTATAGAAAAACTTGACAGACATATTTAACCAAACAGGTAATATAGATCTGTCATTGAAGGTCATAAATAAAAAACATTTGTATCAAATACAATGAATAGGACAACATCGTTGTACACTAATTGGAGGTCTTATTCAATATCTCACAGACTTGATCCCTGTTCTCTCAGAAAAATGAGCGATACCAAAAGGTGCACCAATAGCAACCATATGACTCATTGTAAATATATAGTCGAATAGTTCTTTTGTGTTCGATAAAGTTTTTGATAAATTTGAAAAAGATTTCACTGTTTCTAATAGAAGAAAAACAATCACGTCTCTTCAACCTGACGATGTTGTGTGCGACTGAAAATCTATGTTTACATAGAAAATAATTTTACATTTTTTCCCTTGTTACAATTATTGTGTCGATTTGAAATACCAAGCAATAAATAACTTCATTAGTTATATAATAGATGATGACACAAATAATACCCCATATCTAAAAAAAAAGACAGTTCTTGTGCTCTATGTTTTGTTTTATTAAGAATAAAAAACGAAAAGGAATCGAGTGTTTCCCAATAAAAAACTTCAATAAACAAAAATCAAGAGATAAAACCAAAAGAAAAAAGAACAAAAATTTTGGTATTATATATAGATATATTTTTCTTTTATCGAAACATGTAAAGAAGAAGAATAATAAGACAAATCGCTATGACCAAACCTAGTACAAGTGAATCTTTACGTTTTTTGACTTTTATTTTTTGTAAAGCATTATTAATCAATGGAACGCGGCTCGTTAAAGAATTAATTTTAGTTGTTATATTTGAAAAATATTTTCGTTGATCTGATAAATCTCTTTTAACCATTGATGCCATTTCTAAATTAGCATCCATTATTTTATGTGAATTGCTTAAGTGATTCATTTCACGTAAATAATAATCTTGTCGACGACTACTTAAACCTGCCGACGATCCAAGATCAGAAGTATTTGTGTTTGTTTTTATCAAAAGATCTTCACGAATTTTAAAATCTCGTATATTTGATTTTGTACGTTCATATTCACGGCGATAATCTAGTAATATGTCATGATGACGTTGTAACGTGTGCGTTGCTGCAGAATTTGGTCCCATTAATGATGGTACAACATCACCCATACGTTTATTTATATCTGATAAACGTTCAAGAAGTTTTTCAATTTCGAGCGACATCGTCTCAAATGATGATGTGCAAGTTGTGGTCGCCGACGAAGAAGAATCATGTGGATCATGTGCAACATAATTTGAACATAGCTTAGAAAAGGACATTAATTTACTATCGATTTCATTTTCGTTTTGACGAGCTTGTTTACGTAAATCTTCCCATTCAGTTGCTGGCGCTGTAGACATTCGCGAATTTGTTGCCTGTAGATTTAAAGGATATGTATTACCGAGTGAACGGCTCATAATAGAATTAAATATGTATGAAATAAAAGCATCGAACCTTTTTTTACCATTAGAAATTAAACGAAATATTACTAACAGTTATTTGAAAATAGAAATCAATCATCATACGTAATGGATAATCGAATGGAGTAATCCTAGACAGGTGGAATTTATGGACCTATCATATGATAGTCTGCAATAACTTCAACATAACGTATGCCAATTGTTGAAATATAGAAAATTAATGATCCGACAAGCTTTCTAATTTTGTTTTAAGCTTGAAAAAATGAGCTGCAAGAAATCATCGGCTAGTGACATCTAGCACGGAATGAATGCAACAGGACCTAAATGGTATTATCTATTTTAGTTTGCTCCTATTCTTCTTCTCCGTATCTGTTATGCGTTTATTTCTTTTTCCTTTCCTATCAACTATTATTATTACTTCCAGAAGTTCGTATCAATATACTACAATTGAGAGCAGCCATGTTCTTGTCATTGCTTACAATCATCGCTATCTTTGGTAATCTTCAAGGCAAGCCAATTATTAGTAGAAACGTATCTGGTAAGATTGAACGGATTTCGAAAACATGTATATTACTATGTTCTATTATAGATTGTAGCATAACCGAAGATGGAATTCTTCATTATCGAGGCAAACATTCATTTACCAAATTTGAACATGAATGCTTACCATGGATTGATTTTCAAACGACGTCTAGTGACATTGTAAATGAAGCAAATTTTTTCGATGATCAATCTATTAGAGCAGCAGAAAATTATTGCCGTAATCCTAATATGAATATTAATGGTCCGTGGTGTTATGTTCAAGATGAAGATGATATTAGTATGGAAGGATGTGATGTTTGTCGCAGTCTTTGTATGTGAATAATATGAACGAAAAGAATGTTTTGAAATCATTTTTATTATAGCTTTTCGACCAACACCATCAATTAATGTTGATAGTCAGGAAGATGTAACTGTTGTTTCTATAAACAATAATTTCTTTCACAATGTTCGTGATGAACTACGACGTTATGGTGTTTATATTCGAGAAAAAATCATGGAAATAATTGATCGTATGAGACAAAAATTTAGACAAATCAAAACGTCATTTTCTCATTACTTCAAGAAATAGCCTTGTTCCTTTTGACAAAATACCGATAAACATTTATATTGTTTGCTTCACCTTTTTTTGTACATTGAGTATTTAATAAACAAGCGTACTATATATAAATTTGAATAATTCTGAGTTTCGGAATACTCCGTTGATGAAGCATGGTCGCCATCGTTGGTATATGAGTTCATATAAAGCAATCATTTATAACTCAGAATATGTCAATTGACACTTGCACATGTAAATTCTTATCGATTAATTTATGATTTAGTTTAAAATCAATTCGGACTAAAAACTTTTCTATAAGAAGACTGATGATAACTAACCAACTGCTGAAATCACACAATGTTTTTGACGTTTAAGTATCAGTGAGTGGTAAATAGATTTTTATTTTTGTTTTATTGGAATGTCAAGAGAAATATCTCCTGACATAAGAATGTTCTCCCTCTTACTCGTACTACAATCACATCCTGTTTATCAACATTCTTCCTGCTGTTATATGGAATTTTTCTTTAAGATAACGAGTTGGATGAGAGTGTCAAGAGATTTATTTTCTTTAAATAAGAGAAAAAGAGTCTAACACTTATAATGAGAAAATAGACAACTATGACATACTATATTCAATGCTCACAGCCTAATACAAAGAAGGATAAGTATTCATCTTGAAGCCGTTCTCATAAATTGATGACAACTGAGTCAACAAACAAGATCAATCACAACTCTGTCTCAGTAATCGCCTTACAATATTGCTTACAGGAAGCTGTGCCCAATAAAAAAAAAACGAAAAGCTAAATTTAGAAGGTGAAAATAGTTAACGAAGGGATAGGCCAAAAGAATATCACAGAGTATAAGTGTTAGTTTAGATCATGTCTACAGCTATGCCCTTTTAGTGTACGAAGTTTGAAGCAACTGATAAACAAAACGTTGCTTTGAAACATAGAATACTATTATAGATTTGAGCATAATGACATAAACTCGAAAGAAGAGCTGACTGGATTAACTTTATTGATTGAAGGATTATGCAAATAATTTAAGCATCTGTTTGCATTCTTAATAGAACTGTCATTGTTCTATGTTTATAAATAAAATAAATGTCTTCCTATTATTTCGAATAAAAATCTCTTGATCAATATTTTCTACGAAATCTGATTATCTTTACTTGTGATTTAATCGCAATAAATACCAGTACCAGATATATTATGAATAATATATATATATATATATATATACTTTCGATTGTTCGCATTGTCGAAGCCTAGCGGAATTCTCATTATTCAATCCTTGAGTACCTCTCACGTTCAAGGTATTGCACTATAATATAAAGATTAGTTTTCGCACCGTTGGATTCAATCGTAGAACAGCGAGACATACAAAGTGTGCATGACATGCACTCAATTATATTTCATACTTAGTACAATATTTAAAAAAAAATATATAGATCTATGTATATGTATAACCAGAAAAAACAAAGGCATCACTTCGATTATCAAACAAAACATAAAAAAGAAAAGTCCTATGTAGTAACTGAAGTTAAAATTGATATTAGAAGATCTTTGTCAATAAATATTGAAATCAAACTAAAAATCAATTATTATTATTACTATTCATCAAACAAACAGAATAATACTTACATATTAGATCAAGCTAGAAAAATTTAGCTTCGGATAAATACAGGAGTCGTATTAGATAATGGCGTGGGTTCTTCATAGTAGGTATCTGCGTCTAAACATGATTAGTTAGAGAAAATTTCATACTTTTTCAATAGAAAATTTTTACCCTGTGTACTTTTCTGAATTTTATATCTTGGTTGTTCTGTCGTTTTAACTGGTACATATTGCTTCGAATCTATAATAAAATAGTAAGATTATATAAGCACATTATTGCTACACTTACTTTTCGTCTTTGAACTTGAATAAATTGAATGAAAGAAAACAAACAAAATGAACCTTCATAAAATCGTTTCAACCATTCTACTTACTTTGACGAAGCTAAAAAAGCGAAAGGATGAAATTTGATGATAGAATAAAAAATTTAATTTCAATACCATTCTTATTTCGACATATACAAACAATGCAAACAATCGTTAGTACTAATAGAAAAAGTCCGCCAGCAATTGAACCAATAATAATTGCAATTTTTTTTCCTAAATCAACATGTTCATTAAAGTTTTCTTTTCAATAAATCAATTCAAGGCTCACACCAGTCGAAAGTTTTCTTCGTGATCGCATCTCTGATACGCGATAACCACTAAAATATTCATTATTTCGATTAACTTCTAAATCAGAATTGTAATACACTGATGGATCTGGACGAATCGCGTCTAGTAGAAAATGCACAGCAGTGGTTTTCTTGTGTTGCTTCTAATCAAATATCGATTACCTTTTATTACTATAAAACTCGAAAACATGGAGTGATGCCGATTGTTTGTCAATAGTTCGCATGTTAATAATTGTTGATTAAAAACCGATGTTCGCCTTATTATTGTACGTTGCTTCGCACATACAACCAGTGATCCATCTAATTCTTGCTTTCTATCAACTGAAACACCGCCAAGATTGTCTCCTATTTGATTCATCAGGACATTTACAGTTTCATAACCTGTTACGGATGCACAACAAAATAATTCCATATTCGTTTGATCAGCAACTTCGAATTTACTTGAATTTTCATCAACTAAATCATCCCAACGTTCACACGAACCTGCCGGACCATGACATACATAATTCCAATAGAACGATTGTACGTCTTAAAATAATATTAGAATTTTATTCAATAGAAAAACAAAAACAATTTTATATACCAGGAATAATTATTTGATAAATCATACTTTTAGGTGCACTTGTCCATGAAGATTTTCGACAAGTATAATATCCAACATGTTTTGTTTCGGCAACGTTTGCTTTTACGCGTAAAATATTTTCGTTTGGTAAATAGTTAAAATTTAACTTTAAATACGAATAATACGCAGTATCTTCTTGAACTTCGGACCATTCATTCAATTGTTTACCGAAAAAAACTGATTCATCATGTTGACAATCGAATGAAAATGGTCGCCCTTGCTCTACAATAATTCGCTCAATATCTTGACACCATAAACCAGAAATAATGAAATTAATGACAAGTAGTATATACAGCATTATATTTTTAGGTGATGCAAATAAAAATGGTACTCTACAATTGATGACATATACTTTGAAAACGCGGCAACGAAATCTTTATATTATAATGAAATAACATGTACGTGCCTCTTATATAGTCCTTTGAAGGACGTTTGTGATGTGTTGTGAATGAAACGATAAAAAAAGTCAGGAGAGGACAGGAAAGGTAGAAAAAACGACAGCATAGATGTTTGAAAGCTACGTATTCTTTTACATGAATCAAAAGTGTATAGGTAATAATTCTGTTTTTTCCTTCATGTAACATTTGAATCAAATGATTCACTTTTGGATTTTTAAAAAAATAGTTTTTATTCGATATACAATATGTTAATTATGGTGTGCCGTGGTATGAAGGTACCACGTCGAAATGAAAACATTTTCTAGATTTTTATCAAACGAAACAGTCGCAAGGCCAAATACAACAAAAAATAATTAAGAGTATATAACAGTTCCTTCACATTTCTGATATACGCAATCAATTAAAACCAACACAAGTTTTTCATTAGAAAAGCCATTGTTGATAGAACGTTGTATGTCAACCTACATTTCGATAAAAATTAACATATATTAAATTATAGATGTGGCAAACTGTTTTCAAGGTTTATGCAGATGATCTCTAATTGAATCCTAATCGATTGATCTATCTTCGTAATTTTTCAATTTTAAAAGACAGAAAATGGCTACTCAGAAGGGTGTGGGTGTTTAAATGAATCCTACGTTAAGAAAATATTCGTGAGCAATTTCCCGCGAGACAGTGAAATGAATCAACTTTTAGAGAATATCTTCTATTGTCTTTCGGCTCGTCTCACTCAACAGGATATTGTCTCTGATTCTCTCTCTCGTGTTTTGGATTTTTTTTGTATCTTACTATCTGTATGTACGTATATAGTGTGTAGTGATTTCGAGTTTTGAGAACCAATATATTAGAAGAAAATTATGAGACAGTATCATTGACAATCCACAATATTCCATTTGTATAAAATTGCATACTGTTCCTTGAACTATACGTTAAACCAATATTTATTGTCACAATTGTGTCAATACTACTACTACAAAAATGACAGGAATCAATGAGTTTTAAGTATATTATAGGAACTGTATGAATTGGCCATTGGTCAATCTGTTGTACTGACTCGTAAAAGATGAGAATAGGATTACATATCCACCATCAATGGACCAATCTGCTAATAACCAGAGATTATTGCTTTGCCAATAAAATGATGCGTAGATGTTGCCTGAAACAAATAAGAACTTCTTTAACAAGGTTCGATATATTTCTTAATAAATGAGATAGCTTAGATTCGAGAATTGATATTCACCAAAAAGTAGGAAGTTACGTCGAATGATTGGTTGATGTTAACAGTACTGTAAGTTAAAGTATAAGTTCTGTGCTAGATCTTGTTCAGATCCGTTAGGGTTCTCATCGAATTTCCAGGATCCCGCAGTTGAAAGTTGACATCGTGTCTCTGACATACTGTAGTTGGTGTCAGACATTGTTTGAATAGAATTCGTTCGATACAGGACGATTGAAAATAATCATCAAAGTTTCTGAGGAATAAATATACTTCTAAGCTTCAAATAGTTACAGTAAAAATAAGAAAAATTGTCATTCAAAACTGGAATTACACACAAGTCATCATTTACGAGGGTCAAATTGGCGAAAAAACAAGTTCACTTTCTTAAAAAAAGGAACTTTCACATAGATTTTTTAGAATCATCTTCTTGATAATTCAAAAAGAAAATACACAAGCTCGATCTAAAATTAATCATTAGAGTAGCGATATCCTGTTGAGCGGTGAGCTATGAGCGACGGCAGAAAGCAGCAAAAGTTTGAAATTAAGCACTTTTGATAAGCACGAAAATCATTCTTTTGGAAGTATATCAAATTCAAACCGGAGGATACTGCTCGCAACCTTGTACTGCTATGAAATCCGAGTAGGATACTGCAGTGCGTACACATTGATATTATATATCAGACGGAAACGAGTTGAATTATTCTCTAGTTGGATAGGGGATCGTGACAGTGATCTGTTCAGAACTCCACGAAAAAATGAAACCGACCAGTACCAGAATCAGAAAACGTACCACGAAATAAACGCGAGTGGCAGTGATTTTTACGTTCATCTTCTACCTCCGCACTTTCCGAAGGAAATTCAAAAATATTTAGATTAAGAAAATAGCTTTTGGCAGAGGCCATCCAGTAGAATCGACAGCAATATCAATCTTGTGTCTGAAGTAAACTTTAAATAATGGCCGTGTATCGGAAAGAAACGTTTGTTTGACACGATGCAACACAAGAACTAACTATCACAGTTAATATACGTAAATAAGTAGAGAGAGATTGACAACGAAGTAATTTAAAATAAACCGCGACTTTCTGTGGTGTTCAAATCTACAGAAAAGCGTATATAGAAATCTTTCATTAAAACCGATACGTTCAAAAGACAAGAAAATTTGTCAAAAGAGTGATACTGTAGCAGCGAACAGGACAAATCTTTCTGTACAAACAGGCATATTTATCATCTGGCTGAATGAAATGCCTTTGAAACTTTTATAATCTGGAAAATTTCGAAAATTCTGCGTAAAAGAATAGTAGAACTTTGAGATGGTTAAATAGTGATATGGGCTTTTGAAACGTTGAAAACATGCTCAAACTGTGTCATTTACATATAAATCTAATTTGCTAATGATTGACATAGGAGAACACTTTTTCTTCTATCCAAAGTGAAAATCATGAAGAATATAGATGATGAAAACCAGAAAGTAATTGTTGTGTAACTTTTTTTCTACGGTTCGTCAGATCCAGGTTAATCGATTGGTGAAAAGATAGTTGTGCAAATATTATTTCAGGATTTCTTTAATAAAATCGACTTGTGGATTTTTTGGAATCGAAGAGAAAAATGAATGACATCAAACAGCAGCAATATCTTGTCTTGTCCTCATAATGAACAATAAATGAGAAAATACTAGTATGCGCCTTGTTGAGTATTCTTATTTTTATTCATCCCTTCATTTACATCCTTGATAAAGAAAATATCTAAAAATTTAAATGCGAAAATACAAATGTGAATTGTTCCTTCTTGTTCTCGCTGAATATGGCGGTGGCAATGCTTCTATGGTATAATCAATTCTTTGCATTCGATTTCGATTATAAATCACTAGTACAAATACTAATGCAGTCATCTAAATAAACAAACGACATCATATTAAAATAATTATGTTATCAATATAATGACTTTACCTCAATTATAAAAATAAATGCAACAATAATGAAAATGACACCTTGATTAGCGTTAACTACGTCAACTATTTTTCTATAACAACCCTAAAAATGACCAGAAAGCACAGATAAACATTGTCAAATTATATCCCAACTTCTACTTACAATTTCATAAATATCACTACCATGAATAGCACAGTTAAGAGCTTTTTGAAATATTTGTAAATCTTTTTCCGAGCTACTTCTACTCGTTGGACAACATGTCAGTGGATATTTAAAATCTTTCTTCTCAATTGACATCGAACTTTCCCACCATGGATTCGTTCGATTCCAACTTTTCGCTATATCGAAATCATGTTTACTTTCTATGCCACAACATTGCAACTTCAAAATCAAAGCTAACACAATAATAGGTTCATTAAAAATCTACCTGATGCATTACTAAATCCCATAGATATGATGTTAATTGAAGATTTTTTTCAATTGGTCCTTTGTATTTTTCACGAATCAATAAGCGTATTGTAAATATAAATTTTTCTCGAAGTTCAACTGGAAAAACAATCAAACTAATAGTAATTATTAGTTGAAATACTAAATTCATGACTATGCCAAATGAATACTAATAAAGATCATAGAAAATATAAACAATGAATCCAAAGAAAATTAACTATTCTTACAAAAAATAAAAGACACTGTATGCCAGTTATTGCACCAGAGCAACCAAAAAATCCAATTAATAAAAACATAATACCAGGAAAAATCAAAACTATGTACAAAATTTCATCGGGTAACATCTTATTTTGCTTAATATTTGAATCTAAAATGCATCGAAAAAAATTCCACCAAGTTATTTTTCTCAAATGAACAACACACCTTCAACTGTTAACATAAGTTCCGTGAAATTTTGAAAGCGTCGAACAAATAGAAGATCAATACCTTCACCTAATAGTGAGGCACCGATCAACTAAATTAATATAAATTGTTCTGTGAAATAAAAAAATATTTTGAACTTACAAAAAGTATTATATTAACTAAAACCATAATTAAACGCACGAATTTTAATTGATAACTCATACTACCACGACCCATTTTAAAAGAATTTCAAATTAATCTAAAACAAAAGGATTTGTTGTACTTTTGACATTCCTTGGAATGTTGCATTATTCATTTAAAGTACACCCCACTGATTTATTTACAAATGAAAAATATTTTTTTTCTTCTTCAACTAACCGATTCATTTTTGAGATAAAACGATGAGCACCTTGAATGTAGGAAAAAAGAATAATTTAACGTTTGCTAAAGTCTCTATTTTAAAATAATCTATAAGACGCTTAAATTCAAAGATGAACAAGCCTCAGCTATGCAATGTGTAATCACTTGCAGGTAGATATAATTATATCTTATTTCTACTTATGTTAATAAATATTGAATGAAAGATTTTGGCATCAATTTTTAATGAAATATTTTTTAACGTATAGAAAAGGTGATGCGCTAAAAAAAGAGCATAAATGTATGACCTATTCACTTTCGGTAGAAAGGACAGCTTTTTTGTTCTTAAATACAAAAAGAAATTTGCAACGGCGTCAAAATCTGTGAGAGTTTATCAATCGTAAATATTCGGAATAGAAAATGTGTAACCGCTGGTCGTCTTTTTAAATGATACACGTCATACGACAACTCATAGTGCTCTAGATTGGCGTGGTCGTTCATGCATTTACATGATCGGATGTAGATCATTTGTATTGATTAGGTTTGCCAGACTAAAATAGGTGTAATGAATAAGATTATAGTAACGCGTTGACTAATTTTCATATCTTTGCAACATAGTATTATTTTTACGTGCCAAGTGGCGACTGACAAAAGTTAATTCCCTCCTACGACTTCTAGTTTTTATTGAAATACTATAAGAAAGGAGCTAGTGTCGGTCAGTAGAGAAATAATCAAGATAAATTTCTATAAATTTCAAAAAGCTACTATCGAGTAAAAATGTTTTGATGAAAAGAAACCTTTGACTCGCGAATGGACTTTGCATGACATGAAAAGCCGTAGCATTTATTCGATATAGAGTTTTCATCGGGTCTGACCAAAAAAGCGAAGTTTGTCGGTGCATCTGATGACAGCTAGAGATTCTTATGATCACTATATAAAATATGAAAGACATCGCCAGTCTAGACTATCACTTTTCTTGTAGAGTGTATGAAAGGAAACATTACGGATATCATATTTTGACATTGAATAAGTCCTAAATTGATGTACTCCCTATGGCTTTTTGATACACGAGCGGCTTTTTGTTAGAATAAAGAAAACATAAAAATAATAGAATAAAGAAAACAAAAATAAGTAGGCAGAGCGATGCAGAACAGCATGTTCCATTTTTATGTTTTCTTAAACGGTAGATCTAGAATTGTCCATAGACTTTTGATCTCATGTGTGATTTTATGCCGAATTCTATTTTTTTCAATGGAAGTGCCATTGTTTTATCATAATTCAATTAAAATCGAATTTACTTACAGATTTTCGTGTTTTTCTCCTTGACATAAGCTAAGAAAAAAAGATTGCATTGCCAACCGAATATATTTTATAGATAAAGAACTGACAAGCAAAGAGTTAATGATACAACGTCCCAGTATTTTATACAAAAAAAAACAAATAAGAACTATTATAACCAAAAAAAGATCTTACCTTTTCAGCTGCATTAATATGAAAGTTGAATTTTATTCGACTTAATAATTGATTCATTGTACTTACATATTTTTCTTAGTATATTTTTCAATAGAGAGAGAGAGAGAAAGAGATAAGGTTTCTTAATGATAACGAGTTACCAGAATGTGTATATTTTATCTGTGTTATTTAATATGATAGTAGATATTTAAAATAACAAAACACAATATTCCTCTTGCCTGTGTAATTGTCATGACATAAGTCTTTAAAGTGCTGCCTGAGCCCTACAACTTGTCGTTACAGTTTTTCGTGATATATGTAAATAACAAATTTCTTTAGACAATTAATTTTCTATGATTAGCAACTTAAGAGGATTTTCATTTAGTGTAAACTATGTTTTTTTGAATCTAGTATATTTTCTCTTCGGCATCTCTGTTAAGCAGTTAATATAGGTTTCAATAAATGTGTTTCATGACATCAAGCCCTGTTTTATGTTTGTCCACAAAAAAAGTAACAAAAAAGTCTCTTTTATTACAAAAAATGAATAGTACATCAATGCCAAGCTGATATTTACTAGTATCTTTTCCTTTTTTCTTTTTTAGTAGTAGAGTTCTATGGGGCAATTCGGATCAAAATTTTGAAAATTCATTTTGATTTTGTTTCTTCTCAGCCTCCTTGCATTGTACGATGATGATTTTTTTTGACGCTACTAGTTCAAAGTGTCTTCTGGTGAATCGCGAAAGAATCATCGAAAAATATTATACCGTTAAAAAGTATCAGTCAAAATGGTAAAAGTAGTGTGGAGCTGATCCGAGTTACCCCGCTCGGGGTAATTTAGATCACTCTATGAATCTAGGTGGGATAATTCGGATCATTACAGAAAAAATGGCTGGTCTCATTTTTCCCATCTTCTAACTTCTTTTTCTTATTCAAACGTCTGAAAAGCAAATATACCATTTGATAGCCCTAAGTGTCCTCTATGGGACCTGAAAATATCTCGACGGTTGAAGCGGCTGTTGTACTACAATGCTCACGACAAGGACACCTCTATCAATCAATTGAAAATCTATCTGGGGTAACTCGGATTTAGCTTCACACTACTTTTACCATTTTGACTGATACTTTTTAACGGTATAATATTTTTCGATGATTCTTTCGCGATTCACCAGAGGACACTTTGAACTAGCAGCGTAAAAAAAATCATCATCGTACAATGCAAGGTGGCTGAGAAAGAATAAAAACAAAATGAATTTTCAAAATTTTGATCCGAACTACCCCAGAGGATTCTACTTGATGATATGTTTTGCACACGTTTAAAAAGAACTCGCGATTACAGTTGACTACTAAATTTTGATGAGAAAAAGGAGGCTACGCTGGAATATTTACTAAAAATGTTTTGTTCAGAAATATTTATGTAGTGTTATTCGTGATGGTCCTGTGAACCATAGCAATTTTTCTGTTTTGATTTATCAACAAGATTTCCTGTTGTGACCGTTGTAGCAAACAAAATTTGATAAATTTTATCATTAATAATCTTATCAGCAACAAAAAGAATATTCTTTCAGGAATGATTACTATCATTTTCTATTGCTATAATTAAATCTATACGGAACTTCGTTATGAAAGTATTTAATTATAGTAACTATTGCATTGTTGCATAGAATCTTGTAATCGAGATGTCTAGGAAGTTTATTTCGTTACTTTAATCCCATGAAATTCATACATTAATGAGTTTTCATGTGAAAAATGTACTGAAATAAATCAGAAATCTGGCAAAAAAGCATTTAAGTATGATAATCAAAGCCATCTTTTTTGTTTTTTTTAATTTTTTTAACAAAACATCCATCGGAATGATAACTGTATGAATATATACTGATGCTTTTTTTTGTGAATAAATCTAACAACGAAAATTCTTGTTCACGAACTCTCTTATTGAGCATTTTATCACTATGAATTGAAGGCACTACTATTTTCTAAGCTTAATATTTATGAACACCAGTAAAACAAAAATGAATAAATCATAAATTCTAATTAGTAAATTGAAAAGTAAAAACTTGTCGTTTAACGCCTCGGTTGTTCTTAGCCATACATGTCATCGTCTTATTGGATCCAACTGCGGCATCGTTATTCGTCGCAATTATATAGTCGCTTTTATCCGATAGGTTTTCTTCATTTTCCAGTATTTGAACGTCTCCTGATAGCCACTGATAATTAGGCATTGGATTTGCATTTATTGAACAACGTACGACGCTGTCAATATCTTTTTTAATAAATAAGAATACATATTCATTTTTATAAGGCTCTGCATATTCAGGTGGACCTAATAAAATTATGATGAGTACAAATCATTAAGAGAAGAAATTTCCCGCTTTCCGGATATGAATGTCCGTTAATATAGAGTTTTTCAGTACTAAATAAATATCGAGGACTCCTTTAAAGGCCTAGATAAAATAAAATGTTCGACCTCAAAGAGAACTGTCTATACATTAGAGTAATCAGATGAAAATCTGTTTTTGCATTGTTCTCAAAATAGATTATTGAACAGGAAAATTCAAATTTTTCTTCATTATCTTTTGGACACTTCGATTCATTGAGCTAACTATGATAATCAATAATAGATCTTACAAAATATACATCAAGCAAAAATGACGCAGTTTTATAGAACTTCAAGCACTTAGGTTCTTCCCGGCAAAAGAAGTAATATACTTTGAGGGCAAACGTCAACTTATTCTTAGTCACTAATAATAGTCCTTAGATCCTCAATATTTCATGGTCAGAAACATCTGAATTCACGAATTTCGTTGTATAACGAAATGTTTGGTCGAGAAATTCTTTGAAAAGTCTTACCATAAACATCTAGATATAAACTTGACTTTAACGAATAGCCTTCATTACCGCCGTTAGTGGTTACACGACAAATGTACACTCCAGAATGAAGATTAGAAACATGTTTAATTCGTAAATAATCGTAACGAGTTAATGATGAAGTATCAGGTATTGCTTTGTTTGGCATAAGAAATGTAAATCGAGCTGGCAGTGCGGAAAATATTGGACACAGTAAAGTGATGGAATCATTGATTTCCGAATAGATATGTGTTTCTCGATTCGATATTTGACGTGGACCACCACCGACTAGTAAAACAGTTCAGATTAAAATTCAGATTAAGAAATAATCAAAATTTACCACTAAGAAAAAATACTTGAACACCAACAAGACCATTATGTAATCGAACTATACATTCATAGTAACCTTCATTATCATGTTTAACATTCTGAAATTTTATATGATTTGAGTGTTGTCGTACACGTTCGTAATGTTGAATAAAATCAATATGGAAATCAGCTATATCTTCTTTTGTATAATTTATATTCATGTCAGGACCACATTGTCTATCCGTATAATTAATATCCGTATCAATTAGTGTTTGCTCATAACCTTCGAAATGAGAATCAACGAGTTCCGACGCTAAAAAAAGAATAAATTTCAATAGAATTTTATTCTTTAGTCTATTCCAAACTTACGATCATTAGTAATGAAAAAAAACTTTTCGTCAATAATTATTTCACTGTTATCTTTTATTTGACAAATAGCGATTCCTTCGTTATTAATGTCAAATGAATCGATGATTAAACTAGCGCTATCAAATGTATGTATTTCACCATTGTAGTTATACAATATCCACGAAATATGTTCATCATTTGTTAACGGTCTATTTGTCTCACATGTCTGTTCGAATCTTGAACCTGTCTGTACGAATTGTTTTGGTTTAAAATCCCAAATAATGAATCCTACATGACGAAGAAACGAGCATATTTCTTTATTTTAAGCTTTCATTTCAATGCCGCCCAAACAAACAATTTCATCGACATCAAATAAAACAAAAACATTGTATCTAACGCTTGATCACCAATCATATGTTTGAAAAGCAGATATCAATTATCGTGAACATCTTGAACTCTACAGAATACGTCGTAGTGAACAAGGTGTATTAACATGCCAACCATAGAAAAATGAACTAGACTCGTGAATCTTCAAATAAAAGTTATAAATTTCTCTTAAATTATCTTGACCAAAATGATTTTGTGAAAGCTGATATGGCACGAAAATATTTACAGAGGGGTTTCACACGATCAAGACGCTACGCTAGTCATTCTAGTGGAGTAAAATATGATAGAAACAATTATGACATAGTACCACACGAAGAAATTCATATGAATAATGAAAAAACTCAAGCAGCAGATATTTTTAAACAAAAATTTTTTCAAGCAAAAAATAATCATTTATATAAAGAAATGACGAATCAACATCGAACTATGTATGAATTAAAATCGACGAAATAATATTAAATTTTTCATGTAAAATATTGTAATATGTTATAGAAATTTTGAGAAAGAACAAACGGTGTCTCCTTAAGTCAACGACAACGATCTAAACATTCAATAATAGATTACATAATAACTCTATAGAAAAAGGTTTGCGTTATGAGTGTCAATCTAAATGAAAGGCACAAATACAATGGCGTCATTCTTTCCGAGTTAGAATTTCTTTTTCTTTCAACTTTTCTAGGGTTGAACCTTGACTGAGAAAATATTTCTAGCTCTTCTCTAGTTGCATGAAGCTTTTCTTTTAAATAGAGAATTGAAAAAAAATTTCCTCATATTCTCAATGGCGACTGAAGTAGAATTTCTTTCAAGTAAAACATTGAAATGAATCTTACTTTCCCGAAAGAACAGGAAACACTGATAAATATTTGATATGTGCACAGTAAAACAAAGCAGAATTCCGAAATAATAAATAATTGATCAAGCAGATGACAAAGGCTTACACTATTTTATAGCTTGAAGTTTTTATTATCAAATTAAATAGGGCACTATTTTTTCACCATGTAAAAATATTCAAAAAAGAGGCTGATTACTTCGCTTTCATCGCCAAGAAATCTATTTTGGTTTACCTGCAATAATAGAATTCATACCGGAAACCATGTAGACAAATATGAAGATAATTTTCATCATAACGTGATTTGTAAAACTTTTAAGTTTTCTTCTTGTTGTAAAAACAAGAATTTTGAATTTGCCGCCAATATCACATTTCAATTTTTTTATTTTCCGTACTTTTCCCAAGATGTGAACACAACAAAAAATGAAACGAAAAGAAAAAGAGTAGACGCATTGAAATATTTTTAAAATAACGCCGTACGAATTAGAAGAAAGTTAGAAAGTAATTAATATAAATAGATGCTTAACATAGGAAAACAAAAACGACAATTATTTCATTGCGAAAAATAGCTGTAGAATGTTAAGAAGTTTTTCTTTAGACGAAACAGAAAGAAAAAAACAACAAAAACTGACAACATTAAAGAATGATGTTTTTCTTCTCCAGCAAATGAACATATAAAGAAAATATATCTGAATGGTTTTCATTCAAAGTAAAAATATTCACAATTAAGAAAGCAACAACAAAGATAAGTGTCTAAATAAATAATTTCATCGATCGTATACCGTCATTTTTCAATTCGTACTTATGACGAATATCGAGAATCTTCCTTCGTACGACAACATAAAGCCAAGGCAACAATGAACGCAATGAGCTAAAATAAATTAAATGAAAAATAAAATGCTCCCACCAAAATTAATAATTACCTCAATGACAAGTACAATAACAGCACCGACAATAATCCATGTTTTAGCACTATCAATTAGATTCATAACTTTGTCGTAGCATCCCTAAAAGAAATCGAAGCTGTCTATGCATAATGATAAAATCACATTAACTCACAATGTCATAGATATCGGTTCCATTGACAGAGCAATAGGCAACTGATTGTAGTTTATCAATCGGCACATTGGCCCAATCTTGTGTAAACGTATTACCAGGATTACAACATGTTATTGGATATGTAAAGTTGCTAGCAGTAACGCCCATGGAAGCACTCCATGGATTTGTCCTATTCCAATTTTTTGTTTGATTAAAATCAGTTTTATTGTCAATACCACAACATTTTAACTTGACAAACGAATAATAGAGTATTGAATAAAATATCATTGGCAAAGGCTACTTACGTTGTACATAATAAAATCCAGAGCTATTGAGATAGCTGGTGGTTTTGGTAATGTACTGTCTCTTTGTAATCCAAATGGACCTTCGTATTTATCTCGAATTGCATCTATTAATTTCGGTGTAATCGTTCCTCGAAATTGAGATTTAAACGCAACAAAATAGATAGTTATAGCTATTTCGAAAAGTATAATTATTCCCACGATAACAGCATACTCAAAGAAAAAAAGAAGGACGAAAACTTAGCAAATTCCAATGGCACAAAGAAGAATTTTAACTTACAATGATTAAAAATATTTTCACTTGCTTCATAGCGCCGCAACATCCAAGAAATCCAATAATCAAAAGAATAAAGCCAAGAACGAGTAGGACGATAGCAATGACTTCAAGATATGATAAACCTTGTTCAACAGCAGGATCTAAGCAAAATAAAAAACGAAACTATATGATCAACTTTTGCTGCGTTGAAAGTTTACCAGAATTAATTGGCAAAACTGCTTTGATTTTTTTCAATGATGGATCAACCAGAACATAAATACCAATTGCGATTAATGCCAGGCCAAGCAACTATCGATTAAATTTGGAATCAAATTTTATTTGAAAATAAAATATTAGGTCAACTTACAACAAAGAAAAAATTGAATAAAACAATCACAAATCGCATCGTCTTCATTCCGCAACTCATTCCACCGCGACCCATTTTTTTAAAATAGTATTTTTTATATAATCTAAAACCGGATAATAAACCTTTATTTTGTTCAATTATAGAATAGTCTAAACAGAAAGGAAACATCAATGTTGTTTTTTTTGTTCTTTATAGATCAATAGTTAAGTATCGTATGCACTTTTCTTTGTAGAACTCAACGAATCAATGGATCATTAAACGTTGAAAGTAAAGACCTTGTACAAAATGTTTCTTATGCGCGCTCCTATATATGATTGTCACAGAATTTTCTATTCTCTGATCGAAATCAATTTATATTGTTCTTTTCTATCGCATTGTTGAGTAGCTTACTATACAACAAAATAAAAAGAGAACAACATAATTCGACAAGGGCACTATAAACTGTTGAAGTAATCAGATGGAAACACAAAAAGAGACACTCGTATCGGATTTATTTTACTAACTCTAACAGCGATTAGTGATTACTGGACAACATCTCTAGATCTTGTGATTTACTATGTTGCGTCTAACGATTTGTTTTTCAAGTAAAAAATTCATGAAGAACTTATCATGTAATAATATTCAAAAAATGACTGATGAAAAAAAATCGAACAGCGTATAAATCACAGTATGCTGACTAATATATGTCGACTTTTATTTTACTTATAGACAAAAAAACGCATCTCTTTTTTTTTTACGTCAATGAAGAACAAGAGAAAAAAAAAGTAATTCTGCTAGAAACTTCCTTCTTCTTTCTTTTTTTCTTCTCGTCGATGTCATAAAACGACTTTTGAAATTGCATTTAGTAACTAGAGACGACTCAATTTCCTTAAGCAACGTTCGATTTCCCATCGAACATTCACCGATAATAAGAACGCTCATGCGCGTTCTTGCAATGGGAGATTAAAAAAGTGTTAAACCCTTCGCGAAGATTTTTTCTGGTTGCACAATTATGACTAATAAAAAAAAGTGGTATACGAACAAGGCGAAAGAGCAGGCCATAAAGAACTACACCCACGTAAAACATAATAATAGTTAATGATTTTTATTTCTATACAAACCAAATCGAAGTCGTGTGAGAATTTATATTTAGCTGTAAAACAAAATTGGTGCATATATATATATATGCATGACATAGATCCAAGAAAAGGAATCTAGAATCGAACAAATTAATCATCATTACTTATCGCAGTGTATTTTTTTTTCAAGTGTTTCGTAGTGATTTACAACTTTCACACTGCCTGCTTGAGTCATCGAGAATAAAAACGCATGTCCATTTTTCCTTCTTCAATCTACTGAAAGATGACAACATATGTCCTCGAATTTATAACAGTTATATGTCTCGCACTGATAATGGAAAGTGCAAAATTCAAAAAAGACGCCGGTTGTCTTTTCAAAACAATCTTAACGGCTTTTGACCAGTATTACTAATAAAATTCAAAGAAATAAATATTTACTTGAGAGGCTTTCTTTACATTAGGTTTAGTATAATAATAGTAATAATAATAATAATAATGAAGTCTGAAGTAATTTGATATTAACAGAATACTTGAGAAAAATTGATGACTTTACATTTTTTCAGTTAAAAGATGATCAATATGATTAATGAAATACGATCAAAAGAATATTTATTCTATTGTATTCGCATTTAAGAATAATATTGATCTGTTTTTTTGTATACCTGACCTGTTTTATCAGAGCAAAAGTAATCTAATCCCGTTTGAAGACGAAAACAAAAACCAGTGCAGAATCAAACAATAAAAAACATATAATTCATTTCTAGCTCACTAATATTATATTTTCTCTCCATAAACATACTAAGTAAATGTCGTATCGAGCGTAGACCAAACCTACGAAACGACAAATTCGCCGATTGGTGTAACTCGTATACACCCAGGATGTTGATGCAGGATCATAACAGAGGGATTTATTCTATTACTATTTATACAAAAAAATTGTTGTCATATCACTGATGAATCACACAGTATTTCAACATTTATATTGAAGCAGAAAAAAGTACATGCTTTTCTTGCATGTAAGATCATGGGGTTTTGTGTACTCTAGCACTGGAATTGAATCAATTATCAAAGCTGAATGGATGATTTTCCTTTGTGTCATAACTTTCTCTACATACCGGATGATAAGAACAATTGGAAAGATTTAACTCATATGCGGATATAGTATCCATAATACGAAAAGAAAAGGCAACGAATAGTTCATAGAAGTATATTTAGTCATGTACATGTATATCTTGACTGTGCTCATTTTTTTTCTTTCTCTCTCTCTCTTTCTCTCACACTCATAAATCATGATAGAGCTGTTCAAACATAAAGACGAAATTACTACAAATTTTTTTCTCTGTCATTACAAGGACTGGTGGTTCAATAAAAAAACAAATGAATGAGTGGAACTAGAAAAAAGTCGACGAGCGCTGTAGACGATAAAAGTATAAAGAAAAGCACAGCCATAATGTAGCCTGTCTCTACTGGCAAAAAAAAGCAAATATAACGAGAGAAGATGTCGTTATTTTATTAAATTCTCACTCGTGCTCATGTGCTTCACAGAAAAAACGTCTAATTACAAATGAACATATCATTATATCAGGTCTAAAAAAGATCAATCATCAGAGAAAATCGTGAAAAAAAACAAAAGAATAATCCAAATTTAAAATACTACATAGAGTTATAGGAAGAGTGATGCTTTATGAAAAATTTGTAAAACTTTACGCATAAAGTCTAGGTTAAAGGTGATCCTATGAAAGTATCGTCGTAAATAAAAGTAAACATTTGTTAGCCGACCATTCTCAATTCCGCAGCATTTTATGATTTTGAATGCATGATAATAAGAGAAAGGAAAAATACTCATTTGCTTAATTATGATCTCTTTTTTTTTGTTTTAAAGAGTGAAAGGTTAAATATGGTTTGTAAAATTTTACTTCTTAGATTACCATAGTCTATAAAAGCTATATATTTTTTCTCGTGTTGATATTTAAATATTAGGAAAATTTTTGTAGGTGTTATATGTCTTTACGTGCTTCGTTGAACATTCCGTCTATTACACGTTCTATGTACCTTGGATGAAAAAAATAAAATGAGATATTTACTTTTTTAGAATATATTTAAAAAAATGTTTTTATTTAATTCACGATTGGATGGATGTTAGTTTTTTCTAGAAACATAAAGGGCAGCGTACATAGCCAGCGATGATGCTCGCGTGAATATATTAAATAATTTAATTTTTAAAGAATAGTTTTTTCTTTGAAAATTACGCACTTTCTTGATTGCTTTTTTTCTTTATTTTTGAAGTGTCACTCATAGGAAATCCCTTTTTCTTTTTCAAATTTTTCTATGTTTCTTATTGTCGATGACGAGTGCGTGGACTGTAACAACATTACGACGAGAAAAATTTAATATTGTTGCTGAAAAAAAACAAAAGAGCTACCCACTTTCTACTTTTTATTTCATTGATAACGTCGTCTTTCTATTATATTTGTATTTTTAGCTGCTCGAAAAGTCTCTATCTTTTGTTTTACTATGGGCAGTGCATCATCGAGAGGTCGTGGTAAACGTGATGGGGATTGGCTTTTACAAACATTAGACGAGCATGAAAGTGCCGTCAATTGTATGACACTAAGCAGTGATGAAAGTGTCCTAGCTACGGGCTCTGACGATCATAATATTCGTTTATGGAGTGCTAAAACAACGCCGGTCGAATGTCTTAGTGTATTAACTGGTCATACTGATTATATCACAGCTATTCTTATTGATGAAAATTATTTAGTTAGTGCCAGTGCGGATCGTACGATGAGAAAATGGGACCTGACAGATGGACAATGCGTATTTATCTATTCGGGTCATACATCATTGATAAATCGAATTGTTTGTACTGGTAAATTTAAAATCATATTCCTTTAAACAATAATAGAACAAGATAAAATTGAAAAAAAAATATTTATCTCAACATTTAAAACCAATTGAAGCTTAACACAATACGAGTCATTTAGTTTTGTAGTAGCTAATTGCAATTTTATTTCGAGGTCTAAGTAGCAAAACAAAATGTTTTCTTTTGTTTTTCAGTTAGATGAATAACAAAAATATATTTAACATATGGAAGTCTCTTATTTTTCTTCGCTCGGTTTCATCTTCTTGAAAATAAATTTTATTTTCTAATTTTCCCAAGATTAAGATAAAATTTTAAAAGCAACATATGGTTTTTTTATTCAAATTTATAATTTTAGGAGATTTTCTCTTTTCAACATCATATGATCGTACGGCTCGATGTTGGGATTTCGATACAGGCGCTTGTGTACGTGTATTTCGTGGTCATAAACATGGAATATTACCAATATTATTTATTCCGGCAGAACATAGTGGTGGTGGTGGCGGAGATGAAGATTTAGATCAAGACACGAATATTTATGCAAAAGATTTAATTGTAACTGGCTCACAAGATAAAACAGCTAAAGCATGGTCGTTTGAAACGGGCGAATGTTTGAAAACCTTTCGGGGTCATACAGGAGCAGTACTTTGTTTGGCCACCGATCGAGTCGGTAAAATTTTATTTACAGGATCCGGTGATAATACAATTCGAGCATGGGATATTTATCGTGGAACAGAATTACATGTTTATGAACAACATCAAGCAGCAATAATTAGTCTTCTTGTAAGATATATAAGAGAAAAGTAGATAATCAAACGACTAATTTTTGCTCTTATTTTAGTGCATCAATAAATTACTTTTTTCTATCAGTTCCGATCATACAGCACGTTGTTGGGTTGTGGATGTTGGTGATTGTACAAGAATTTACAAAGGACATAAACATACTGTTTCCTGTATACAAGTTCATAATGGTCATCGTATGTTGTCGAAATCTGAAAGTTTTTCTATAAATGTTTTTTTTGTTCTTCTATTGAAAAATAGTTTTTACTGGTTGTGGTGATTCAATACTACGTTGTTTTGATGCTCGTTCCGGTGTTATAAAACGTATTTTCAAATCCCATACACTCTCTGTGAATTGTTTACAGGTAAATTCGACTTCATTTGCTATTGTTTTCTTCATTAATTATTGATAGGAGCTGATGACAATAATAATAATTTATTCTTTAGATTGTTGATAATAGATTATTCAGTGGTTCCGTTGACGGTACATTAAAAGTTTGGGATATCGATGATCTGAATCCAGAGACTATTCCAAATTCGAAGTCATCAGTTAGCAATTCTGGAGTAACCAAAGGTAACCAAATAAGTGTAGAAAATCGATCGGATGTTGACTCTGGTATTGATGATCGCGACTATCGTGACCGACACGGACAAAATATGGTTTAAAAAGAAAGAAAATGTTCATTTGGTGAAATATTAATTTCAAATTATTATTTTTTTTCTCCTCTTTTTTCAATTCGTGCAACGTTCATAATTTAAGAAATAAATCTACACAAATAATATATATATATACACATATAATTTTATGAAACATTTCGTATTTATTTTTCTAAACATATGTAACAGTACCACGAATAAAGGCAGGCCGTTGTGTTCGATGTGTTATCCATATACATCTTGTTGGACTCGTTTGTGATTGAGTAGATGATGTTGATATATTTGTTGTTGGCAATGATATTGGGTGTAAAGATGATATTGGAAGCGATGTAGTTGATTGACGAGTACCAAGTGTTTTAACAAAATCTTCATAAGACGGAGGTGGCAAGGATGTCGATGGATCAGTACCAATAATACTGATATTATGATGAGAAGGAAAAAGTTCTTTATACGATGGTAAATCAGCATGATCACCCATCACAAGGCTATAAAAATCAATATAAAAATCAATATATCTTGATGTTTGAAAAAATGAAAGTCAATACTCTGAATGAATATCTGCATTCATTGCTAAAGTTAAATCATAAGCTTCTTGTCGTTCTCGTAATCTCTAGGAAAAGTAAAAGTAAGAAGTAATTTTAATGAAAATATAATTTAGATTTAAAATAAATAATTTATCTACTTGAACAAGTCGACGTCTTGTTTGCATAATGGTTAAATAACGGCGTAATGTTTGAAACGTACGTAAAAATGAAACAATAGCAATAGTTAATAAAATAGCGGCAATTATATTTGAGCCTTTTTTCTTGTTTGACACATTATTTATCGATAATTGAAATAAAAACAGTGCGATAGCAAATAAAAAAAGAGAAAATGTAAAACGACATAATATACTCGATGCAAATTTACAAGCACTCATATGAATTGTAGTATGTGCTGCCGTCGTATGATGTTGTCCATTAGAAGATGATGTTGGACGATTACGAGTATGAGAATGAAATAGTTGTCCTTGTTGACGATAGTACGGCATAAAAATCACCATTTTGTATTATTTTCTTTTTTGTTGTCTTTCACTACGATTAGTTTGTGGTTGATTGTCGACAAAACTATAAATGTTGTTCTCTCTTTTGAACGTTAGGTTTTTTCCATGAAAACGACGCGAATGTCGAGAGAAAGAAAAGAAAGAGAGCAATAGAAGGATAAAAAGAAAGAAAGAAAGAAAGAAAGAAAGAAAGATGATAGTAGCACCCAATGTGTATGGCTACATACGAACGCTTGTCTATGGAAAGCAATGTTTTGCCGCAGGGAACACTACATGAAAAGAATTGCAGTAAGAATGATGTCATACGTCGATATAGTAGGAAATTGCAGGACAAATAGATAAGAAAAGAAAAGGAAGAAAAAATAAGGACCAAGATCGTATATTGTCTCTGTCGCGCTGCTAAGAAATATAAATTGAATAGAGAGATATACTCGTGTGCGAATGCTAGCTATAGAACGTATTAGCTAATTTCTTGAATCACAAGAGATGGAATCGATAAACTAGAAGACGTCGGGCTATACACATGATGTTGATAGGCAAACATGACTGTCATTGAAAGGAAATAATATAGTCATTAGCATAGGCATATTATTATTGCCTTTGGTACTCACCTCCGTAATAGATGAGATGTAACATTAAATAACAGCAAAACCTTTCTTTCTTCCTATTTAGCTATTATATATATGTAAATAACTTTTTTGAGTAAAGAAAAAAAGAAATGATTTACTTTAGTGTGTAATCTTAAGTAGACATATCATTTAAAAGAACAGATTATTGCCGACTTTAGTCAGGAGTGCTTATTTGACAGATGAAAAGATTTATTTTCTTTGCTGGGGATGAGCGATAGAAGAGAAGCTATAAGGAAATACTTTTAACAATAATTATAGTTGCTTTCTCATCAGTTATAAGTTAATTATATAGCTAAGAAGCTAAATAATATTTCATGTAAATCCTCTTTCAAAATAATAAAGCTGCTGGGTTCGAACAATGTTAAATTCAGTTTTATTTTTATCTACCAATTGAAAATTAATTTGTGGTAAAAAAGAACACATAACTGTCTTCTACAATTATATGGTACGATTAAGCGTTAAGAAAAGCAATATAATTTTTTTTCTTACAAAATATATTCATCAACAAGATAATTTTGTTTTCGTATCAATGAATAGAATTCTCTTTGTGTTTCTGTTTTCTTTATTGATAATATTGACTCTAGGAAATTGATAAGAAATAGCGCATGTGTGTCATTAGGTGATATAATATCAGAGACAACAATCGATATGATTGATTTTTCTCTAGAGGGGACACATACGTATAGTCAGCAATATTCACAAAATGTCAGAAAAACAAAGTAAAAGAAGATGACTTCAGTAAGGTGTGCGTAGGAGAATGACTTGTTCTTGCAATCAAGTGATGCATTGTTATCGTTTATTGATTGATTGATGTACTTGAATTATACTTGGATCGCCGAAGTATACTACGAAAATCGATTTGTACTGTTTCCGTTGGTAATTTTCTTCTTAGAGTTTGATTGCCTTGTAGTGCAAAACCAGTTTTACGTAGATTTTCTTTGAGTCTGACAACATTTTCTGATGTTAACGCCATATCACCAACGAGATTTGATGTACTGCATGTTACTAAACCAGATGATTTACTTTTAATTATACTTGATGATGAAGAAAGACGACGACGATGGCGTAGGTTATAATCATCATCGTTTTCTATGTGATTATAATGATTGACAGCAAGGAAATTTGGTGGTGGTGACGATGAATTATCTTCTGTATTTAGAATATTCGTTAATGAAGATCTTGCTCGATGTGGCATGATTGGTGTTAATGAATTCGTCGGCTGTTGTGATCTAGGAAAATATTTAATTAGTTTCGTTTTTGATTGAAATAGATTAAAAAAAAAGTGTCGAGAATTACTGTCGGTTAGCAAATATTTGTTTTAATTCATCAATATGAGTTGTAACTGTAGCTGGTGCTGACTTTTGTTGTTTGATAGCTTTTATCTCGGTATTTGGTTGTTGGAAAAAATCTGGTGGTGGACAAGGTGGAGCTGTTGGAATATTAGCTGTTGCTGGAGCTGTTGCTGGTCGTTGTGTCGTTGTATGAACGATTCTTACTTTTTTCTTTTCTTCACTATTTTGATTATTATTTTTATCGCGAAAAGTTTTATGAATAATATCGTAATATCCATATAACATGCTAATTTTTGGTTTACTATTCATGCGATTTAAATTTCGTGCTTTGTACTGAATGAATTTATTTGGTAAAGACTGGTCTTCAGGTGAAGTTTTATCTTCATCTATTGACGATCCATTTGTACATTCAGTTGCGTTGTCTAAATTGTTCAAATTTTGATATAAATTATTTCCATGTAATTCAACTTGTTTAAGAAAATAGGAAATTTGAATTTTTTCATTACGATAATCGAGTAGACGACGTTTGAAACGAGTTCGCTCATACCACATTCTCCAATAAGCTTGAAGCGTAACAATAGAACGTACTTTTTTCTGTTCGGCACGTCGTACAAAATATTTGCGCACTATCTTTTGAACACGTACAACGGATTGTTCATAATCTGATACGACACTATTGTTTTTAAGAGTTTCATTTTGCTTGTGAACCAAATACATTCTTATGTAAGATTGTAAACGGATAATTTTTGTCATAAAATTTTTATGTGCAATATTTAATTGTTCAATATGATGATATTTTAAAAAGATTTTTGTTTTACCTATTGCATAATTATTAATACGAAATGTTTTTACGATTAATTCACATAATTGTTTATGATCATCTGTGGAGTTCGATTTCATATCAAGAAGACATGCATATCTCGATATAAAATCTTCAAACGGGATTCGATGTGAATAACCTTGACGACGAATTTCAATTGTTTCAATTAAACCACTATAGCGTATTTGTTCAAGAACAACGGCGTCATCGAATTCGCTTGAATCAAATTTAAAATTTTGTGGAAAATAACTTGTTTGATCATGTGTTATATGCGAGCTTTGAAATGGTAAACGATTTGGTACAAGACATCGTATAAATGTTGGCTGACTTGATGCCATTGTCGTAACTAATTCCATTAATGAATAACGAAAATATGTTGATACAGTACCTTGTGTACGACTGAGTGTTGCTGTTTTATGAGGTTTTGAACGAAATAATGTTGAAATTTGATCTTGTTTTTCTTGTTCGCTATAAACAACACTACCGGTTTTACGTAGACGACTGCGAAAAAGTAAATTAACGAGATGATCATCACTTTGTAGAAGTAAATCGATAATTTCCATGGGTACATAATCGCGATTTTTTTCTAGAAAATCTTTTGCTGAATATTCAATCTTACCAGCATAATGTGATATTGTAAATAATGGTTGTAGATCCAGTGAAAGTGTTTTTTGACGTTTTAACGTTTTACGTGACAACGATGACGACAGAGACATGGTAGTAAAATGTGAAGAATTTAAATTTTCACGCCATTTATTAACAAGAGTAAATTCTGTTGATTGTGGAAAACGAGATTCTTCATCGAGTAACGTTAATAGACCAATAGGCTTGGATAAGCACATGTCAAGAATTGATCGATTATTTGGAAAATCAAAATTATCACGATAAGCTAAACAAAATATAAACTTATTTCCATTTAGATTCAAACTAAACAATTTATGCATCAAAACTCAGTTTAGACATGTATAACAGAGAAAAATCTGGGTGTACTTGATATTGGCGTTTGCCCTGCAGAGTCAATCAGTTTCATATTGCAGATGCAACTCGTGATGATATTACGAGAGTTTATTTTGTGACAACTTCCAATCGATTACTGATTTCTGTACGTTAATGCCTCCACACCATAGACCGAAACGAGCCAAAAAAACATCCGGCTCGACTCAAACAACGAATTTTCAGAAGCAGATTTTTTCAACAACAATTATATATATCCGTGATCGGCCAATTCATTGTTGTGTGACTAGTTGGTGAATAAACCTGATGTATTGAATACAATGAAAGCCATTGTATGTCAAACCATTATTGTCTATTGGACGTCGTCAGTTCATCGCCGTTAATTTTTCGTATTTTTTGTTCGATTAATTCACTGCAATGAGTGAGATTTGTATCATTTCAATGCAACAACTGATAATAACGGTCAATGTCGAGAAACAGTTGAAAGAAACAATGAAAACTTTAAAAAAGTCGAATCTCTCAAATCAAACCCGACTCGGCTGTAGGCCTGACTCGGTTCCGGCCTATGCTCCACACCCCAACGGTTATATCCGAGCAGGGAAATCTTGGTTTCTTATCAAGATTAATTCTTGACATGATTCTAACCGGTGATATGTAGGTATTTTCGTAGGCGGAAAAATAATCTAATCGGCTCATATCGTTATCTGAGTGTCTGAAGGGTTTATCAATAAAATGTAAAAAAAGAGTGGGCAGGTGGATAATATTTGCTTTTCAATAAAAGCATTATTTTTCGTTCGAAACAATTAATACGTTCTCCAAAAAAGCGAGATAAACATGTGCTGTTGCTACATCTTTGACTCTGTCTGCTTGTAATAAGAATACAATGAGTGATGAATATAAATTAGTTTCTCAGCACTGTCATATACGTTGACACGTGCTTAACTAATAACGCTTGCAATTGTTGATTAAAAAAATAACTATATAGAGAATGCTTCGGAAATAAACGAATACAAAAAGTCAAACTCTGAAAAGATTTTATGTTCTGAGAAAATTTATACTAACCCGTTTTTTCTATTTGTTCATTTTCATATTCTCTCATTTCCCATGCAAATGTATGTTGTCGAAAAAAATATTGCAATTGCTCATTAGCAATATTAATACATAATTGTTCATAAGAATTACTTTCAAATGTTTCAAAACCAAATAAATCAAGTATTGATATTGAACATAGACCATCATTTCGAATTTTTTTATCCGATTCTTCATCGGTTTCTTGAAGTAAACTTAATTTTTTCTTCAATAAATCTTTTTCATGTTGTTTATGAATATCAACAATTAATCGTGGTTCATATTCAAGTTCCGTTCGAAAATAACGATTCAATCCATATATAATCCAATCAAATAAACGAGAATAAAGAGATTTGGCCATAGCATCTCGTGTTTGTTGTGCTTCCGAAATCGTATTTAATTTCGTCACAGTTTCACCACGTGTCATTAAACTTGATTGAATTAATGAACGAATAAATTGATCGTTATCAATTTTTAATAAACGATAAACAGCATTGGAATGTGGCATTGATTCTTGATCAATCGAACAGCCAGGTTCATTGGGCTCGGTATCAGGTTTAAATGAAACATTTCCCAACTGAATAATTGCAGTAAGAATAGCCAATATCGATGCTTGTTCATCATCGGTTATATTTAGGTCTTTTAAAATTTGAAATAAATTCTCTAATGATACTGTTGATACTGCTTGATCATCATTATTATTATTATTATTGCCAAGATACGAATAATATTTAACAGTTTGAAATAATTCCGATGATTCTTGATCGATTGAGATACAAGGATTCGATTGTGGTTGAGAGAAATAGGAATATATTGAATAGAATATATGAAAGTTTCTCTTGTTACCACTGGCAAGTACCACGCGAGTTTTTTCAAGAAGAAATTGAGACAATTGAACATAGGCTATTGTGCCATAATCAGAAAAAAATATATCGAGAAGTTTACCAAAACGTGAAGAATTATTATTCAGCGAAGTTTGTGCATTTCCAAATGATTCAAGTAAAAAATTCATGTTAACAAGACAATTTTCAAGTGCACGCTGTTCACCAAAACCGAGAAGAGCTAATTCACTGATTAGATTTTGGGCAGCATGTGTTTTACCTAATCAAAATAAATAAATACTTTATAATAGAAACGGATCTTCGAGATGAAACATTCGGCAATAGACGAAGGGCTTTGAAAAACAACTCCGAAGTATTAGTTTCAATAGAGATTTGCTGCACTAAAACTAGGATTTTTATTAACCGGAAACCTTTAACTAACATTTGTCCTTACTAGCTTCCTTGCACTCTACTAGCAATCCAGGTATTATATTAAGCACGAAAATCTGACCTGAACCGGATTCTCCCGAAAGAATAATACATTGTGCTTGTCGGCTAATCATCATTTGATTATAAACATTTGCAGCTATTGCAAAAACATGTGGTAATAAATCTTTTCTATCCTTTAAATATTTGAATTGAAAATGAAGATTATCAATTGGTAAAAATTGTTTAGGATTAATTGCTAATAAAGAATCGCCAATATATGTATAGATTAATGTTTTACTAAAACGCCTTCGTAATGAATTAATAATATGTTGTGGATCAAGGTAATGGATTTGTGCTAAATTATTTTCATTATCAATAAAATCTGCTGGATTACTTATGTTTTCAATCCAAGGATTAATATTTACAGCATCATTCATAATCGATGATGGATCACTTTCAACTGATACCTCCGGAACATCCAATGATGATAATTTCATATGATAAGTTTTTAATAAATCACGATATGATTCTTTTGTTTCATCATCGAATTTAACAAAACTTTCATTTCTTAATAATTCTTCAGACGATGGTCGCTGTTCATAATCTTTAATTAAACAAGCTGAAATAAATTTTGTAAAATCTTCCGACCATTTTGTTACGTCTCGTACTGTTGGTGGTGGACGGCGGGGAACTTCGAAAAGAACTTTGGTCGGATGAAATTGACATAGTGGGGCCTCACCATCAGCTAATTCAATTGCTGTTATGCCAAGAGACCATATATCACATCTTTCATCAAATGCATAGTCCAACTGATGCGCACATGCAATGACTTCCTATAGGTTGATAATCAAAAAGAACAGAATCATTACAATTGTTGTTTTTATTTTTATCTATTCTTACAGGTGCCATCCAAAGTGAAGTGCCAACACTAGAATTACGTTTTGAGTGCTCTGCACTGAACAGAGCAGCAATACCGAAATCAATTAATTTGATAACATAATTGTTAGTCACTAAGATATGACTACCTTTGACATCTTTTAAATAAACCGTAGAGAATAGGAAATGCTTGTTTTAGAAGACTATATTTTAGACTTACCACGATGCATAATACCGTTTTGATGGAGATATTGTAATGCTTTCAATGTACTACTTAATCCGTAGGCAATTAGTTTTTCTTTTTCAAGTGTATTCAATTGATTTTTCTTATGAATTCGTTTTATTAATTGATTAATTGGACCTAGATGACATAGTTCCATAACAAACCAAATATTTCGAGCGCTGGACTCATTATATTCACCAAATAGGCCAATAAAATCAGGTAGATTCTCGTGTTGTTTAGAGATTTTCTTCAAAATATTTAATTCACTTTCAAATTCATTTGAAATATCATCATTTTTTATACGAATTATTTTTGCTGCTACATATTCATTCGAATCCGAATATTTAGCTCGATATACTTTTCCATATGTTCCCTCACCTAATTTATCAAGAAGTATCCAAATAAGATTTGGATCAGGTAACTATTAAAAATTGTAGAATATTTATGACAGAGAAAAAAGCATTTTTTTTTTGTATTACTTTTTCATCTTCAAATGTTGATGATGATGCCATTTGTCCAAATGTTCTGCTATTTTTTAAAAATATCTCATATTTGCTTTGTGCTGATTCCATTTAATCTGACTCTATCATCCTCCAAAGTCTGCGTTTAATGCTTTTTTCTGCATCTTTTCTCTCTCTATTTATCGTTTTCTCGACTTATTTGCTATGACAGACAAGAAGCAGGTAAAGATATTAATCAAGAATGCTGCTTAACTATCTGTGAACATTCAAAAAGAGTCAATGAAGGTCTAACAAATTCTTCATGTTCTTCCTCTCTCTCTCGCTATATATATATTTTTTTTTCTCCCGTGATAAGAACTATTTAAGGCCTTGTCTGTACGTGTTGGTGTGCATCCATACAGCTTTGTTGATCGTTTCATTGATAAATCAACCGGAAGAGAAGAAAATATTTAGTGTGACAAGCACGTCCAATAGTCAATATGTTAATAAAACTAGAAAAATATGGGAGAAAAAAAGTAGAAATGTTGATTCACCTTCAGTATAGATAAAGTATGATTGATATAATTGCTATTAGGTTTATTTATTGAAACATAGGAAAAAAAGAAAAAAAACAATATTTATCTTTTCAATACACGAACACGTCGAGAAGATGAGTTTTGTCCAATAGGCATACGTTGTGGAGCATTCTTATGTAAATCAAGATCAGCTAAAATTTGTTCAAGTTCCAATTGAATCGATGGACCATTATCGACAGGTACTGGATTACTACGCCGTGATGTTGGACGATGACTTTGTACAGCAATTCGTCGACGATTTTGAAACCAAATACCTAAAATATTCATAGTGACAAGTTCCTATCGATGTGAGAAAAAAAAACATACGAATTTGTTCGCGTGTAGCTCCTATTCGATCGGCGACAACATTCTTTTGAATACTATTAGGATAAGGTACATGTTCGAATATTTCATTGAGTAACCAACGTTGACGATTTGTATATTGCAATCGATTGGGAAGATTTGTTGATGGACGAGGCAGTGGAGGTGATACAGATGGAACATTGACAATCTATTGAAAGTAAAAATTAAGTAGAATTTAGAAATATTGAAAATATTTTACCTGAGAGAATGGTACAATTGGTGGCGATGGTGGAGTAAACTGAAGGCAAGGATAAGCCATATCATTGTAATAAAAGCAAGACAGTTGTTGATCATAGGCAGGATACATAACCGTACGTGGTGACGTTGAACAAATCGATGATTCGTAATATGATGAGTTTGAAGATGGTGTATCATAACTGTTATTGTATGAATATGGTGAATACGACCAGTACGATGAACAGTTTCCATCAAAGATTGATGCCATGTTTGACAATAATACAAGTAAATAAATGATTGTGTAGTTTGATCATATTCTTCGATATATATATAATATGCTCCAATATCTTTTTTTCTCTCTCTTGTATACCAATCAAATTGACGTCCGATGAGTAGCATGATTGTTTTACGAGTTCATGTATTGCACGAGAAAACACTAATTGGTAATTTATGTATTCATATATGTGAAACAATCAACACTTCGTTATTAAGGAGTCAAACTCTTTCACAGTGTTCGTCAAACTTTTTTGTTTAAATAACAAATATCTAAATTGATAGTCAATACGAATGAATTCTACGAAATTCACATGTTGTATTGTAATCTAATCTAATCGATTTGATTTTTAAGTTCATATTCGTGATATTGATACCGACACGAGACTCTTTGATCCGAACGTGATCAAAATCGTTTAAACTAGATTACGTAATATCCCACGTTTTGATTGTTAGGTGAGTTTTCCAAGAGAGAGCGAGAAGAAAACATGATTCGATCAATCATTATTCACTCTATTAACAAACAGCGGTGTTATACTTAATAAATGACATATTCTCTTGAGATTGAAAATAATACCATGAAACACTCGAATTCTTGCTATTCAAGTGTAAAATGTAGGCTGGTTGTCGAATATAATTTCAGTGTTTTGAATATTTTTTATTTGGCAAAAAGAAAACGGAAGTGGAAGAAAGCGTCTTGAAAAACAATCCAATTTTATGTTGATCAAGACGTATCACACACAAACTTACTCTCATGATTAACAAAAGAAAAGAAAAGAAAATCACTTCAAGTATCTGATTGAAAAAATACGACAATTAGACATGGTTATTTTCCTTCAAATACGCCATCATCATCATTCGAACACTTGCTAGTATTGAAAAAAATGATTGAACAACACCGAACAGAAAAAAAACCAGATAGCGAAAAACGAACGGGCAAAGTTTTTTCTTCCTAACAGTGTATGACAAAAAGAAACTGAGAGACGATGAAATTACATATGTGCGTTTAAGTGTACAAGAAAAAAAAGACAAAGACAAGAAACGAATTTACAAGCAACGCAATGAACTGTTCTCTCCGAACCAGAGTTAAATGAAAGAAAATATCTTGTTCGCTGTAGTTTAATCTAGATGTTCGCAATGTACAGATCATAAGACAAGAATTTTTAGAGTTTAATTATATAAAACCAGAAAAAAGAGAGAAAAGTAGTAGTTTTTTTCTTAATCCCAATTTTCGTTAGCTGCTCCAGCAGAAGCTGTACCACCGCTGGGACCAGCAGCTTTACTTCGATTAGGAAAATGACTATGACCATCACGTACCTAAAACAAACAAGAAAATTACCAACGCAATCCGTATAAAATTAGAATCATCTCTTACGTCAGTATTTCGTGAACCTTGACCTTCATTGTAAAATCCAACATTCCCACTATTAACCAATGTTTTGAGAAATTCAGGTGCCTCTTGACCAGCCTAATGAAATAATAAAAATGAAAATAAATCTTCAAATTTTTGCAAACTACATACTTCAATTAATCTTGCTAATAGATCAGGAGCAATTTTTCGGTCGGAATCTCGACCGGAATCAAAAAATGATATTGATTTACCCAAATGACCAGCACGACCTTTAGAAAAATCAAATTCTTTGCATTTGCATACAAAATATTTTCACTAATTGTACCTGTACGACCAATACGATGAATATAAAAATCACTTGAATCCGGTAAATCATAATTAACAACATAGCCGATTAAAGGAAAATCTAAACCACGAGCAGCAACTGATGTTGCAACAAGTATTGGACAATTTCCAGTTGTAAAATCTTGTACAGCTTGATGTCGTTGTTGTTGTGTTCGATCACCATGCATCGTTGTACTACGAAAATTTTTTTGTGATAGTAACGAACCTATGTAATCAGCTGATCGTTTTGTTTCAACAAAAATTAAACAGCGTTCAGATTCTAAACGTAAATGAATTCAATTTTGTAATAAATTTCTTTTCTTGTTTTGTTTTCCTACTAAGATTTTGTTCGAGTAATTGAAAAAGACGATCTTTTTTTTGTCCTTGTGGCACTTCTTCAATGCATTGTGTTATATCTTCGTTAGCGCCACCAAGTGTACCAACAGCCAAAAAGACATAGTCGTTACGTAGAAAATGTTTCGCTAATTGTTGTACTTCAGTAGGAAACGTTGCAGAAAACATCGATGTACAACGATCTTCCTTTGGTGGTAAACCGAGATCTTCTAATTTACGAATATCAGGTTCAAAACCTGTGTCCAACATTCTTAAAGAAAGGAAATCTATTATAAATAATTCAATCATTTTATGCATACCGATCAGCTTCATCAAGAACAAAATATTTCACTTTTTTCAACGAAATCTTAATTGATCAAAAGAGAAAAATTTCAATTTTTTTTTAATCGGGAAAATGCAAAAGAAATTTACTCGGCCTTTTTCAACCATATCTTTAAGACGACCAGTTGTAGCCGATAGAATATGACAACCTTGTCGAAGACGATCCGATACAGTAAACATATCATGACCACCAACAGCAGAACCTGTCAAAGAATAGAAAATAAAAGAACTGCGTTGAATTCTTTCATAACATACACGGTATCACAGAAGTTTCGAATGCAAATTTTCTTGCTTCGCGTTCTGTTTGTAGAGCAAGTTCACGCGTAGGCGAAACAATCAGGCACAATGGCGCTGGTGGATTTTGGTTTTCAGCTAATTCATCCGCATTATATGATAGTAAATTTGATATGATTGGCAGAAGAAAAGCCGCCTAAAACAGTTATACGATTAGCAAATACAAATGAAAACTGAATACGGAAATGTACTGTTTTGCCTGATCCAGTCTGTGCACAGGCCATTATATCATCTTGTTGTCGTATACAAGGTATTGTATAACGTTGAATAGCTGTTGGTTCTTCAAACTGAGCACGACGAATATTTGATAAAATTTGTGTACCAAGATTTGCTTCTTCGTATAATTCAATCGGTTGTACTTTGCCTGATAAAAAACAACTTATTAGGTTCAAGATAAAACGAATAGTTAATTACCTGGTGGTGTACATTGTACGTGAGCTGTATGATATTTTCCAAAATTTTCACCTCTTGTAACAGCCTCGCCGAATATACCATTTTCAGTTGTTGGTGCAGGTGGTGGAATAAAACGTTCAGTTGGATGACCACCAGCTTTAAATAAATTATTAAGATTGTTGTGCTATGAGTACAATATACATACGTTGATCAAACACATCCGACGCCTAAATGAATTTGTGCATAGATGCATGTTCCTTAAAATCAATGATCACTTACTGGATTATTATTTCGTCGACCACCGGAGTTATCAAAACTGTTACTGCCACTATCTAAACAATTTAATATATGAAAAAAGAATATTATAAAAAGAAACCGAAAGTAATCATACCACGAGGTTTTCTTTCTTGAGGACAATCACGAGCTTGATGACCTGGTTCATTACTATTAACAAATAAAAGAAGTGCTAAAATGCAACTCATAAACAAAACGTACCAATTGTAACAATCTAAACAAAAACTAGACAGTGTTGAAAACATAATTCGAACTAAATGAATACTCACTACCACCGGCTCCTCCTCGTCCCCCGCCACCAGCACCACGAAAACCTACAAAGAAAAAGATAGTCTATTATCATAGAATCAAATCCAAAAAACACAATAATAGTATCTAATTAAATTTAACTTACCACGATCACTGGAATTGAATTCTCCTCCGCCACCACCTCGGCCACCTATAATAAATGATTTATATTTCTATTTTTAAATTTAAAAGCATCTTTTTATATCTTACCTCGAAATCCACTACTACCACGAGCTGTTAAATCATTGTTAACTGTGACTGACATCAATGAACTTCCACCATCTGGTGGTGAGACGAAGTTCACATTACGATCACTACCGTTTGACTGGAAACCGCCGCCTGATTCGAATCCATTACGATTGCCAAATCCTGAGTTAAATCCACTACGATCATTATTACCACCCGAATGAAATCCACCACGACTATTAGTCGAATTGTGACCACCCCGATTTCCACCGTCATAGCCTCCACGATTCCCTTTTCTTGGTTCAGAACATTCTCGACTGATATGGCCAGTTTGATTACAATTATAACATGCTTTAAAATTAAACATCAATTAATACATCATATACTTAGATATCTATGATAGAAACGTACCACGAGGGCTGCTATCGTTACTCGATCCATATCCTCCTCTACTACCACCGCCCCTGTCTCCACCAAATGTACCACGACCGCCTTGAATTGAAAAGGAAGTATTATTTCAAACATATGAAAATCAAAATTACCATTAAAACCACCGGCATTTCGTGAACCAAATCCTCCACTACCACTGCTACTATTTGGATTGTTGCTTTCATCATTGTTTCTACTACGAAAGGTACTGAAATTTTCGGATGTAGTACTACCATTACTATTCCAATTTCCGGGTGGTGGTGCTACTAGTTCTAAAAATGAGTCTATCATTGAGAGGATAAATAAAAGAAATGAATATTTACCATCATTATTCGTTTCTGTACGTGGTTTTCCACGTCCAATACCCAAACGTGTTGGTGTTGCTACTGATTGCTACATACATAATAAGTTTTAATAAAAAAAAAGTCATCTTTTCTTTTCAAATAACGACTAACTTGTTCAGATGTCTTAGAGGCTTGTGCACCATCCCATGATCCGTCAGTCATGATCAAAAGATACTAATTGTTTATTCAGAACAAAAACAATACTATCTAGAATCAACCAAAACGATATTAAAACAGAAGTCTTATGTATTGATTTGTGTTTTTCTTTATTCTTCTTGTTTTGTTTTGTTTTCTGAATGTTCTCTTTATAAAAAAAAAAACATACAAGCAAAGAAAAAGACAAAATAACGGAAAAAGAAAACAATGCTTGTTGTTTGCTTGACGTTTTATTCTATTTGTTTATTTCTTTTTACCAGCAGCTGGTGCAGCAGCAAATATTTTGAATTTGTTGGCAATGCGTTGAGATTTAGCAACGAATTTTCTTGGTTTAACTTTCTTAGCTTTCTTTGCTAATTGAACTTTATTCTTCTTCTTCAAACGATTGTATTCATGATTGACAATACGATTGAAAGCTTGTTTAGCATGTACCAGTTTGTATCGATCGAAATCCGTCATTTTAGAACGTAAATGTTTTGCTTGTATTTTTTTACACCAACGGGATTCTTGCCATTTTTTATTAATATCATGACTATCCCAAAGTTTTTTAACTGTTTTTGAACGAGCTCCAGGTAAAAGTTTGAGAACATATTTTGTTAAATGTAAAGATTTAATGTTTAATGCTTGACGAGATACATGGGATGATGGACCATCGACAAGTACTCGTGTCTGATCGATAATATTTGTAATACAACAAATTTTGCCCGTTTCTGGACCAAAGGCAACGTAAGCAACACGGCCAACTTGGACTAAACGATCGTAGGGCATAATAAATCAGATGTTATTTCGAATGTTTCTTCTTGGTTAGTCTAAAATTGATTACATGGTATAAAAAAATATTTAATTGAAATATTTATTTCAAAGAAATGATCAAAATGAAGTAGTTATCGAGAATACCCAGTTTGTATTTTTTTTAAATAGATACCAGAGGTAAATAAACAAGCATTTCATTGGATACAGGGTGGAAGATTAGTTTCTAACGTTACTACATGAATAGATGAACAAGTCAAATTGGAATTAAAAGTAATGGAACAGTTTTAGTTAAATAATATATATTTATGGTATATTGAAATAATTCAAATGCATTACTGAATTAACTAATGTATACTAGTGGCTATCAATGAGTACTCATGGTGAAAAGAACGAATCAAATTTCTTTTGATATTGTTGAATAACTCACTATATAACGAGTTGAACAAAAGGAGAAAAGTATTGTTTTCCAGGATTCTAGTGATTATTCAGGCACCGCTATTGTTATTATGCAACCAAGAGTTTTTTTCGCAAAGATCTAGACATCGATGAAGATGTCGCTTACGATCAGTTTGTGGAGTATTCAGTGCACAACTCATCAACGCCATAAAAATGTGTATTTTTTTAAATAAAAAGTCTGCTTTTTGATGACTCTTTTGAAGTTTTGCCTTTTTCCAAAAAAATAAAAAACTCGTCATTGAAAGTACGCACAGTGCATCAGTGTGTTTGTTTATATTTGTTGCGGTTAGTGAGTCATCTTTCATCTTTATTCCTCGTGTGTCAATTAATACATTGACCGACTGACTTTTGTTCATTACGAAAAGAAATTTGTTCAACTTCTTATAAGTTTCATAACTCTATTTTGCATCTCTAGGTCATGTGATATAAAAAACTTTAAATGGTAGCCAAAGGCACACAAGATCGACGATCATCATCGTCAACAAAAGCCGCAGCCACACCTACAACTACAAAACGAACACGAATATCATCAGCGAGTCATGATAAAAAAGTACTATTCAATATTATTTTCTCAATAATATATCAATGACACAATTTTAGAAAGTCGCCAAACCAATTGGTATATGCGGATTTTGTTTGGGTGATAATGAAAAAAATGCAAATGGTGTTCCAGAAAAAATGATAAATTGTGCAGAATGTGGAAATTCAGGTAAAATTGATTTCGAATTTCGTAAACATATACTGATCGCAAGCAATGATTTCTCTAGGACATCCATCATGTTTACAATATTCAGAAAAATTAGTAAAAACAATCCGAACAATTCATTGGCAATGTATCGATTGCAAACGATGCATTGAGTGTAATAAAAGTGATGATTCAGTATGGAATGAAAACTTTTTCACCTCGAATTTTTTCGTTGAACTTTTTTTATATTCATCTAGCTATTATTCTGTGATTTTTGTGATGCTGGTGTACACCCGAAATGCTGTAATCCACCATTGAATAGCATTCCTAAAGGTGATTTTGCTTGTAATGTTTGTCGTGATGAAATATTATTGTCACCAAATAAAAATCTATCGTCATCATCGTCATCATCAACACGTTCTCGTCGTAGTATTAATTTAAACGGTGAAGATCCGCCAGCAACTCTTTCACAGTCTGTTACTGAACTCGATGATGGCATAGCGAATTTTTTCATACCAAACAAACAAAATCTTAATAATATTCGACAACAATCTGTACAAAAAGCAATGAAATATATACGTGAAAATAAAACAATAAAATCAACGAATAAGAAATTACTCAAACGGATTCATGCAACAACATTAAATACAAATACAATCAAAGAAAATGAGGAATTGTTAGCGGAAACAATTTTATCATCATCGAAAACACCACGAATTAGAAAAAAACTTTTGACTGAAGATTTATGTTCAGAGTATGAAATTATTTTTTTCTATCATAAATAATTATTTATTCCTTTTCTTTTTCTTTTTCTTTAGTCCTCAAACGAGTACACCTCTATTAACACGTCAGCTATTAAATAAAAAGTCATTTACAACAGAACCATTAAGTCCTCGAATGATTTCTGAATCAGATAATCATCCTATTGAAGAATTAAGTAAAACACCGCTATCAAAAGCATCGAATAAACGCAAACATTCAACAAATTCTTTATCGCCTGTTTCGAATACGCCATCAATTGTAAAAAAACGAGCGAAAAATGAATTACAATTGAAAAAACAACATTCAAAATTGAATAATAAGAGACGAAAAGAAAGTTTAACTGAAGATGATCCATCAGATGACGATAAACAAATAGAATCTACAGCTGATAAACGACGGTTCAATTTAGATCTGTCTAGTAAGTATAGTAAACAGTAGTATGAAACAAATTTCAATTTACGTTTTTTTAGAATATAAAAATCCGCCGGCATTTATCAAAGATGTACTACCAGATAATATTATTGAGAATGATATATATTTGTTTCTTGAAGCACGTAAAGATGCTTCTAAACTTATAACAGATGTAAGTCATAACCAAAATTGCTTTTCTTTTGTAATTCAAAGTTGTCTTTTTTAAAGTGTTCTGATAAATTTCATTGTTCAAGTGAAACGATTGTTGAAGATACAACGAGTTCATCCCGTTGGCCACCTTATATTGTATTCGGTTCAGATTTAATGAAAACTTGGTATTCATCATCCTATCCTCAGGAATATGCACGTGTACCGCGTTTATATATTTGTGAATTCTGTTTAAAATATATGAAATGTGAACAAGTTTATGAACGACATCGTGTAAGTATATTTGCTCCAATTCTTTTGTGAATTTTTTCCCTATTTATTATAATAGAAAAAATGTGCTGCATTTCATCCACCAGCCAATGAAATCTATCATCAAGATGATCTGTCAGTTTTTGAAGTTGATGGAAATATAAATCGAATTTATTGTCAAAATTTATGTCTTCTTGCAAAATTATTTCTCGATCATAAAACACTTTATTATGATGTTGAACCATTTTTATTTTATGTCCTAACTAGAAATGATTCAAAAGGTTGTCATTTTATTGGTTATTTTTCAAAAGAAAAACATTGCCCACAAAGATATAATCTATCATGTATAACTGTACTACCCAATTGTCAACGTCGAGGTTATGGCCGATTTTTAATTGAATTAAGTTATTTACTTTCACAAAAAGAAGGACAAGTTGGCACACCTGAACGGCCATTATCGACGCTTGGTGCACAAACATATGAAGCATATTGGAAAATAAAAATTGTCGAACAACTACTGAACTGTTTTAATGAAAATAAACAAAAATGTTTATTGAAAACGATTATGAATGAAACAGGAATGGCCATTGATGATATTATTGAAACTCTACAAAATTTAGGTGTTTTAACAATGAAATCAAATGGAAAGTAAGTTTATATCATCTATCTATGAGAAACTTTGAGTGATCATATCGTCTCGTTAAAAATTTTTCTAGGCCTGTTATTAATGCTAATGTGGTACAATTAGAAGCGATGCTTAAGAATGAAAAAATTAAACATGCACATTGGGTTACAATTGATAGTGAATATTTACGTTTTACTCCTGTACTTACACCACTTCTATTAACAAATGAAGAAAAAGCTGTTGAAAAGGAAGTGAAAGAAATTCAAATTGTATTTAAACAAATGGGCCAAGATGCTGTTGAGTAAGTTTTAACAAAATAAAAACACAGAACTATATTTTTATGGAACTTTTCTTTTAGAGCGGCATTATTACACGCTGAATCGAACGACGGTTCAAATCCTAATGAAACAGTTCGGTATATTCGAAGGAGAAAAAATGGACAAAAACGTCGTTCAATTCTTGTTAAACGTCGAACACCAACTAATAAACCACTTAAAAATGAATCAATTATTACTCATGATGATAGTTGTATAGCTGATAAAACCATAGATGATAACGATGAACATTCTCAGGAATATAAACCTCGTCGACCAGTATCTATAATAAACGAATCTACGGAAGAAGAAACATCTGCTCCAGTAGTACCGTCACCGAAAATCCCTATTAAACCACCAATATTGAAACAATTGAAACTTGATCAATTTCTTAAAGCCATTCCACCCGAAGCGGATTCATTGGCGAACGAAGAACTTGAAATTAAAAGTGAAAATAGTGAAGAAATTCATTTACAATCAAGAAGAATAAGTCGAAATACACGATTGAACTCGGCATCAAAATTTGAGAATTCATCAGAATCTTCAAATAAACCTGATCGTATGTATATTCATAATAATCCAGTTCTTTTCAAAGAGATTTCTATTCTAGCTAATTATCAAGACTCATTGACAAGACAAATCAGTGAAAGTGGTCTTTCAGTAGCATCATCAAATGATACCACAACAACGACGAATACATTCAGTTCATCTTCAACATTCAACATGGATGGATCATTATCATTAAAGAAATGTAGTTTAACTCCATCAGAAATTCAAGCTTTAATCGATAGTACAGTTTCGCCAACTAAGGTTCATATTCAATTTTTTGTAGTAGAAAAAACAAAAAATTATTTATTTCAGAGTAACACTGATCAATCAAATACAGTAGCCAAAGCTTCACCTGAAGTACTTTCATCCCTATCAGATATGCTTAGTAATCCACTTTTATCATCTATCAATGGCGCTGATGATGAAACGAAAATTGCTCACATTGAATCTCAATTAAAGACAAGTACAGCTTCTATAGTTAATGATAACGAAGAAGAAACAATTTCATCGATCAATTCATATGAAACAACCATTGAACCCATTGAAACAACTGATGATGATCAACCGCCTAGTCTTACATCACCAACCTCAATGATTGTCTCACAATCAAATCATTATAATTATCCAATACGAAATAAACAACAACAAGAAATTAATAATTTTAATCCATCGACTAGTAATATGACATATAATTATGCTAATCCATCATATCCCTATTCACCCTATCCACCAGCACCATCATTTGATATGCAATCATATTATTATCATCAACCAACAATACCCATGGATTATATGCCCTATTACCCAACATCATTACCAACAGGTTATCCTCCTGCAGGACCCATATATGGAAATACATCTGAACAACCAACATTCTATACGTCCAATGATGTCAATACAATTCCCTATAATGGTAATGGAACTACACCGTATATTTATCCAACACCACAACCCTCATCAACTGTACCAACAAGTCAACGACATTGAATATTGAATTTCTACATAGTAACTAGTTCGGTCAGATAAAATGATGAATATGTGTATATATTTCCTTCTTCTCATGGAAAATGTTTATTTATTTGTGTAGTTTTCTGTAACATAAATATACAATAAGAAAACAACGAATAAAAGAAAAATATGAAAATAGTGTTTTTTTTTTGTACTTTTTTTTTACATCCTACTTAAATTGTTGCTCGTTTTTTTTTCTAAATTTCATTTTTTTTCTTTATCAAGTTGTAATGAATAATGGATGGTGATGATCATCGTGACTCTCTTTTTTTGTCTTGAGTGTTTATGTATATAATTTTCTGTGTGTTTGTCATGTGAAAACAGTGTTTTGTTGTTTATTGTCTTCTGATGATATTGAAAGGAAATTATTGATGATGATACAACAAAATAATAGGAATTGGCATTAATATTCTAAGTCCTTTTTCTTTTAAATATCAGATTAAATTGTATTCATTCAAATATAATAAAATGATATTGTCAAATAATCAATAATTTTTTTCTCAGTTTATTTATTCTAAATATACTTCAATGGATAATCAAATGGAGAAAATAAAATTAAAAAGTCTTGCATCCATTAACGGCTAATCGAATCGCGTAGAGTGAAGTAGTAGCACAAATATAAAGTACATTACGTTTTACACCACCACCAAAACATACATTTGCGACAATTTCTGGTACACGAATTCTACCGAGTAGGGTACCTGTATTTCCATCGTAGCATTCCACTCCTTCGCCAGCACTTGTCCATATGTTTCCAGTAGTATCCAAGCGAAATCCATCAAAAAATCCATCTCTACATTCAGCGAAGACTTCTCCACCAGTCAATGAAATACAGTCATCACCTACATTAAAAACACGAATATGTGCTGGTCCATCGTTAGGCCGATGACTTTTTCCTGTGTCAGCAATATATAGACGTCGTTCATCAGGAGAAAAAGCTAATCCATTCGGTTGTTGAAAATCTTTTGCTACCACATGTAATTTACCATCCTTCAAACAATAAACATGATTTCCTCCAATTTCACTTTCTCCTTGATCACCTTCATAGTCTGAATCAATACCATACGTAGGATCTGTAAACCAGATTGATCCATCGGATCTAACCACAATATCATTGGGACTGTTAAAACGTTTATTGGTTTCGGTTCGATCGGCCAGTACAGTTATTGTACCATCATGTTCTGTTCTTGTTACACGTCGTGTCTGGTGTTCACATGTTACTAAACGACCTTGTCGATCAACTGTATTACCATTAGCATTCGATGAAGGAGAGCGAAAAACACTTGTTTGTCCATTGCATTCATCATAGCGTAGCATGCAATTTTCGGGTATATCAGAGAAAATAAGTGTACGTAAAGCAGGAAAATATGCAGGACCTTCTGCCCACGCTAATCCAGTATGTAGACGACGAAGAGTCGCTTCTGTAGAAACCAAATGAAGGAACGAATCATCATAGATATCAAATACTCCTATGGCCTTCGTTGGCATTTTTGTCGTGTACTAGTTGAAGAAAAAAAAAGAAGAAAGAATCGTTTTTGTTTTTGAAAACGGTTATATGATATCATGTACATAAGATACATGGGAATTTATGACTAAAAATCGAAGTCAATTCCGAGGAATACATATAGTTCATAAAAACATGGATGTTGCGTAATATTTAATAAAATTATCTACGAAACTTATTCTTTGATTTTCGCCTGCATCAGCATGTCTCTAGCAAAAGAAAAGAGATACCTTGATGTCAAATGAAATTAGTATCTCGGGGCAGATAAGAAACAACACTCAATACCGTATCTATTCTATGGGCTAAATTTATTCATTACGTGTATGACAGTGCAAATATTATTTATATAAAGATACGATGCTTTTTTTCTACAACTTGAAAATTTTCTTGTTTTTCTCTTCAGCTTATTAATTGAAATGTCTCGTAGCACAATTAGAATAAATCCAAATGATTCATCTCCTTCGGATATTTTCCCGAAATTTGCCACAGAAGGCATTGATAATGGTTTTCAACAACCACCACCATTACGTACACGTCTCATATGTGAACTAATTGGTACTTGTCTTTTCGTATTTTTTGGTGCAGGCTGTGCAGTAAATTCACCTGACCTTTTAACTGTATCTGCTGCACACGCAATCGTTACTATGTGGCTTGTCTATGTACTTGGACCGGTTTCTGGTGGTCATTTTAATGCAGGAGCTACCATAGCTTTTGCTGTGGATGGTAAAATGAAGGTAATAGAAGTTATTGGTTATCTTCTGGCTCAAGCCATCGGTGCATTATGTGCTGGTGGATTACTTGTTTGGGTGTTTGGTACTGGTACTACATTAGGCACACCAGGACTTCATCCGGGTATTACTGTTGTACAAGGATTTGCTATTGAATTTCTATGTACAACTGTCCTTTCATTCGTTATCTTTTTTACTACAACTTATAATTCACACAAAGAAGCCGCTTTTCCAATAGGACTTACTGTCTTTTCGTCTTTCTTGTTGGGTGCTGGTCGAGATGGTGCTGCATTGAATCCATGGCGATGGCTAGGTCCAGCTGTATGTTCCAATACATTTCGTTCAACAGCATGGATCTATGGAGTTGGTCCTATTACTGGATTTCTTTGTGGTTATGGAATCTTTCGTTTATACAAACTAATTTGGAATGGACGAGCTGGTCCCTATGTTTAGCTATATTTTAGAGAATTCTTTAAATGATTGTTCTATGTGAATTCACGATTTTATAATATAATACTTTCCTTTTGTTAGTAATTTAATTCACCATCAGAAAACAAAACAACGCTGAGAAGTCCATAATTTCGGTGCGTAATTGATCGGGACATATAATGGATATGAATAAATATAAGAATAGGAGGTTGAGCATCCCAACCCCGTAGATTTTTTTCTGGTTACGCCTCTAATTCATGTCATAGCTGTTTCGAATTAAATATTTATTATATCAATTTTATTAACATTATTTTTATAAGTCATGGTTATATTGATAACATGCTATCTAGTGGGGGAGGCAAACATTTTGTGACATTTCTTTTTATAAATATCCATAAGTTATGAATAAGTTGAGACGGTTCATAGTTATTTCAATAACACCTTGATTATAATTCGAGATTATAACATGTTATATTATAATTAGATGAGAAATTTAAATGAAAATAATTATTTTACAATGCATTTTAATTCAATGCGAGTGTTCAATCAGCAAATGGGACACAATGCTAGTAAAAATAAATAAATAAAATGAGTATATAGCAAAGGTGTTCACTGGGTGACTTTTGACATCATATCATGTCGTGTACTTGTCGGTCTCCTAGAGCATGTCAGAGCAGGTTATCCTGTTGACTTAAGCATCGCCTTGATCGTAATTTTGAATATAATTCACAAACAAAGATGTTTCCTTATTAAATCATAGAGCATCATTTTATTTGAGCATATTTTATGATGATATGGACTCATCGTTTTACTTATAAAATACATGAGTTGCAACGAATATAACGAGAAAATAAAATCATACAATCAATATAATAAAGACGCATAATCTTTACTAGCGAGGCTCATTTGAGAAAAAACGCACTTCATTTGAATTTAAATAATATTCTGTTGCTCGTACTAACAAGATATTTTCCAGAATATCTGATTAAAGACTTGTTCTGGTTTCATTTAAGATCCAAGCAACACTGGAAAACTCTCATCCTACGTTTGTTGTTACTGGAATCTGTATGATCGATTGTGGGTAATTTGAAAGCGATGGAAATTATTGGTAATCTATTTTCTAAATATTAAAAGGTATATTATTTATTTGCTCTTATCAGCCATACTAGAGATAACCATCATCAAGTTCATCGCCTTTTCTTATGTTATAATCATTATTTTTCACTTCTATCTTCATTTGTACCGTTATCATCAATTTCTTCAAAACTCTATCTTCAGGTTGAAAATTAGAAAATTAGACGCGCCATTTTGCTGCAAGACCGTATCTTACCCTACCCAGTCGAGATCTCCAGTTGGAATTACTATATAATCAAACAAAGTTTGTAATATATATTGCTATTCATGATCCGATCGTTGGAAGATGAATCATTGGTGACTTTTTTGTTTATTTCATAAATACATAAATCACAAGGTAACGCAACGTTAGCGTCGCCAACCCTCTACTGAAAGGATTTAGTCATGTGGAACGTAGCTATCCAAAACTATCTAGCTGAGAACCTTCACATTTTATAGCTTCGAAATGATTTTCATGGAAAACACAATTGATAACCGAGCATGAATAGAAAACTTGCTTGGTAGTATCACCAAGAAAACGGGACTTAATTACTACTTACTAATACTTTATGGCGATAGTGAATTTAAGTGCATCCGATCTGCTACAGCTCAAGATATGCTCCCAAAAACTTTCCATCAGCTTGATATCAGAGTGAAAAAAAGACTCATTTAAGAGAGTTATGATCGAAATACTCCATTTTAGTAAAGTTACAACTCAAATTGGTCTATGAACTAGATATTTAACATGAATCTGCACAAGTAAATCTTAGATCAAATCAAACTGACTTTTTCTAACTCGATTTCGGTTGGCTTTATCCTCATTTTTGTTCAAATCCATCTGGGTTTATTTTGCTTCGGAAGAACTTCAAGATATCTCCTAGTTTCGAAAATTGTTTCAACTTTTCTGATGGAGACAACGTATAACTATTCAATAATTCTGCAAAGCCTGTAGTCTTATAACCACAACAGATTTTTAACTGAGTGACTAGTCGTTCATCGGCGCCCCAGAGGGGCACCACTCACGACTAGCCGCCTCCACTAGTTTCGTTGTATATATGCAATGAACGTGATCCTTTTAAACACTGCATTATTGATTGAAAGCCTTGCCTCATTCTATAATTATTAGATGAAAACAAAGAGAATTTTCAGGAAACCCGAAAACAACTGTTATGGGAGTAATTTAATTCAGTTTCATCTACATATGAAAAAACTAGCTCACAATTTTGAGAAGAATAAGACAAGATTCCTGAGTAATTGGACAGTTTGCGAACGTTCGCAGATGCCCTAATCTAGAATTCTACGTATTAAGTTTGAATAAATTCTTCGTGCTACAATAAAAGTTGACATATCAAGAATAAACTGAAGATTTTGAAAAAGCTTTCAAAGTCTCAGTGCAGGTGAGCGGCTAGTCGTCCGTCGGTGCCCCTCCGGAGCGCCACTCACGGCTAGCCGCTCCCAAATTGAGAATCAATTCAACCGCACGAAGCCTATAGCCTATTCTTAATAATATCTCACATAACCATACGATACATCTAATACTATAAACATCATCGAATGGTACCCTCAAAAAAATTTCCCTACAAATCATTCCTATCAAGAAAATGCGACGATCTAAACAGCTCCTATTCCATTATAAACTTGTTTGAAGTACAAAATTTCAACAAACTGACAACGCCATCATGTTCAGCGATCCCGATTACCTTCGGTCAACCGTTACAGAAACTATTTTTTTTTAAATTCTCTCTCTCTCTCCCTAAAAAAACGAAAAAGCAAAATTTAAAAAATCTGACAACGCCATCGTGTTCCCCGATCCCGGTTACCGTCGGTGAAACCTATCACTACAGATATTGCTTGCAGTTTGTTAAGTTTATGCATCTGCTTTCCTATTGGACGAACGAACGAACAGACGAACGAACGCAATTAATCCGTTTTTCGTAGTACCCTCCTTTCAGTAGATGGGACTATTAAGATGCCCCAGACCGATCGTTCCGGTCACTAGATACTGTAGGAACCAGCCGAAAAGATGTGGAAAAATCACAGTATTCAGGAGGAAAACACGGGAAGTCGCTGGAACGTGGAAGCAGTATTCCGGTCGTAAATACCCGGATTTTTTTCCGATGATTTACTGTCTATTTCTGCTGGAAAGCACTGAAAGTTGACTGGAATCCACCGGAAAAAATCCGGAAATTTGTGGCCGGAATACTGCTTTTACGTTCCAGCGACTTCCTGTGTTTTCCGGTAGTTTCCCGCAATTCAAACAGGGTTATGAGCAACACAACTTTTCAGTAAGTTGAATAAAAATATCAGGTGACTGGTTTGGATTGCGCAAAAAGTTATTGATATTTTTATTCGTAATCGACGCTAGGAATGGCACGTGACGAAACAAATCTTTTGTACAGAAACCTATCATTCATTTTAAAATAGAATACAGCACTGAGACAAATTGAGGAGCTCTTATTATGATATTCTAGTCTTTCCAAAAGCGATTTTTTTTTTTGTTCTACTCGTGCATTATTTTTAAACACTCATCATTCAATACAGCAGATAAGGCGCTGCAAATCAGGCTGTATTTTTATTCGATAAAAAATGATTACGAAAATACCTCACAACATATGCATTCTGTAGATTTTCTTTCTGAAATGTTAACTTATAACATTGACGGAAAAGTCAATGATGCATATTCATCGGCATCAATAATATATTCAAGTTCCCAATAGAAATTCGTATAATTAGGCTTATGATAGTCATTCAAGTCTTCATGTTTTCGATCAAGAATGAACGAAAGTTGCGTTAGCAAATTGAAAAGAGCCTGATCTAATTTTTGTTTGCCCTCATGTGTGATTGTACCACTCATAGTTGTTGGTTGATTAATAGCTTCAGTCAATGTTTGTTGTACTTCATAGATGGATACTTGATCGAATTTGGCCAGTTGTACCAATAACATGGCACTGATGTAACGTCGTTGAAACGATTTCGACAAGAGTAGTTCGTGATAAAGATCTTCGACAATAGCGCGGCTGTTAACACGCTGAATGTTTGCCACACATTCGTATGCTACTAACTGAATCGGGTGTCGATCCCACATAGCTGACAGAAACATTTGTTTGATATCAATCGTCAATTCACGACAATAGCTGGTTAAAAATCGTATACAGCAATCTCGATCATCTTTGTTATCTTGACTCCGCTGGAGAAGACTTTGTGCTAATTTTTCCTTATGTTCGATTGCATTCTGCATTCGAGGTAAAATTCGATCGACAAGAGTACATGCAAGACGAATATGATTTGAATGTTGTCCTCGGCTGAATTCTTCGACGAACAACGATAGGAGCTCATCTTCATGTTTGGAGATTAAATCCAACGTGATTGAATGTATTATAAATATTGTTCGCGGATCGACAACGATGGACAGCAATGCATGATAAAGTCGAATATACTCCCCATTGACAAGTTGAAGAAATTCGTTCAAATTCGGTTTTGGTCGTCTTAATGAACGACAGTGAATACGAGCGATATCGGCTGCTGCTACGATTATATTTCGATTGGAACATTCTTGTAAGCGAACTAAAATATATTCATCAGCGTCATTCGTCACATGAAAATAATTTTTTATAATATTAGCTAGAATCTCATCATCACGATATTGCTTCGAAGGATTCTGAAATATTTCAATAAGAATACTTTTCATACATTGTCGAGCTTCGATTCGTGTAAAAATTGGTACATATGGAGCTGTACTACGATTGATGAGAAGAACGTTGACAATTGCTTTGCTGAGCATAGGACTTAATGTCACATCTGTTAAGAGAACAATAATATGCGATGCGAAATTCTGTTCACAAATTGACATTTCACTCATCACCGAACTATCCCAAACTCGACCAATAAATTGTACAAGTTCAGTTAAATAGGATTGTTCTTCGATTGTTTTTCTTTCGCTATCGCTTTGCAGTTGAGAGCATCGATTACTGACATATTCGAATAGATATTCAAGTAGATCAAGAGATCCACTTTGCAGATGTACATAGTCGAATAAAGAAGTTCTCATGTTTTGATGATGCAATTCGAGATCGTGTGTGAGATAGTGCGGCGCTTGGGATGATTCAACTAGTAAATGTATTCGTTCGCGTTCCCAAATAAAGAGCAGATCTAGAAATTCGATCGAATCGATGCGAATATCAATATTGATGAGTATTTCTCGTGCTAATATTGATTGTGTACGATATGCACGAAGTAATTGTGTAAAGAGTTGAATGAATCGATCTCGAGTAAAAGATGACGCGCATAAGCACACAGAACTTAGACATTTTTTGGCTCGCTGTCGAAATTCATCAGACGGACAATCAAGCAATTGACAACATAGTTGAATGGCATCAATAGAATATTTTGTAATTAGTAAAGCTGCATGAAATGCAAAGATAGATAGGTGTGAATGATCTTTATATTGAAGCCATTGAATAACGTCTGATTGAGCGGATTTTTCAACAAAGTTACATTTTGCAAGTAAACGCTCTAGTGAATGATAATCAGATGATTTATCTTGATATGTTCTTAGTAGATTAGACATGATTCTTGCTGCCTCTTTTGATACTACTCCATGTTCGCTTGAAATACGCCATTGTTCGATCGCTGCTTGTTCGAGATCAATTCGATCAAGTGTTGTTTGTCGATTGTTTGTGGATTCCATTTCAAACCACGTAGGCAAATAAAGTATATCAATGCTTAATTGCATTAAATACATGGATGCGAGTAGAGTCGATGTTGATGGATTTACAAAGATTGGATTGTAATTGTTCTCATTGATCAATGCTGAAAGGGCTCCGGATTGGAATTGGCATATATTAGTCAAATTTGACCAGCGACTATTTTGAATGAAATGACAGATTCGTGACCGAACATATGGATAAATATCATGATGAAGTGCAAATAATAATGATTGACATACAACCTGTTGAATTTCAATTGAATCAGTATCTATATTTACCAAGAGATGATCAAGTAGACAATGTACTTGACAGGCAATTGTCCGGGTGTCAACAATCGGAGCAAAGGTTGTCCACCACATGAGAAACAGAAGAGTATGATCTTCAATCGAGTTCTGAGTGTCAACAGCTGCTAATGCTTTTTGAGATATTGAGTTCATTCGATGGGTGGATGTTGTGGTGTAATTCTGTGTCAGCGTCCAAGTAATCGATAGAGCATGCAAACGTAGAATAGGTTCTCGAATGTTCGCTATAGTAAACTGGATTTCATCGGCAATCTCGCCTGGTTGCTCGTCTCGTTGATGGAGAGCACAGGATAGAACAGCGATTGCAATCGATACCTCATAAAGTTGAACAGAATTGGCCGATGTCTTTCTTAATTCTTCGGCTCGTTGTCGTGCGCGAATTAATTCTATTTCTAAATGCTCTTCTTCTAGAGTTTTTTCATCGAATGATAATTGGCCGTATTTTTTCGATAAGAAATGGTCGAATTTATAAAAATAAGGGTTCACATCTCGAGTTCGATTAGCCAAACCGAGCAGTCCTCTGAATATGTGTGCCCATTGGTTATTTTCAAAATGAATTCTTAAAACAGCAAGTAGTAGAGCAAAGCGAATACTGCCTTTTTTCTGCGTGCTCAATACACAAACTATTTCACCAAGTAAACATACAAATGGGAACGAATTTGACGAATTAAGAAATCGATCAAATATTGAATGAAAATGTCGAGGTATTAATGTAAGAAGAAACGATGTTTGTTGTCCAAAAGTAAATATCGGATGCGTTTCATTGGCGATGGTTAATATCGAATCACTATCGAATTTTTCGCATAGAAATTTTACTTCACGCGGTAGAAACGGTTTCCATAAAAGAGGAAGAAAACTGGCGATGTGCGAATCTGAGCATTGCCAAAGATCGGCAATCGATTTCGAATCAGTTAGATTCAAATCTAGCATGCGTGGACAAAACGAACCATCCGGATAGAATAACGATCGCTGACCACCGACAATCATTAGACGTGCTAGAGCAACAGCAACGCAATGAAGCAATGTCGAGCAACCCGTGTCCTTCTCCGAATATTGATTGATGATCAAAAGCGCATCGTCTCGAAAAGTCGAAGGTGCTTCAAGTTCTACCTCAACATCGTATTTCACATAATAAAATTCACTCAAATACAAAACTAAACGATGAAATCGATTTATGGCACTTTGAAATGCTGACCAACTCATATATTTACGGAAAACCCATGGTTGTTTAACACCTTTCAAGCATAACCAAGCAATGAATAGATCGACTGTTTCAGGCGAGTCGTCATTAGGCAAAAGTTTGCGAACTTGTTGTTCGATCTCATCTGTACTGGGCAGATGTGTCCAACAGTTTGTATTCAAATAATGAATTAACCATGAATTTTGCAATGAATCTCGATGCATATGAAACGTGGAGAAAACAACAGTATCTCTATTGTCTAAATGTAATCGTGTGAATCGGTTTAATCCACCATAGAGAGCAATGAGTACCGTTAGGTATATAGGCGACAGTCTTTCGCTATCAACATTGAAACGGAGAAGTGATTGACGAACGAAACCAGATGTGAATAAACTCGAGTCTATTATCGAAATTGTTGTCAAGAAACGATCGCCAACAAAAAGACCATTGCCTTCCTTGTTACGAGTATAATCGATACGTGCTTGGCATTGAAGAACATTTAGTGAATACGTTTGATGATCATCATTTCTCATCCAGATTGGAATCTTACGAGAAAAACAAATTAAATTCATTAAAACATTCAAGACACTTCTATTATGTTCAATGGTAGAGCATTGTTTAAAATAATCATAGATCCAAGTACGAGCAATGCTCAACGGCAAATAGTTCAATCCATCGATAAGATAATCGATAAAAATGGGGAACCGGACAAGCCACTCTCGGTTTTTACTAACAATTAGGAATCGATCGAATGCATCTTGTAATGTTTTCTCATAGGGATTCTGTACTAAATCAGGTAATGTTGTCATCAATAGCATCGCACCGAGTGGTAGAATATGATGAAATTGATCGTTGTTATTCGTGAATAATAAACGACAAAATGTGTTTAGATCTTCCGAATTCCATTGCGAGCTAATCCACTCCAGACCTAACAGAAGTGGTTCACGGAAATTTGACTTTGTCATATAACACAAAAATCTTTCAACGATCAGTTCTACTTTGGATTGCTTCGTATTGGTTGTTCGAATAAGAAACAAACATGCAAACAAATGCTGAATTGGTATTGAAAGAAAGCCATAACTATTCGTATTTCGTAGGAAAAATAAGCTGTTTTTATCGATAATCGATATGAGACAAGTATTGATCATCGATTGATCATCGATTGATAACCGTGCAGAATGGGTTCGAATTGAAGCACGATATTTGTAATTCAAATCAAACTTTTCAATCAGACCCGATGATGAATATTCTTGAAGATAATCAGCTATATCAGCAAGAATATCGATAAAAATTTCACGCTCGATTTGTTTTAGTATTGGCCATTTTTGAAATCGAGCAAACAAGACAAAAACACTGATACCATAATAGTGAATCCTCTTTTTCGGCGGTGCCCCAACGAGTATCTGTAATGTCATCCACTGACAAATCGTAGATAAAATCAAGATATTCGAAAGCAATTCTTTGAACGTAGGATATCGTTCGAATAACGATTTCAATTGATCGACCCTCTCGTTCCATTGATTATCAAAATTGTTCACCGTTCCATTTCGCAAATACGAACAATGATTATTCCACCAATTGTCAATAAAATCATCAATTACATCGAGTGACAATGAAGTCAACCTATAAAATGAAAAATATTCTTCTGGTAGCGATTGAATATGATTAATGATAACAATTAATCGATTCTCAGTTCGAATTTTTCTGTCACTTTCATTCCAAAAAATAGTTGATTTCTGAAATTGAATGAGAAGATTGACTAGATGATCTTGTTTCTGTGGATCATCGAGAGTGTTCAATCCATCTAGAATGATGAGCAAATGCCCATATGAGAGATATTCAGCGATACAAGTCAATATTTGTTCGTTCGGATCATTGATTGCGATTCGACAAATGCAATCGAAAAACGACACTGATGGCTTTTCGCTCATATATTTAATGAAATTATCGATTGGAATCAAAATTGGCAAAGGCATGACTACACGATGGTCAGAATTTTCAAGAGACTCACGAAACATTTGAATACATTTCCACATTAGCCAACGAGTCCATGTTGTTTTACCGCTGCCAGGATCTCCAAGAATAATAATGGCTCGCTGTTCAATCAGTAAATCTACAATATCTACCGTCTTCTTGTTGCACGATACCAATGGTGGCAAGAGAGCTTGATCATAATACAAACGGAAACAATCGGGATTTTCATGAATCCATTGTTTTTCATGTGCAGTGAAAAAGAAAGATGAATCGAGTAACGGCATAATGATACTGTATCTAATATTCCAGAGTTCATTCGTTATCCAATGCGAATAATTAGTTAGGCAATATTCAACATACTGGTCAATAGTTGTACGATGTTTTTCGTAGAGTACAGTAAAAAATGAAGAAGTCAAATTTTGCCTTTCCAAAATATTCATTGATGATACCGAATATGCTTCATTTGGAAACTGCTCATTTATTTTCTCGCTCTTCTCCGAAACGAGATGTTCGTCTTCGATCACTGCTGCCAGTGGCCAAGATTGCCCTAGAGTATCAAAAATTGTTTCAATATTGATAAATTCTAGATGATTTCGAGTTACTTTGCTCATTGGCTGTTACTTCATCGAGAAAAATAACAGAAACTCGGCAGCCATCCGAAACATAGAAACCATCAATATCAACTTTGACGACACGAAATGCCACAAACGGTATTATGAGTACTTCATCTTCGGCTTGAACGGCGCTGAAATCACTAATGGCAAGACTTGTATAATACTGTATCACGCGATAGACGCACAAGACTGGTCGAAGAACAGGATTGTTGTATTGAAGATAAAGAAAAGCCGTATCAATACGTTTCGATGTCGACAAAAATGAACGTGTCAAAATTCGAGCATCACTAGTATACTGATTCAATTCATTATTGGTGATATTCATACCACGATAGCTCACACCGGTAAAACGCCACTGATCAATGGATGGATGATTAATGATTACCGCGGCAAACAAATACTGACCGAATCCAAGCGGAGGTTCATTATCTTGGTACTTTTTCGAGATATTATTTTCAAATCGAAAGTCAGAACCTATGATAATCGAATAGATTATTTTCTGGTGCAATAGTTGTTATTATTTTTGTTGTTATTAACCTGTTTACCTCGTTGAGCTAGATCAATATTAACCTGCTTGAAGAAAGATGTGGGCGTCGTATAAGCATAAAGGAGATAACGAACATCGTCGTCATCATTGGCTAATTTAATATATTCCCGAATTACAGAAAGATTATCTTCAGTCAACGTTTCATTCATCTGATTAACATAATCGTTTAGAATCGTGTTTATAATTTGAGTGAGTGGAATTTTCGTTATCCATTTTCGCATATACTCATGGTTTTCTAGAGCAATCCGATGAGCATTATCGTAAGCATCGATCCAATCGGGCCGTTGATCAATGGGTTCATTCGTTGTCAATATCAACGGCTGACCTTCGATACTGCTGATTCCAGTAAGAGGAGTGAAAAGTGTTGCATTCATATCGTTTGTACATTGAAACCGCACTTGAACAACATCGGGCAAGAGCAATAATCGACGAATAGTGTCATTTGATTCTTCGGCAGGCGTTAAATGGTATAGGTTGGGAAGTGTAGTCAGAATACCGCCGTGCTTCATTAAAAGCCGAACAACTTCGACATGACCAAAGAAAGCTGCAGCATGCAAAGCAGTACTTCCGTTCGATTCAAGTTGATTGAGTTCGTACAAAGAAAGACGAGATAGAAAATTTTCGACTTTATTTTGCTCTCCACTTCGACAAGCCAAATAAAATTCACTGAGTGAATCATTGTGCTCACCATACATTGGTTTTTAATAGGTCTATTCAAAAATAAAATTATTCAGGATGATTTAGAATGAAATTCGTGTAACATGAAGTACATATACAGATCTGCCAAGCTTTCGACGGGTAGAATTATGCAGAAAAAATAGTCTACAACACACGTGCAGAAAGATGAGGTAAATAAATAGAAGTCAATATAAGAAAACAAATTTCTTTCGTTCTCTTTTTATCACTATTCTTTATTATCGACAAGCAGCACATCGCTTACCAATGAGTCACCTTCTGGTAGTTAAAAGCTGGAAAGCGTCTGATTTCGCAGCAACATTGAATAGAAGAACAAGAGAATCGATACGAGTGTTACACAAATGAAAAAAAAAATGAAAATGACAATCGATTCGTGGATCGCATGTCATAAAATAATCAAATGCATAGTGAATAGCTTTTCAAATCTCTGTGAACTTCGACTTAGGCATGCATGTTCAATTGAAGGCAATCCAGTCAATGCCAGTTTCCTGTAGGGTGTGGGTGTGGGGTGTAAATATATATCTAGGTGTGAGGGCTAGTGTGTATCTGTGGATGTAGGGAAGCAGATGGCCCACATCAGCACTCACATCAACACCCACCCCTCGAATTGATGTCACCAGCATTTGACAACAACGAGCATCGATTGTGAATAGCCATATTGGAAAGATGCTGTTTGTCGCATTTTTCGTATAATAGCTCGTTCATGACTTCATAATTTTATTTCAGAAAAGCTTTCTTCGAATAGAACGATGATGTTTCTGTGTAAACCGCTCGAATGTGAAGTTATGTTTAAGCATAGTCGATGCTCGTCTAGATGAATTTCTCGCTTATTAGTTGCCTCCGATATTGTTGAGCGATCGAAATCACCATCGTGCAGAGAAACCTACCGATATTGAACAAGCCGAATATAGTGTGCGGCAGTTGTTTTTTAAGTGTCGATGTCAATTTGAAAATGTAACAGAGTTTTTGCTATTCAAATTCATCTCCCGTATCACCATGAACACCGTTTCTGCTCTGCAGCTCATTCAGAATAAAGTCGACCGTCTTATTCGTCACGCTGTCGATAGTAACGAATGAACATCTTCCACGAACGGCTTGTTGGGTCGTATAATCCATAAAATCTTGTGGTTTGTCGGACAAGTCGAATTGCAGTCGTTGATTTAATGGCCCGTCAATCAAGAATGAATTCATCAACCACTGTCGAACGTCATTCACATGTTTAACAGTCATTAGACAGATAGTAAAATCCGATCCAGACATTGTCTAAAAAGATCTACGTATTCAGTTGAGAAAGCGAACATGAAAGAAGAACAATCTTGAGTGTGAAGAAACGATAAAAGCAAGCACACTAGCAATTCTTATCTTTATATTCAACAGTCCAATTCCGTCATCCACGTGGATTTTGAATCTGATGAAATTAGTCGTTTTTTATTCATTCTTTTTTTGTTGAAACTATCTTGAAGGTGTGGGCGTGCGCTGGTTCTTTTCACACCTACACTATTTCGCTTCCTCCCCAACACATTTATAACTGTTCAAAAATAGATTTTACAATTCGATAGTGTATGCTGAATGCTACTTGAAACACAGAAAATAAGAGTTGGAGCATAATTCTAGGCGAATCTCTGCTGGAATTACTCGAATCAACTGCCAAATTAACCAACGAGTCATTGTACAAGGACCATATTGAACCGTGTTCAATTAATAGTTTCAGATTTCGACACAAACTATCCACTATTGTAGAGCTCAATATTTCAAGGGACATAGCTCAATTTTTAGAACTAACGAATTCATTTTGGCTTAGATATTATGATTGAACTGTACCACCAAAAATAGCCTTGTATTAATTTCAATAATTATTTCTCAATCAGTTATTTTAAATGTTGTGGGCATATCGCCTCACAGCAGGCGCCTAATAGACTTCAGAAATTTTTACTACACATAGATTTTGAGATGGGCTATCCAACTATCCTACACTGTAAGAGATGGCGTTGGCGAGTGTAGGCGTGGATTTGGATCCGGGCTTGAGGTGCGGGATATAGGGAAGCAGATGACCCACACCCACACCTTGAATTTTTTTGATACATGTTTTGGTTGACCAATAGTCTTACATGTACGAATCAATTTTGCTTCATAGTGCTATGTAGGCGATCTATCATATTGTTGTGACTTAATTGGTGGACGATTCATTTGATGGCCTTCGAAGTCAATGAATTTTATTAGAATCGTATAAACGATGTTCTACGTACTGCAATAGAAACATTTAAAAAAATTGAACTCTATATGATGAATACTTACTTTATTAACTTGTATACTATTATCATTCATTTTAATATCTTTTTTTAAATTATCACTAGTTTTTGAGAAACAGCTGATGGTCGAATTTTTCGGCATTTTCAAGTTAATCTACAACAAACGAAATAATAAATAGTCGTCGGCTAAGAATAACACTTAGTGGAATAACAATATGAATACTTCTTATGAATCAAGAAAAATCATTAAGCGTAAATCATTCGTTCCTTTCGCCCTTGTTTCTTTCTTTCTTCCGTTCAGTCCATCGATTTATCCAACAGTACCCATGTAAGTACGAAACGCAAAGTTGATGTGTTGAAACGCGATTTAGCAACACAACGAGTTGAGATGCAATTAAAAATATTTTGCAACGCGTTTGGACGCAGTTTTTATATATAACAAGTTTAAACGCAATTAGAAAACAAGTGAACTGTGTTTCAACGCCTATCCGAAAAATATTTAACGCGTTTGAATGCATTTTATCTATTAACTGCGCTCAAATCGGTCTCATATATGTTTTAAGTCGCGTTTGAACGCTATCATATTTCCGATCACGCTTGCACGCGTTCATTTCTTACTTATCAGACGAGATTTTACTTCAAAACAAAATCTCTAGAAGACTTAGCTGCATGATCAAAATCGTCGGTTTACATATATTTTATTTAACTAAACTTTGTTAGACTTTTTAATAAAGAATATTCAGATGATGTCAAAATAGCCGCCAATTTAACGAGCTGTAAAGCATATATTCCATATTTTCCTATAGTTTCTACGAATATTAATGAGACAATCGCACTAGTTTTCAGTTATCCAATGCCCTTTTAGCTGATTGAAAAATACTACTGTTTAAATTATATGATTAACAACTTTTATCATACTTCTACTAAATAAATTGTATGAATATTTATTTATTCATTAAATCCTGTTACCAATGCGATTAAATATTTTTTATAATATTAATCACATTTATAGTAGACGATAAAAAAAGGGTATCATTTTAATAAAACATAATAATAAAATTATTTAAAAAGATAAGTAAAAGAAATCCGATTACCTGTTAAATATTTTACTTCGAAAAAAGTACATGTTATTGAAATAAAGTATTAAGCAATGACATTTTCGTTCATATATATTTTATTTTGAACGAGAAAAAACTTCGAGCTATATAGCAAAGTGGTGTGTGTGAACGACTTATGATTACTGGTTCATCTGTTAAAATCTAATCGTCATCGCATAAGGTGAAATTCAACCCAACTGTCAGGTTAGTCTAAATGCATCAATAAATGTTGAGAATCTAAGATGGATTCTGATATATCTTTCCAAATTTTTATATTTTATATGAAACGCGTTTAGACGTGTTTTCATTAAAAAAAACGGGTTTGAACGTAAGTCAAGTTACGAACACATTCAGAGACGTTTTTAGGTTAAAAACATTCACATGGAATATGATAGGCATTACGTCGCATGTCGAATAAACTCGTATTTGTCATCTAACTATTCATGTGCACCTAGTTAATACCGAGTTTTACTACATACGTTTTCGACGCACGAGATATGAATACGATAATGATTTACAATAGTAGTTGGTAAAATCATTGAGATTAGTTGTTATTTGATGATTATGCAATGAATGTATATCTTCTAATATCATCGCATAGAAGTGACAATTATATTGATATCTATCTTTTAGTGACCTGCCTATTCACGTCGTTATATCCGCGGCTGCCTTTTTAAATGAATATGTAAAAAGAAAGTACCCAGGAGAATCATTCCGACAGTAGGATCCAATCAGATCCGATGTTGGATTTTAACGGAATCCAACTCTAACGAATCATCAATGCGTTCTGATGTCTCAAAATTGTTATTTGATTGTGAATAAGAAAATGATTTCTTCCGTCGGAACCGACAATAGGTCAGTGTCCAGGAATCCTATCGGATTCTGTCAGAGAGTCGGATCCCAGCATGATCGAATTATTTCAATTTTGTCTATTTTATATATTTATGTATTTATTTATTATCAAAATTCGATCATGCTAGACATTCAAATAAAATTATCAACATCGTTATGGTTCTTGAAAATGGTCTTATAAAGACTGAAATGTTGAACCTCAAATAAAATTTCAACTTGATCGTCATATTTGTCTATTAGTCATTTAGTAGAATTTTTCAATTATTTCAATTTTGTCTATTTTATATATTTATGTATTTATAGATTCATTTCAATTCGCCAGTAAATTCTTGAATGAAAAAAATTCCATAATAAAAAGAGCAATTTTAAGAAAAGAACAATTTTTAAAAAAAAACTTTTTTAATATAAAAAAATCTCGTGTTACTCAGCAGTTTCAATCATTGTTTTAATTCAATTAAATGCTCATAAGAACGTATGATGGCATCGTTTACTACCGCTTACGACGATCGTAATTGATCGTAACACGTCGTGTACGACACGACGAGTTACGGTCGTAATTCAGGCGGCAAGGAATACAGCGAAATACAATCGTTTACTGTCGTAATATACGACCGTTTACGGCGGTCGTAACGCTCGACCTGGGCTGGGTTGGTGTATTTGGTCATGTGCTAACAAAAAAAAATGCTGCTTGAAGTTAACGAAAATAATCCACTTATTAAGTTGTTTTCAATTATGTTGTTCTACAGGGGTATACATTCTTGAGAATAATGAGATAAAAACAAAAAGAAACAAAAATGATCAAATGTACAACATGAGAGACTCAGGTTGATGGGCCAATAAGACCTCATACAGGGTGAGGGTGTAGAGACTTGTAACACTATAGTAATTGTTAGGATTTTTATCTGTTTTTATTTTAATAAAATAAATATCATAACATGAACAAAACGAGAAAATTAAGAAAACAGTTACGATGATCGGCGGTATAACGATTGCCAACGATCCGACGATAAGTACGATCACCCCACTGGATACTCGATTTCTTAGGCTGGTAGGTTCGACTACTCACGCTTATCTCATTGACTAGTGTTAGTGTTGATACAAACTGATTATTGGATGACGATTACATTAAATCAAACACGTTTAACTACAATACTTGTAACTATTCATGTTTATTTACTATAAGGGTTAAGGTCATGAAAGCGATGCAATTCATCCCGATTGTTTTTGTTCTAATAGTTACTTTTATTGAAATGAAAATCTATCGAAATTTGAACGAAAATATTATTAAAGAAAGTAATGGCAGTAAGATTTATTATATTTGTGATGAAAATTCAATTTGAATAAATAAATGTCTTGTTGAAGAACAAAATGTTTTCTTATTGGGTTTTTGGATCTAGAAGCGATTAGAGATCATTTTACTGATTGAAAGATATTTTTCGATACTTTCAATAATGAACATTATTGAAAAACGTGTGTCGCGTATATGTTAATAAAACATTTTTTTCGATCATTTTCGTTTAATATCATATGACATTGAAGAAATCTAAAATTTTAACGCGACAAGAAAAAAACAAGAATAAATTCTTTATTGTATAAACTAAAACTTACTCGACTTGTTGATCCCGAGTATCTGTCATTACTAAAGATGCCAGCTGACAATTAAAATACTTCATTACAGGCATGAGCAAATAAGTAATGACCTAATTATAGATTTTGGAAATTAAAGTAGACTTTTTACATGAGCTCTTTTTAATTATTTTAGTGAACAGAAGGGATATATGTGAGTTCCACATTTTAGTCTCAAAGGGGCTGCGCTAGGAAGCTTTTTTAATTATTTGAAGATATTTTCAGAGAGAATGATAAAATTGGATCCGACAAAATAATATTGTAGTGACCAAAACGATGCATGGCAAAATGGAATCATTCAGAAAGAATTCGATACATCGATACATTATGATTTTCGCTCGCGAAGCTTACCAACTTTATTGAACATTCAAGAAACTCACTTTTTGGATCAGGATATAAAGAGTATATGAATAACTATTTCGAGTTCATTATCAAATATTTGTGACCATAATTAAGAGCATCAATCGCTTCAAAATGGAAAAAAAAACAAATGAACCTATTCATTCGTAGTCTCATGTCTGGGAAATACTTTGGAAGAAAGAACAATAGGACGTTATAGGGCTATCAACTATTTACTATTAAATATATTTCACTACAGTCCGACTCAACAACATCTTCAGATAACCCGATGTTCTGCATGATATATCATAGCTACGAAAATTCTGATGCTAAGTTAGACTAAACAACTAGGCACATGTTGAAGGATGAACGTACTTTTTTTTTATTACTGTCAAAAGTTTTTTGAAAATTGTTTTTCAGTGAAAAATCGCATTATCAACTCTTGCACTTCAAATATTGACATGAAGACTTTCTTTGCATATTTCTACGCTGAAAAAGAGTAATTCTGTTTTATACTACACTAAGTATTGAGTTGGGTTGAGAATAAAGAAAAATTTTCTTTTCTTTTTATTGTTTGAATACCCATCAATAATAACAACACGATACGGAAGCCTGAAAAATATTTTGTAATGTTATAAAAGAAAATGAAAACGAAAAAAAACTGGATTTCTAACGTCAATAGTCGTAAAAAGGCAAACTTGGGATCTATTTAAAAAAATCAATGATAAATGATAAATCACATCAAATATGTTTATTATGAAATAGATATCGAGTGCTTTAGTAGATTCAAAGATATTTTACAAGTATAGTGTATAATTTGCTGAGACTTTTTTCGGTTAGGTTATGAAATCAGTCCAATACATTTGCAGTTGCTTGACGTACTTTCATGATACAACTTCAAAACTCTAATAAAAATACACGAAGAACCCTTGCTATTTATGATACAAGTAATGAATGATATCATAAACCTTCAGTTGCTTTCTTTTCTCGTGATATCGATGAAATATCAGTCAGTCATTTGGTCAAAGGCAAAGAGTTTTTACGTAGAATATTAATTTTAATTCAAATGAACGATTGTTTACAGATATTCAAACGATGATAAAATTCACTAGAATAGCTCATTCAACGTATTTATTGATGTTTCTTATCTATCTGAGAACAATATGTTCCTATGATCAGACTGGATTATCAACTGACGAAGGCAATGATGTAGACGTATACAAACAATATATTCGCGGTAGACTTCGCAACTATATTAAGTATAAGTCAGTAATGGATTCTGGCTCTGACCACGATACACGTAAGAATATTATTATCTTTCGAATTTGAACTTATTCGTTCAAATTATTTGGCTAAATGTTATACACTTGTTATCAGCAAGACAGCAGCGTGATGGAATGACAGCAGAACGGAGCAAAAGATATCCCCCTTCGCATGGAATCGAACCATGCACCTCCTGCTGTCCGGGTAGACGTATTAGCCACTGTACTAGAAAGGGTGTCTCTACTCCGTCTTACGATCGAATGGGAACAATTCGATCGTAACACTAAAGATAAGCTCAGTTTTTGAATTTCTAGGAAAAACAATCAATACAAGTATTAGGGGTTTCATTGTTCTCCCTTCTTGTTTATCGGAAATCGAAAAACTAACTACAAAACAAACAAAATATATATCTCTCTCTCCTCCGTTGAGAAGACAACATATATATTTATACATTTATATATATGACGATAGATGTGGTGGGTGACTAGATAAAAGAAGAAAGAAATGACATAATAATATGTGAGGGTAAGCCCCTAACAACAAGATATGACTCTGAGGTATAGACCCATATTCATGCGTACAATTACAAACTATCTACTTGGTATATTTCAATCTTGTTTCTCCTTTTGAATTTGATCCCATATACAAAAGTGCGATAAAAACATGATCGTATGCTTGAAAAAGTCTGTCGCTGAATTTGGAACGTTTTCAATGCATGATACTGGTAATCAGCTGACTGGAGAATGTCTTCTTGGCATACCATTGTACGTACTAAATCTAATGCGAATAATTTATATTTCCAACGGATTTTGAGACCTTCGCCTGAATAAAAGAAGCCAGAAACATATATTGTCTTTTCTTGACTGAGTTGTACAAAAACGTTTACCTTTGTTGACTCACTTATAGACTATAAAATATATTGGTGCATAATATTATCAGAATATCATGCTCAGGAACTATTCCAATACAGCAATGCATTGATTAGCATTCGGTATGATTTCACATTTACAATCTAAGGATCCTTCTGTTTATCTCCACTCTTTCTCAGTATAGTTAGCATTAGAAAAGCGACCGAATCGGTCATATTTTTTCAATGACTTTTTCGATATAAGCGAGAGTTAGTTGCCACCTCATTTGCAACCAACCATCAATATGTATAAAGCATAAATCTTTCATAAACACCACTCTCATTTCACGCCGCTAATGATACGTTCTGTATACATCATATCCAACCGGACTCATTTCTCTGGAAACGCAATAACTTCTGCAATAATATCCCTACAACGTGTCCCCATATCTCTCGACTAGTAACTCAACAGTCCATTTAGATCTAACAACTGACTCGATCGTTTCCCAACAAAAATCAGCTACAACCATAGAAACAACTATTGACAATGAACCAGGTTATCGTACTAGCGTGAATTCATACACTAGACTAAACAAAGGAGTACTACAGCCTATCAGCTATGCTTTGGGCGATTCCACAATAAGTACACGTTCGCAACGCTTAGAAAGTTCATCCATGATCAATGTTTCTACAACAACCGACAGTAACACAGGCTGTTACACGGTTTGCTTTTCTACGACAACGGCTATAGTTCCTACTGCTTCTACGACAACGGCTATAGTTCCTACTGCTTCTACGACAACGGCTATAGTTCCTACTGCTTCTACAACAATGGCTATAGTTCCTACTGCTTCTACAACAACGGCTAGAGTTCCTACTGCTTCTACAACAACGGCTATAGTTCCCACTGCTACTACTACATTTACTGATAGTTGTAACGATTCCATCGAAATATTACAAGGCGACACGTGCATTTCGAAAAACATTCTGCAGGTTTAAAAGTGTGCTATAATTATCAGTTTTCTATTATTTTCTCTCTCTTACAGATGTCTGCTGTGAATGCTTTACGTAACGCAACCGCGAATACAAACGCAACAGCTGATGCGCTCTCCTTGTATTTCAATTCCATTGCGAGCCCTAGTGCATTGTCAGATTCTCAATATGTTTTGTCTCCTGATGATATTGACAGCTATGTTGATAGACTGAAAAATGTAACTTTGATGCGAAATACTAAGGCATCATTTATTCTAGCTCAGGATATCAGTCAATTTGCTAATATACAGAGAGTTGGTGCTACATTTACCCGTGGCATTGGTGGGGCAGGTGTTGGCATTCCAAATGGGATTGATACTTTCAGTTCCATTGCAACAGCTGCAGCTTTGCTTGAATCAAAATCATTATCAGATGTGAAATCGTTTAGTATGTTGATAATTGATAGCCCTAATACATACAGAAATATTGATAATTCTACCAAGCGAAATCTGGTATCATCAGTTATTGTTGCGGCAGTGCAAAGAGATATTGCTTCATCAAACGCAGTTAATATTTCTCTATACTTTCAAGTCCTACCGGAATATAAACCCTCAGGTTTTCCTGAGTACTTTTGCTCATTTTACGACACAACCTATCAAAAATGGAACGACTTTGGTTGCACACATCCTACGCATAATGAGTCTCTGGATAGATATGAATGTAATTGTAATCATACAACTACATTTGCCCTTGTTTGGTCGCCCAAATTATGCCAGTGCAATACTTCTGAAGTACTATTACCCAACTGTACATGTATTACAAAACCAGAGGGCCAAGTCTGTTTGAAAGAAGTTATAATTTCCGTCATCTCCTTTTTCGTTTTAGGAATGGGCAGTAGAAGTATTGAAAAATACAACAAATTCAACTGTTATTGCCGATGCTCTTTCAGTGTATATAAGTGCAGTTGCGAAGACAAATGAAACAGTTAATCAGAATAATTTATTAACAGTGGATCAAATTGATTATTATGTTAACAACATGACCAATGTTAACGTATCAAAAAACAATATTGATTCGATCCTTTTGGCAAAGCAACCTGATCAAGGAAATAATGAAATGATTTTGGGTGCTTCATTCTTAACTGGTAGTGGTGGCGAGATTATTAGTACATTAAATGTTAGCAACGTGACCCATTCATATTTATCAGCAGCAGCTATAGTTAGTGATAAATCCTTAATCGGTGCTACTTCTTTGAATATACTTATTATCGATAAGCCTACCACATATGAAAACGTATCTACCTCTACGGAGCAAAGAGTTGCATCATCAGTGATTGTGGTAGGAATACAGAGAGGTGATCCTACGGCAGTCCGTTTCGCTGTCTCTCTGTATTTTCAAGTTTTACCGGATTTTGAGCCTAAGGTTCCCGCAGATTATTTTTGTTCCTTTTATGATACAAGCAATCACATATGGAATGATTCTGGGTGTACAAAACCTATATTCAAAAATTCGCTGAATCGCTATGAGTGCAGTTGCAATCATACCACTACATTTGCTCTTATTTGGTTGCCTAAGGTACCTCTCACACGTTATCTGAATTCACAAGATATTGCATCTTTGGTGTTTCAATCAATTTCAATTTGCTGCTTCATTGCTGTTATCATTCACGCGATTGTGATACGATTTCGAGATCCAATAATGAGTTTGCAAACAAATGATTTGCCACCGTTAATGTCATGTGCAGTAACAATGATTCTTTTTATTTTCTTCATTGCTCTTGCAATGACAACTTATACAAAAACATCTTCAGAAGATCAAACAAGCTGTTTCTTAAGTTCCAGTGTTTTAATGTTTTTCGTTTATTTCTTTATAATTTTCATGTTTTGCATCAAGACGAGTGTGGCATATTTTAATTATTTACGTTTCGTTTGTTTATTTCCTCAACCATCCTATCGACGATTGTTTGTCATGATTTTGATTTCATTTTTTATATCTATCATATGGGTCAGTGTCGCAGCTGGACTCAATTCCAATCCATCATACAACATTACTCAATTGTATCCGTATAAATTTTGTTGGTTTACTCGTGGTGTTATTTACTACTTTCTAACCATACCTGCCGGTGTGTTTCTTTTAATCAACACCATCGTATTTATTCGTGTAGCTCTTTGTATAATAAATCATGCTCGGCAGGCAACATCACCTCATCAATTATATAAACGAATGAAACAATGTGTAATTATTTTACTTTTGTCATCTGCAACACAAGGCATCGGCTGGCTTTTTGGCCCATTTCTGACGTTTATTAATTCAGAAGCTGGCAATATTTTAGGGTGGTTTTTTGTTATTTTCAATGGATTGGAAGGTCTCTGGGTGATTTTGTTGTATATAGTAATTCGATCGTTACGCATGGATAAACAAAGGTATCGGAAATTTGCTGAACAAATTACGACATCAACAGAACAAGTATCTCATAAATATGGAAAGTATTTTGAGGGAGACAAGGAGTATGAAGATATAGTAACATGATGAGTGAAAGCAGAGTTACATATCGAAATTTACAAAAAGGAATAATTCCGCCGTAAAAGAACTTTCGTAAACATAGAACGATGGATTCTTCTTTCGAAGATGATAACTATAGATTATACTGGCATAGTAAGAACTACTTACAGTATTAATTCGCGACTTTTTCTTGCAATAAAAAATTTCGAAAATATTATCTTGTTGAATGTAGAAATAATGGATAGATCATGTATATAAAAATTTGAAAATTTAACGCATTATTCCTGCACTTAGAGATCGCTAGATAAATTCAAATTTCCCTGGAATTAGAATAGTATTAGATTGTTTGTTTAAATACGAAAATGGTTTCGAAAAAATGCCATCTACCTTTTTGTGTGTAGAGGAATACTTATTTGAATTTTAAGATTTGTACATCTGAAGATAAAAACAAGTTTTCAAATGCCATAAGCACAAAAAATGGCAAGATAATGTTTTGAGCTGTTTACTTTTACCATTCAGAAATACTTGGAAACAGAATCATAAAAAGAGCATTTCTATATTACTATCATGACCTTAGCTTGGATTCCGCTCATGGCATGAGAACTATCTTGGGGTGTGGGCGTGGGTGTGGGTGTGAGTGTCCATTTCTCTTTATCCACACTCACACCCTTTGATACTAGTATTTGAATTAAATGAACCAACTCGATCAAAAATATGAAATCCAAATAACAATCAATGAAACATGAATGACAACACATAAATCAATCGAACCAATCGGGTGTGCATGATATTATGGTGTTTTGGGGTCAGTATTTCTTCACGCCCACACCAACAAGCTCATACGACACATTTTTCTTCTTCATGTGGCCAACTATTTAACAAATATTAAAACTTCATTTTGAATTTTCTTCTTTTGCTAATTATAAACGAGCTTTCTTTACCTTTCATGATGGGTTATTTATTGAAACATTGCAATGGTTTTTTGTCGTTTCGGCTTTTCTATTGATGACGTGAATATGATATTCATGGAATCAAAATCCAAAGATGGGCAATGTGGCATTAAGTTAATGGTGAACGATTCGATCTTCTATCAAAATACATATTTTACTTAGTTTTTTGAGTGTGTGGGTGGATATGTGTGAGCATCTATTTAACAATCATACTCACATCTTGTTAAAAATGGGAAAATTCGATTAGAATTTTCTTCACCCAGAACGTGGATGTGAAATAATCGAGGGAAAATCTACATCCAGATCATACTCACATTCTCAGTTTTTTTCTGTTCTCAAATCAACTGTAGAAATGGCACCAGGTCAAGTTATATCATGTTTTCTATAAGATAAATCACATGATCACTACTAATATTAGCTTTCCTTTACGTGTGAAGTTCATTCTCATACAATACTTCACGGCGTCAGCAAATGTCTAAAACGTGATATCGTTTCTTAATAGATTAATATTCTGAATTTTATTTCAATTGAAACAATATTCAAGGTTCAATAGTGCGAAATTATGGATAAAATAGAATCAGTTTCTGCTCTGTTTTTCTAAAAGATTTGAAAATATTAAAACCGATGTGGAGTATAAGTGCATGAAATAGATGTAATTGTCATATATTAGATACTACTAACAAGCAAACAAGGATCGTTGGCCTTTCACAGTACTTGAAGACTATTGATTTGGATCCTGTAGGGTGTGCGTGAGGATGTTGACATTCCGATAATTATATACCCACATCCAAATTTGTAATGCTAGCGACAATGCGCATTGAGGCAGTTTTATTTGTGTTAAATGCTAGCATGTAAAGTGCAGAAATTTTCCCGTATTTTTTAGGTTGGTTACATGGCATCTTGCAGAGCTGGGAGTATCAAAAAAAAGTATTATAGCAACTATAGGAGGGTCCTCCACTGATCTCGATGTGTTTCCGCTAGGATTTCAGCAGCTCAAATAAAGCTCATTTCACTCTTTGTATTCTAGGTCGTTGCCAGGGTAGGATTGATGTGTGTGAAACTGAGCGAAATTTCTACTTGCAAGACTACATAAACTTATCTAAAATATAATGGATGTATAGCTCACACTCATGTGAGCAGACTCTGTAAAACTCTACTCAGCAGTGCTTGTCGGTTATGTGACCAATATGATTTTCCTTCTATTCTTCCAAATGTTCGAAAAAGCTATATCCGGTTCGATATGTGCATTACGCAAGAGGTTTGTTGGCAGTAACTCTTTTCCGAGATCTTGTTAGTTTTTTCTTTCATTTTGCTATTCACCTTGAGCTGCACGTGTCGAAGGATTGGGAAATCAAAAGGCTTTGCTGATATTGTCTTCGATGCTAACCAACTGCTATCTCCAGTTAGTTTTTTTTCTTTTCGAAATTGCTTTAAATAGTAAACTTTAAAGTAGATCGTCTTAGCCTTAACTACGGAAGCAAAGTTAAAGTGCGACCGCTAGCTCAAATATCACTCTCCATAACATTGATTCATAGCGTTTCGTGCACACTTGTGATATCTGTATTTTTTTACAAAAAGGTTTGAATATTTAGCCATATGCTTGATTTAGAAAGGCTTTTGAGTGAATGATGTTTATTTTACGACTTTTCCACAGCTCTTACTTGAAAAATGCGTCATTTGATGCTGCCGCTAAAATCAGCGAAGTCAATCGGTAGTACGTTTGAATATGTAACACTGCTCCATAGTTACTATACTTAAGGGGTGTAGCGATTTGTTTTTTCTTTTTTTCTAGCTGAATGATATGTTTCAAATTTTCGGTTACTTTTCTAGAATCGCTTGTCCGTTGCCGAATAAAATTTAGCTAAGAAAAATGGATTTAAAGATTTTAAAGAACCTTTCTTAATGACAATGATCTTCTATAGACTCTTTCTCCATTATAACAACATTAAAAATAAGAAAAAGCAGTGACAACAAAAAGTAGGATCATGAACATATAGGATTATTCATTTGAATATCTCTTGAAATCGTGCAATTTACGGTTATTTATTCGACTTTTGATTATTTTGCGCAAATCGCTTTCAACATTACTTTCCATAGTTATTTGAAATGTGAGCTTTTGCAAAGAATTACTGATTGTTTGCCTGGAAGTTAGCAATATCATGCAACGAGAAAGAACAGTTTTTGCGATGCATCTGTTGTATTCGGTCACCAGTTCCGAACTCAAGATCTGCACTCAATGTGACCAGATCTGAGGTTTGTCATTGAACCAGAAAATTGTAGGATTCAGCAGTTTCTTGCCGTATGTTTTCGACCTCACTATTTTATAGTTGTACTTTTTGTTTTCAGAATGGATAAAATTTTGAATTTTTTGGTACCAGATGAAATCGTTTTTTTCTTATTTCTTCTTTTTATAATTATCTTATGTAATTTGTAGACCTTTTCATACTGCATCTTGTAATATATTTTGGTTTTCTAATAGGATGAAGTAAGTGGTAAAAAATGGCACGCAAAGTAGCACCAATTATTATGTCCAACTCATCACTTTTTTGAAGCGCTATATTTTGACCATAAAATGAGCTTTAATCACATGCATAATATAGGAGAAATCATAAAAATACTGAGACACCCATTATTGCTGGGACGCTGTATGTTTATTCGATCAAATTCCTACATACTAAAAAATAATGTGTCGCAACATGGATTTTTTGGGACTCACATGACTTTCTATTGAATATTATAGTTTTTTTCTAGAATACACTACATTGTGAGTTCCATCGATAGTTATGCTGAATGCAGTCATAGGATCACGAGAGAATATACATGCGAGAGTCAATAGAACTGCGAGTGTATCTTCGCATATAATTCTATTAGGACTAACCTATCAGGGTGCGCCTATTTTAGCTTCAAAACTATTCAACCCATCCAATTAATATTGCTAGAAAGCAAAACAGTAAAACCCATCAACCGTAATCGTTCACAGTTGCACACAACGTTTCTCTAAATTCAAACTATATAATGCCCATCCACACACGCCCTAGTTATCCATTGCTATCTAATTCATTTATTCTTACATCTCTGAAACACAGGAGTGAAGTATTAATGAATTAAAACTGTATTCTTTTGTCTTGCAAATAAAAACCAGTTTGCGTGGAAGATGAGATATTGCTTCCATTGAGCAGCAATTTTTCAATGGTCTGTATGAAAAGATAATGGGAACACGTAAGGTACTTGATCAACAAATATATGTTTTACCGTGTTATGTCGCAATGAATCGACTAGCTCTTGTACCCCACTATGATCGAATGTATTTCTACTTATATCCAATATCTTGAGTGTCTATATGTATAAGCATAAAAATCGATACCCGTACCATTAAAGAGAAGGACTCATTACTTCATTGTTCCGTAAGGCATTAGCCAAATGCTTTGCACCATCCTCTTTGAATTTATTCGAAGAAAGATTAAGTGTAGCAAGTATCTATATGTAAAAATAAAAATTGATATGAAAAATTAATCGAATGAAAAATTACTCTGTTATTTTGAAGTGCATTGGCCAGATATTCCACTCCACTATCTTCAATTTTACACGCGGCAAGATTTAGTGTGGTTAGTGTCTGTACATGATAATGAAACTTGATATAAGAGAAATCGGATACGATGAAGAACTACATTATTTTCCTTCAAGACATCAGACAATTGTTGTGCTCCACTATCTCCGATTTGGTTACCGCTTAGATTTAGTGTTGTTAATGTCTATTTTTAGAAAAAGAATCCAAGATCAATATCAGAAAGATCAACCAAGGCAATCGATTACTTTATTCTTTTTTAATGCATCAGCGATATGTTCTGTCCCATCTGCTCCGATATCATTGCTGGCAATATTCAAAGTCGTGAGTGTCTGTGAGAAAATAAACTTCGATATGAGAAAAATAAGTTGAAAAAATATGTTACATTATTCTTTCGTAGTACACCAGCCAGTGCTTTTGCTCCTTCAGTTTTTATTGTGTTATATTCCATATGTAGTGTAGACAGCGACTGTAACCAAAATGTAAAATAAAATATGAGAAAAAAATAAAAAAGAATTAGTACTTTGCTTCTTTCTAATCCATCTGCTAGTGCTCGCATTCCATCGTCTCCAAGACCAGTGTGACTCAAGTTCAACGTAAAGAGCGTCTATACACAAAAGCGAAAACAAATATAAGAGACATAAACAAAAACAAATAGTATATCACATTGTTATGCGTTAATGAATTACTCAGATGTTCTGCGCCGTCTTTTGTGATTGTATTATAGACAAGATTCAATTCTTGAAGACCCTATGTAAAAGGGAAAGAAATATATGAGAGTAAGAAAGCTACGAAGGAAAATCAATTACTTTGTTATAACATAATCCATCAGCTAAATAACGTACGCCATCATCTGTAATCTGTGTTACTTCTAATTTTAGTGTAACGAGCGTCTATATACAATGAAGTAGATATATATGAGCAATATGAATGAGAAATATATCATACGTGATTATTGCGTAATGCATAGCTCAATGGCTTTATACCTTCGTCTTCAATATGGTTTGCAGCAAGATCCAGTTCGAGAAGTGTCTGTGACAAATACTATGAAACTATCTATATGATAAATATTAAGTTACATTGTTGTTTTTCAATGCAGCAGCTAAATAATGTGCTCCTTTCATTTGAATTCCGTTTCCACTCAGTTTTAGTGTTCTCAGTGTCTGTATGGAAAAAAAGGAAAAATATGAGGATAAGAACAACAAATATACACCACTTTGTTAGTTTCTAGTGCGGCAGCCAGATATTGTGCACCAGTACTTGTGATTCCATTTGTGCCAAGGTTCAATATTCTTAATGTCTATGTAGAAAAAGCGGTAACGAGCATGAATGATCAAAAGAAAACAATTGCTACCTGATTGCTTCGTAGTGCATTAGCGAGATCTTGTATTCCTTCGTCATGAATTCTATTTGATTCGAGGTCTAGTGTTGTGAGTTTCTTATTATTTCGTAATCCTGCCGCTAAATGCTGTAGTCCTTTGTCGTCAATTCTATTGTTTCGAAGGTTTAGAGTAATGAGTGACTATCTCAAAACGTAAATATCAACACGGGACAACTAAGAAGAGGAAATATGTCACCTTATTGTTTCCTAATGCATCACCCAGATGTTCTCCTCCACTATCGTCAATGCCATTCTCGCCTAGATTTAGAGTCAAGAGCGTCTAGTTGAAAAAGAAGCTATTAATCAATAAAAGATAAAACAGAGATGATTATAGATCACTTGATTATATCGTAGTGCATCAGCCAATTGTATTGCTCCATCACCCTTGATTTGGTTGCTAAACAAGCTGAGGTTTGTAAGTGTCTATGTTACAGACAAAGACGAATGTTTCAGAATCAAATGAAAAAGGTATAGTGTGCCTTATTTATTTTTAATGCATCTGCTAGATATTGTGTTCCTGTGGGTCCAACATGGTTAAGACCTAAATTCAATGTAGTCAGTGTCTACATGAAAACATGTACGAATTTATGAACTATATCATTTGCAAATCTTCTTATACATTATTGCTTTTTAATGCTTCAGCCAAATTTTGTGCTCCTATTGGTCCGATTGCATTCCAGTAGAGATTTAATGTGATTATTACCTATATGAAAAGAGAAATGCGAATGTCAGCACTATTTAGTTTTGTATTCATTTGATTTTTCAAAGATGCCATAAAGGATAGCGTCTAGAAACCGAAGTTCACCTGTGTATGTCTGTCTTCAACATATAGTACAAATGACTGTTTTCATAGAACACATGATGGTACCAATCATATAATTGGGTTATTTCAGCCATTATTTTGGTGAATTACATCGGGTTTTTGTTTATTTGTGCCATCTCGGTAGTTAAAGACCTTCGAGACAGCACCAATAGCTCTGTAGTAAAAATGCTCATAATTTCGACCTAAATCTGGAGTAACATGAAGTAAATGACAGTAGACCTATGTGGGCAACTAGGTTTATGATTGAAATGATCACAAAAGTATTTTCAAAATGGGTACAATAATGTTTTTTTGCAGCTGCCAGTCAAGGAAAGTTTAAAAAAATGACGATTTTATCCGTAAAAAGCGTTTGTATTCACGTTTTATGAAAGTTGTGAGAATTATTTGATTCAAAGAAAAAAAGGAGTTTGAAAGCCTAAAAATGTGTGATTTTTACACTGTAAAATGCTGCGTTTTTAAAACTCTTAACTGAATAGGCAGAGAATCATGATGTTCATCGATTTTATTGTTGTGTATAGGGTCCTTTGAACTAATGAAGCTGTGCACTACTTGTAACTATTAGAATTTGTAATCAATTTAAAATCTTTAAAACTATGAATAAATTTTATGAAACCATTTTTACATTTCGAAGATACATTTATAAGAATCGGACTCTTACTTCTTATAGACACCTTTCTTCTTTCTGTGTTAATTGAAAATTCGATTATGAGTTGCTCATATAATTGAGTGTCTTTGCAAACTTAAAGATCAATATCAAATAAATATGCCCAGTGATTAATATGAAATATTTTCGACCTTTCTTTATTTTAAACAATTTCGGTGGCAATATTAGGTTTTATCAATTTTTATGTTTTGGATTAGATAAAAATTCATGATGATCGATTTCATATTTTACTGGCGGGTTACTGAGACTCATTCAAATTGCCTACTTTACAAACCGAGGGTTTATCTTGAGCATGATTTGACTCGTCATCATCTGATTGAGATTGATCTTTCGTTTCGAACACTGAAACATTGAAACTTGGCGGCGGTGATGGGCGCGAAGCAGCGCAGGCGTCACATATTGTGACTGATGCTTTGTTCAAAAGAGTACACTGTTCACAGCCCCATTCTGTAGAAGCCGGCGCATCGCAGTTCGTAATATTCAAACGTGACAGAGGACGCGAAAGAGAACAAGCTTCACATATATTCATAGATACGTTATTCAACAGTGTACATCGTTCACACGCCCATTCTTCTTTTTCATTCGATGATAATGTTGAGGCAGAAGCCAATATTTGTCGCGAAGTCTTCTTGACTACCTGCAATGATAATGAAAATAGAAAAATCATAAGTATTGGCCATAGAGTTATAGCATGCATATGGGGCTTTCTAAAAGAAAATTTATAGCATGTATGATTTGATTATATTGAGTTCTTTCATGCATTTTGTACATATATAGGAAAAAGAAAGTGCACTGACTGATGTGCAGTTAAGCATATATTCTCTTACTTTTTTTCCTCTCAGTGTGTTCGCCACAATGATCATGTCGTTATCAGTTAGTCCCATATGTTGTAAAGCTAACTCTGGCTTGGTTCCATTTTCCTCGATCAATTTCACGAGTTCTGGATTGTAGTATTGCTCAGCTGCTGCTGTTACTGAAATATTTCGTGCTTCAGAAACAAAATGAAAATGTGAATTTATTACAGAAATAGAAACTATTTGTCTTTTAATGATCGTTCATCTCAAATAAAAGGCGGTAATGCAAGGTGTTCATTCATTTACAAATTATTTTTCAATCTCTTTTCATTCAATCTAATATAAAAATTTGACGTATTTTTATTGACTGCCGAAAGGCTATGCAATATCACTATGTGAATTCTAACGATCAAAGTGTAATCGTACTTAACATCTATACATGAGTGACCAATAAAACAATTTGCTTTTCTAATCGGAAATCTCTGAGAAAGTAGTCATATACTAATATGATTAGAAATAAATTAGATAGAATAGAAAAGACAAAATCAAAACATTTTATATGTATCTGTTTTATCAAACGTGACGCGATGACGGAAAACTTTATTTGGATCAGTATTGAACCTTTCCTGTAACATTGATTTCTATATAGAAAGAGTACGCCAATTTAGACTGTTTGCTAGAGATAAGACGAGTGAAAAAACTTTCTCTTCGCCTTGACCTTGACGAGACTTGATACTGTACAACAATTATAAATTTGCAATTCATAATTTAATATATAAGACATTTTAATCTTGAGATGTATAATTTCCGTAACATGTTTAGCAAAAAACTGCGGTGTCTTTCTCACTCTCAATATTATTGTGATCTGTAATATCGTAACATCGATGTCTCAGTGGCTCTATCAGTTCTTAATAAGTTACTAAAGTAACACATAAAATTACTTGTGGCCATTTTTAACGTAGTATTCTATCGATATGTTCTTCGAGATAAGATTGGCAAAGAAGATGATCAACAATTGTATACTATCTAAAACAAAGACAAATAAAATAATGTCAAAAGTTTTTGTCAAATCATGCTTTTACTCTAAATCTGATATCTACAATAATAAACTTCAATTCCTCAATGACATTGTCCTCGTCTTAATGCAGTTCGAGTATTTACAACACCCAGATTGAATTCATTGGCCGACAATTTGCGACACATCTTATATTCATATCTTTTTAACGTTGTATTTTTTCAAATTGCAATGTCCTATAACTGGATGCTACTATAATTTCTATGCTTCATGTTAAAAGGATGTAAGTTTTGCTTATCAAATCTCAATAGTTTATCGTTTTTTTTTCTTTGAGTTGCAAACACGGAGAAAAACAAATATGCCTTACATCATCCAATCACATGTGCTGTATATAGGAGGCTGTTTATCTGTGTTTATAAAGAATCTATTTTGAGAAACCGAAAATACTGTTAAGACAATAGGGAATATTCTAAAAGATAGATTTTTCTTGGTATCAAAACATACTAAAATACTCGAAAAATGTTTGAGCATAAACTTCTGTTAAATTCAGTGGTAAAAATATATAGTAATCGAAACACAGGTTTGTGCCAGTAATTTATCGTAACGGCATTGTAATAGAACGCTCATATAAGATATGATTTTGTTTTCATACGATCGTCGTATTTTCATCAACGAAATGGTCATTTTGAAACATCTTTTCGATCTCACTATTTGGGAAGAGTTGCAATTTATCACCAGTTCGTATTATCAATCGACGAAAATTTCATAAATCCGAAAATCTTTCACAAGACCTGCATCCTCAGAGACAGTGTCGATTCATTTCAAAATATCAAAAAGTCGCCACATTATCGAAATATTTTAGACTAATCATCATGCTATTTCTATTGAGTTTGTTTTTCTACTGCCTCATTTTTTATTTTGATTATTATTTAAAGACTGAGTCAATTCAACCATTTGTTAAATAAAAGTTTGCAGAAGAACAATAGCTAAAATCAATATAAAAAAACATCCTTCGTTTATTGTTGCGCTAAAAATATCATATAAGTACTTGTAACTATTCTATTAGATAATCTCGAATGCATAGGATTTTCTTAGGCCGATATCCAAGCACTTCTTGCCTCAATTCCACGCTCCGTATACACGAAGATAACATCAATGATATAAAAAAATCAATAAGTATCTATCCTTTAATATATTTGATACCAAAATAACATGATAATTGTATTTTTACAAATGAGTAGAATGAAATATAATAGATTTTATAATATAACTAATTTGGTTCGGTGTTTTATCACTAGTGTCAAGCAAGTTTGTTTTTGATGATAAAGTAAATATTGCTAAGTGATAATTGTGTTGTAAATTCGATTTCTTATATAACTATTTTAAGCCGATGAACGAGGGATGTCATAATATCCACAACTTGGGTATCGAGATGAATACCCAGATAGGATACCCAGTTGGATGGACATCTACGTATCCTCAGAGCTGAGGAATTTGAGTGCATTTGGTGTAACAAGAATAGGTATCCATTTTTATATATCCTCAGAGCTGAGGAATTTGAGTGCATTTGGTGTAACGAGATTGGGTACCGGAAATTTTCCTACTGTCAGGTCCTACTTCAAACAAATTAATATAAGCCACAATTCAAATAACATGCATGTGACGATCCACAACAACACCAACTACACAGCATGCTACAGTTTCAACCCAAGTCCCGTGAGTGATTTTGATGAAAGTCGTAATAAATTGCTATGAGGTAAAAATGAAGTTCTTCAACGGACATTTACTTGGAATTGCGCGCTATCTGCAATGCTCATTAAACAAATCTGTACATATCGATAAACATTGGCATAAAGCTGACTACATGGATACAATAAATTTTAACATAGCATCACGTTTCCTTATTTATAGTTATAAAGTCACGTATTTTTACAATAGGGTATCCATTTCGGATACCCATTCTCGTTACACCAAATGCACTCAAATTCCTCAGCTCTGGGGATATATAAAAATGGATACCCATTCTCGTTACACCAAATGCACTCAAATTTCTCAGCTATGAGAAACATGGGTATTCATTTTAGTATGCATTTTAGATATCCACTTGAATGGATATCGTGACTGGTATGTCGACGATACCCAGTGTTAGGATATTATGACATCTCTGCGATGAACTGATTATCAAACATATGGATGATATAAGTAAAAACTATAACAGTTTCTTTTGTAAAAGCCTCGATCGTCAATTCCATTGGTCCAATGTCACGTGCACAAAATAAAAAAAGCTAGTTGTACGAGGAGTACTCAACGTTAAAATCATGTGACATTATCAGAGCGGAATATAAAATTTGAAGAAAATGACTCTATGAAGGATTTACTGAGTGATTGTTTAATCGATTGTAATCAAAATAAAAATCTGTCTTAATGGAATATAAGGACATCTTAATAGACAAGTAACGCTCATCTGCGTGACTCGCTTTACCCTCGACTGAATATTTCACTGCATTAGTAGGTCTTTATTGCCACAGAAGTTTTGCAAAGGATAGCATCTACCATTCTTATATCACTTCGTGCTGGTGTCAACATTAATGTGCACATCTGTGTCGCCGTACACAGTGTCTATTGGTATCCTTGTAATACTGCTAGCTATACCATTCATTTATTTAATCTGTAACTCTATTAGTAATAGCCAAAAGGAATGTACGTGACCCTCACTGACCCAACAATACCCACAGATCACGGGAAAATAGTATACTTGATTCGCGGAGAAAATCAACAGAGAAAACATATCAGCGTGACTGCAGTAAAGATGCACTACACTTCTCGCGAACTATATTAATACCGTGTATACTCATTAACACCTGGCCAGTACACGCTACGAAAATGCATATTTAGCGGAACTATCAGAGTGAAACAATATATTTTTTCAACCAAATATTCGGTATATGCAGCTTGAATGAGGCTTCAAGTTTGAGTCTTCATGGAATTCAACAATGAATTTCAAATAACCAGAAAAAAATTGTCAAGTTAATGGGCAGACCACGTATCTGTGTACTCAGAGAACCATTTAATTCATTTAAATCTACTCTGAATGATTGGATGTAAATTGTTTTCTTGCCGTTTTTAAGGAAGTTTTTGATTCCGATACTGAGACGACGTCCAACACACCTACTGTTACATTTCATTCAAATACACCTGCTAGCCCTCTTATCAGTTCTCTCTCCCATCAAAATTACTAAGATCTAAACGGTAGAGATTTTTCCAATGAATTCGAAATTTTTAAGCATTCTATGCAAGGGATTTATTAGAGCAGCCGTTCGTCGTTTGTCGGCGCTCTGATGGGGCGCCACTAGCGACTAACCGCTGCTATGCATCGTTGCCTTCCAGTAATTATACGATCATTCACTAACATTTAAATTTTACTGGATTCTAGAATTGGCTTAGTTTCAAAACTGTCTATATTTATCACATGCCGAATTCCAAAGTGAAAACACTTGCGAACTACTCCTTATGCGTTCAATTCGTTACACTAGCTAGTCAATCTGAGATTTTCATGAAGCTCGCCATCAAAAACAGCTTTAGTATATGATTCCGCACTAAAAAACCAGCTTAATAGACCATATCACATGCAAAAAATTGTGAAATTTTGATAGGAGCTGCTATATTTCACTGTCAGCAATTTGACGTGGGACTGCTGTCATCTTTTAACACATATTCCAAAAGTAGCTACTTTTTTGTCCAAGGCTTCACTAATCCATACTTCAACTACTCCAACAGCTTCTCCTTTCGTCACTAAATTGTACTTGATATACAATATCAAGTAAGATGTCCTTTAAATATATACTCGTCGTATCTCGAATTTCTCCATGTTTAAAAGAGTCCTTCTCTATCTCTACATAAACATCATTGATTAAGTCTCAGTGACACGGTTCTAACGACTTTGCTCGATGTTATACAGAAATGTCGTAAAAAATCGTTCATGTTTAAAAGACTAGTGGAGGGTGTTACAGAGAGAACTAATCTCTTGTTTAATTCCTATCATTTTCCTATAACATTCCCCGGAATTCGTCCTATCAATCGAAAATTGTTTAATTCGACTTCACTGGCCGTTTATAATGAAATTAAATTGTTTATTTCACGTCATTCATTCCAACATAACTTTTTCCATCCATCACCGAGATCAAAAATTAAATTTATTCATACACAGAATAAACAAACGAGAGAGAGAGAGAGAGAGATACGGGAGAGAGAGAGATACGGGAGAGAGTGAAATAGGGGGAAGAAATAAAGGAGAGAGAATTTCGAATGTTCTTGTTGCCTAGACAACAATCACTCAATAGAACGGATAGTAAACACAGTTACTTGTCCGACTGTATCATAGTAAGATATTGCGACGAGAGAGAGGGAGGAAAAAAGATGTAAGTAATTTTCCATAGATATCTTACATAACCAAGAGTAACAAATATCAAATAAGAAAATAAAGTATCTGTTAGACATCTTCTAACAGAGGGTTTGATCCGGTAAAAAACAATTCTGACACATCAGAACTTTTTTCCGCACTTTTAAGAGTATCTAGGAATAGGGCACGTTAGTATGCATCTACTGATAATCTAAAATGTCCTTAATAAGTGCGCATAGCCACTCTATCCTGACAGCCTAAAAACTTTCCCCGTAATTTCCTCTCATTCCTCAATGTTTGTTCTACAAGCACTCCAATTCCATCTGATCTTCATATTTCCTTATTCATTACACAACTCGCACGCATTACAAAATACTTCAAGTTTGTCAGCATCACTCCTCATACAACGACAAGATTTGAGATCTTAATTTTGATATTTTGATTTCTCATTCTCGATAAAACAGCGGCAAACTTCCAACAAAAAGCTCAAACGCCTAAAATAAGAAAGTTCATTTCTGATTGGTCGCTTCCCTATTAATGAAACCTCGGCCAAAAAAATGGGCTTCGGTTTCGGTTTCGGACTCAGCGCCTTTGATAACCTATAACAAAGTGCGATCAAACCCGCGAAAAGTCTTAAAATAGGGTGACTTATCTTATATGTTTTTTTGACCTCAAGCAAACACATAAACAAACGCATTTTATTCCGTATGACCCTCCCTTCAGTCGAGGGAATATCTTTTTGATTTGACAGACTATTCTTTTTATTTTACCACCACATTACGATGATAACATCCAGTATCCTGCCTGTTACTACAAGATGCTTTTAATGATTTCCCTCGATCTATGACAATCGCAATCATTTACGACTCTAGTAATTCTTTCGCTAACCATGATAGCACTATCAAAAAGGACTTGTAGTCACATACAGTGAAATCGTATGCTAGCTAATGGCCAGACTCGTAAATACTTACCAACTATAATATGCAATCGAAAAAGCGAATACTGTAAAGAAGTTTTTGTTATTATAGATATAGACGAATAGAAATCATACGACTAATTTTCTCCAAGAAAATAATATTTGTTCTTAAAATATGCATTTGAAATATTCACTTTTCACTATTAGCAAAGTATTTTACAATTGATTCGCGTGATATGAATGCTACGAGATTGAAATCACAGCCTTTTATAGGCAGAGCTGTTATCTCTTTTTCTCTTTTCTTTTAACACGCGTGTGGCAGTCTTATCTTTACTTTCAGACATGCTTATATTTCTAAACAAGACGAATATCTTCTGATAGTAACGTAATCCATGAAAACTGCTGTACAATGATCCAATTATGATAAATTTTGCATTTTAATAAATACATGGCCGATTCGAATACGCGATAAAACGTAATGGAATGTTGTTTCTATCAAAATTCTATTCCATGCTAATTTCAAGTATAGTTCGATATATATTACGTAACTGAACAATAAACTGTTATCATACTTTGATTATGATTATTCATATCATCTTCAACAAAAGTGAATTATATTCATTTCACTTCCATCAATTAATATAATATCTATAAAGGCAGGCACGGGACTGAAATAAAATCTCAATGTTTGTTTCTGTCCGTGTAAACAATACAGCATATTTTTAATAAGTGAATTCTATTCTAAACTATGAATACACTACATCTTGTTGTGACAATCAATTTTTTCGACAACATTCATCTCCTTCATGAATGTTTAGGCTGATGTTGCTTAATACAGCTTTCTTTTTGTTGGCAGAGACATGACAGTATATGCATATATATTCAGCAGAAAACCGAACCAAACGAAAAGAAGAATTATTCATACTGATGTTCATGAAGAGAGAACATAACATGTCTTTTTTTTTTATAAAGGTGAATGAAATACCACTATTCAATACTGATGAAATAATGAATGAGATAAATTTTTAATGAAATATCTATCACGCCATAAATAGTACTATAAGCTATTAGACTCGAAGAAGTTCGCAGTTTTACCCAATTCTATCTTATTAGCTATCTAATAGAATTCCAATACACTTATTAAATTTATTATTTTAAAAAATGACTCAAAATTTTGGTCTCTATTTTATATCACATCCGTGAACAATTTTTCCTTTCTCCTTCATACTTTAATGTATGTGCAGTACTATTACGTTTTCGACAACACAAAACAGATACGCAAAAAAAGCTCAAATTTATCATTCATGTTATGAACATTCGTTTAAAAAATTTTTGCTTAGCACAATATTATACCAAGAGTTCATGTTATACTCTTCGTAACAAAGGCACCTTATGAACTGCGATTTTAAAATTTTATTTTTTTAACTCAATAACGTAACAATAAAACTGTACTCTGATATTAACTGTGATATATTCTAATGTTCTCCTTCGTTTTATAGACAACGGGGAGGAGAAATAGAGCAAAAGGATCGTGAGAGACGTGGATATTGTGTAGTTCATAAAACAAACCCAGTCTGGTATAAAGCCCATCCATTTTCACTATCGTACTCAATCAATGTGTTTTTTTCAATGCTTAAGGTGAAATTGTGAAATATACAGAAGGATAAATTTACTCAATAAGAAAAGTATGTGGGACGGTCTTAAAAAGGAGATTCTCTCCAGAGGCATAACATATCGGGTTACTCGAGCTTCTCCAATAAGACTTTCGCCAATGGAATATTCGCCCGTAACGAAAGTTGTGGGGTATATTGGCGAAAGTACAGTGAAATTTCGCCATTGGTGATGGTTCTTTTGGCGAAAGTCTTATTGGCGAAGTTTCGGAACCCAAACATACGAATGTTTTGATTGCTACAGTAGCAGTTATCTCTCCAATTACATAAGATATCGTCAACTCTAAATACAAAAATTCTTGTAGGTATTTTCACTATAGATCGGAAAATTGTTTTCGATTCAGTTCTCGGAGATCTTTCCTGAGAAATGCAGGACAGTATCCATGCCTTCTTTGTCTCACAATTGTACTCATCATGCGTAAGTTAGATAACGTGGTTTCTTCCAGAAAATACACATCTTATTTGTAGGAGATTCAGACAAAAACGTGGGGCTTACGATATTCAAAATACATAAAAGCGCATCCGCATTTGCGTCAACCTCTCTATTGCGGTATTTTTGATCAAAACATACAAAAAAGCCAAAGTAAAGATTTCATTCCTCTAGCAAAAATATTCATTTCTGATTGGCCCGTTCCTGGCGAATGAAATCCTGGCCAAAGAAACGGGCTTTGGATTCGGATTCAGGGACCGCGATAACCTCAAGCAATATTCAATCAAAACGGCCAAAAGTATTAAAATAAGGTAACTTCTTATGAATGTTTTTTTTGATCCAAATCAAACAAGACCACAAACGCATTTTATTTCGTATGACCCTCCCTACAGGCGAAGGAATAAAAAAAGAATTGATGCAGAAAAGTGCAATTTTTTTCATTTTCGAGTATCTGTATTCATTCGTCGTGGTCTCGCTTCGTTTTATTGAATTGAAGGACGCTTTTGTTTTCTTTAAAATATTTTGATGAACTTCCGTTAATTCTGTTAGAAACTAAAGATTTATGTAAATTACATTTTTTGTACTGTTTTGTTCGAACGTCTATTCAAAGCAATTGACCAGTAGCTATGCAAAAATAGGATGGGTTCAATATCCGAATAGACTCATTAGTCAATCACTATGATGCTATAATATCAATCGATAACATTAGAAAGTTGAATCAAATATCATAGAATACAAATCACTCTCGTATTTGAGAGAGGCCCATAGGAACGCATTCACTCATGATAAACTCTTTTGCTTTTTTTTCCATGAGAAAATTGATGTAGATAATGTACGTTTAACAAATGGGATTGTTAGCAGTTCGCCAACGCGTTTTCATTTTAACTTATTTGACTTGTACGACTCAACTCAGATGCCAAGAGAACGAATTGTCATACAGATTCTTTTTTCATAGAGAAAAAGAACAGCTTTGCTTTTTCAAAAGATTAAAAGGTATGAGAATTGTTTTACAATGCTCTTGTAAAGATATTTCTTGTAGATTTTTTCTCTCGTCAGTACCTATGGAAACTTAACGCATTCCGTCGTGTTGATTTAGTAGAATGAAGATCAGTTATCTTTAAGATCGAATCAGTATATTAATATTCATCTAAGTCTGATTTGTAAGAATCGCCATGTTTTAATTCAAACATTCCGTTGCACAATCTAATCAATACTATAGATACCACTGAAAAACCAAATACTTCTATGGATTTTTCGACTATTGATGATTGGAAATCACATCCATCACTGATGGAGAAGAAAAACAGATTTTTATGTTGTTAAAAAAAACACAGCCAAGTAAACAAAGCACAACAGAACTGAGAGAATGAACAAAAGCCTTGACAAAAAATACTGTGCGTAAACACAATCGTTGCAAAATATTCAATGAAAAGAAAATTACTTTTTTTTACTTTGTTTCATGAGATCAATATACTTTGCTTTGAATGTGTTACTAAAACATTTTCTGTCTATTTTTTCTAGAGTATCAACAGACAGTTTAAATAAACAAATTGTAAGTAATATTGTTATTCATTTTCGTTGTCAACATCACTATTGTTCGAAAAAATCAATTCGTTTTTATTATCCACGCGTGTCAATCGATGCCAGCGCCATCGATCCCACCAATAGTTCAATTAGGAGTCATAGCTCTATTGTGTTTTTTATTCATGTGGACTTATCAATCATGTTCACAGCCAAAATTTTCGCTATCACCTATTTCACTCGCCACTATGGCACCGATCAACACTGACTGTCAACAATCTCTCTTGGAAAGCGATGGATTTTTATGTGAACCGAATGTTACCTGGATTGAACGAAAAAACGTCTATTTTAATCAGGATGAAGAAAATATGATGAAATATGGAGATCCTATTTTTTTTATATCGATTTGGGAACCGAATTTTCATTGTACACACAGTCGACGTATCGGTAAGATGGGCGATGGGGGCAAATGGGTCTGCGATCCCTATCGATTAGAATCGCGTGATGACTGTCTAGTTTACAGTGTTGGGTCGAATGGTGATTTTTCGTTTGAAGTTCATATGAAAAAATTGATGCCCCATTGTGAAATTCATACCTTTGATAAAAATAATTTTACTTGTCCGAATAAAACATGCACTTTTCATAATGTCATGTTCGGTGATGGAATTCAGCCGAATGGTTCGAAGAGCTGGATGACTATTATCAAAGCATTGAATCATGCGAATCGATATATTGATATACTTAAGATTGATATCGAAGGTGGTGAATATAACTTCTTTCCTCTCGTATTCAGTTCGAGCAAGAGTTTATTTCCACGACAAATTCTTATTGAACTTCATCCGACAAATGTTACTCTTGTTCATAGATTCTTTGAACTTCTACGCAACAATAACTATGTCATTTTTAGTAAAGAAAATAATCTTTACGCAGGTCCTTTCTTTTTTGAATATGCTTTTTTGAAATTAAATCCACGTTTTTTTGTGCGATCTACACGAAATGAAACTAATAAATAAATGTTCAGAATGAAACTCATCCTCATTTAGCATCGAGCCAAATATTCCTAAGCCGATTGAAGTTATATAGGTTTATTGTCTATTATTGCATAATGATCATTGGCCAAATAGTTTTACAAGCAGATATATCATGTAAAATAAATTAGACAAAAAAACGCATTGACTACTTGTACAGTATTACGCTGTCATAACACGAACTATAACTAGTTGAAAAAAGATTTAGAATTTTATTCATCATTGAATATGATCGTACGATTTTTATTAGTAGCGACTCAATTTTGAATCAATTGACCAATATTAACGGTGAAGAGATCCGCATATAAGCTGTATGGCAGAAATCAAGTCAATTCTCTATTCAAGATCTAATTTCATACGAATCCAGTAAAGATCATCGTCATATCTACTTTCAATCAGTTTCTTACTTCAGATTTTGTTCTCTTCTTTATTCTATAGAATAACTGTTTTTTTTAAACAATTTGAATGTCAAACACAATTCCCCACATTGAAAACATCTATTTATATATCTTTCAGATGGTTTTTATCCTATGATTAATGATAAGAATCCAATTTAATGCATCACTTTTTGAAACCACTAATACGTGCTTCGCTGATAAGAAAACATTTTGCTATTCCGTATATTAAAAAATGTTGATATCCAACGGATCGATGAAAAAACACTTTGTTCTTAATTCATGTGTGAATCCTATACACTTTTAGTTGATAACATGCTTTAATATTTATATAAAAAAAAAGAAAAAGCTGACGATGAAATATAGTGCAGAAGTCAGCTTATTTTTCTTGCGCGTTCTCTTGTCTTATGCCGAGTAAATACGCGTTAGTTTAGTCGCTTTTTATGCGACTCGCTTGTGAAAAATAGTCTTCTATCAAGCTACTAAAAATGTATTTGCTCGTTATAATATTATTGTTAATACACTGTTCAAACTCAACAAGACATTTGCCGATGTTCTTGTTGTATTGGTGAATTTTGTGCTCCAACAAACGTTGGTTCTCTTTACATGCAATCATGTACGATAGAAACATGTCTAATACAATGTCGTAATGCTTATTTTCAATGTCAAACAAATCCTCCTGTTGGACACGTTTCAGCACAATGCTTACCATCTGTTAGTCCCTTGTACAATTGTCAATGTGATTGCTGTATTTCCAGTTCTACTACTTGTATACCCAGTTTCGTAGGTTATAGTACTACGTATCAATGCCAACCAAGTGCCTGTGGTATATCTTGCTCTGCACAATATCCATTTCAATGTGTATGGAATCAAAATGGACGAATAAGTGGTACGTGTACAGGTTCTATCACAACAACAACATCCACAACGACAATTAGTAGAGCAACTAATGCTCCTGGTTCAACTTTGACTTGTTCATGTATGTGTTGTCAGTCGGGTTCAAATTGTTTACCAAATATCGATGTAGGTATAGCTACAATATCCCAATGTTCCTCGGTGACTTGTACGCAAGCATGTCAAAATCAATACGTAGCACTTTGCCCATCATTAATCTATTTGGGTCAAACGAATGGTTCATGCATAACTCAGAATAGTGGAAATACACGTTGTCAGTGTCAATGTTGTACAACAAATGGATGCCCAACTTCCACGATAAATACTAATGGAGATTGTGCATCATGTTATACATTATGTCAACGACAATCCCCTTGTGGTAGTGCAAAGCCTGTCGCATACTCTTGTACTAAAAACAAATCAAAGATATCGGCGGGATTTTCTCTTCCAATGATTATTTTGATATCAATAATGTTGTTACTATAAAATCACTTTTCAAAATTAATAAGTCACGCTCGACTATTGTCACATACTTATATTTCGCCTGTAAATATTGATTTCGAAATACTGCATATCATCTTGTTTTGCTTCGAATACATTAGCAAAGCATTCAATGATCTAACTAAAACAAAAATAAGGGTGAATTTGTGAGGTAGAAGCATGGTTGAAATTTGATGTTGTGAGAGGTGACTATATCAATATTTAATTCACATCCATACACCTTCAGGAGAGTCAGCGAACATAATGAAGCTGATTTTGTCAAATTTTAAAAAGCGCTTCAAACATGATAAGAAAATTGAAATGTGAAGCTCTGAAAATATCACTAAGGTTCTGAAAACCAAAAACTATGCAAAAGCCAAATAAGATCAGACCCATATCGGACATTTTTGATTGAACAGCGCTGTCCAGTATAAGTTCGCCCTTCGTATGTAGTGATTCATTTATGGAAAATCCTCAAAAGTTTTACGTAATTATCAAAAGCAGTGAACAATTTCATTCAAGTCTGATGAACAGTTTCTGCATAGACCATCTCAGATTATTAAATTAAAGCATTTCTTCCTAGGAGGGTCAACCACCAGCAGTATGAGTGCTGCTCGATACTGACCCTCTATGGCGACATCTACTAACGGAAAAATCTTAGCTACTGGCGGATATAATTCTAGCGGCTATTTGAATAGTACCGAACTGTACGATTCATCAACAGAACTTTGGACGACGACTGGCAGTATGAGTACTACACGATGCTATCTCGTGGCAACAATACTATCCAATGGAAAAGTCTTGGTTGCTGGTGGATATGGCATTAGTGGTGTTTCAAACATTGCAGAGCTATACGATCCATCGGCAGGACTTTGGACTACAACTGGTAGTATCAACACTGCACGATACGTACACACAGGCACAGTACTAACTAATGGAAACGTCTTGATTGCTGGTGGGTATGGCTCTATCGGCTATTTGACTGGTTCACAAGAGTACGACTCATCAACAAGAATATGGACAGCAACTGGGAACATGACTACTGCACGATATCTGCACGGAGCATCGATGTTAAGTAGTGGAGTGATCTTAGTTGCTGGCGGGGCCGTTGTTTCTGGCTATACAAATACTGCAAAACTATATACGTCTTAATAAGATGCAAACTTGTATTTTTATTCATTTTCTATAATATTGGCACTTCGATTATTTCAGATTACTATCATTATATCTATATCTCATATAGATTTTGATTTAAAGCTGCATTTAAAAAAATTTTCCCATTGTCTATCATAATTGTTCAGCATGAAAAACAAAATAAAGACTCGAAAAGTATAAGATAATGTTCACAAGTGCAAAATGCGGTATTATTAAATATTTTATCCACGCAATTTGCAAATACATTTATACATTCATCATCTTGTAAAGATTTGTGATTGATTTGGATTCTATAGATTCATGTACGTTCGAGTAGTCATTGCATTCCGCAATGTTGAATATTTCGGGATCAGATCCACTCTGAGAATTAATTCTATCATCTCTTAGCCTTCTAGTTATCATTCAATTTTGGTCCGGGTGTGGGTGCTTGTCTTATTATAGTAGCGAAGACTGAAAAACACTCACTTAAACCCACATATATTCTGCTTTCGATTTAAGTGCTTTTTTTTCTGTTTTTTTCTGGCGCTAGTACATGTATCACCTTGCATTGGCGGGCCACCAGAGGGCAATTGGTGGCAATTGCCATACCACAAAAAATATGAAAATTAAAAACTTGCCTAAGAAATAGTATTGGATAAGAAAGTTTGTCAGACATTGCCTTTTTCAATACTAAGAAAGATTCGACATTTATATATTCCACTGGTCAAAAATAGTTTTACAAAGTACTTTTAATATATGATCACTATAAATGAACATTTTGAGACAAGTAATTATATATTCGGATAGGGCGTGGAGTTCTCTGCAATCGTGTATATATTTGATTTAAATTGTATATGCTTATAAAAAAGATACCTCAAAGAATAAAGAACGCACTCTCGTTATCAGAATCCTGATTACGCTCGATTTTTCTTATCCCTTTTTGTTCATCAGATAAGTAGCAAAGTGAAAACTGAGAAAAACACAGAATGATAGAGTATTTCACCCACTTTCAGAATATAGGCTTACTTTTGTTATAATTTGTTCTTTTGTTGAAAATAAACTTGCAAAAGAAAGAAAGCAGGATAAAAATAGCGTGAAAATTTGAACGAAAGTGCACAAAAAAAATGCACTTTCGAGGAATCCAGTGAGGGTTGTATTCATTTTCTTTAAGGTATTTTGTCTAAGCACATACAATTTAGATCGAACATATACATGTTTCAGAGAACTCCACGCCCTACCTGAATATATAATTACTTTTCTCAAAATGTTCATTTATAGTGATGATTTATTAAAAGTATCGTGTAAAACTATTTGTGGCCAGGGGAATATATCAAGTAGTAGCCGATTACACTGCACAGAAAGACGAAACAGCAATGGTTTTTTTTAAATAAATCTTTTTTTTAAATGATATGTTTTAATTTATTTATTTCAACGGAAAAAAAGAAAGAAAAAATGTCTCGTTTCCAGCATAAATATACATAGTTGTGTAGTATTTTCGCAAAGTTGCAAGCGTTTTTTCAAACTCGTAGTAAGACATTAGAGTTTATTGCCATACGTATATTTGGGACGCTGGCCCGCCATTGTCCCCTTGATACATGATTCTTCGATGCATATCTATTCTAGATAAAAAAATCAAACCCATTTCATCTATCGTCAACTATTCTAATGGCGATTATAAAATATGTCACTCAAGTAACCGATACCTACCGAAATACTGACGACTACTGAAGGCAAATGCAGAGAGGCAATCTAATGTGCCACAAATGTTCCACTCATAAGTTATACATCACAGTGCACAACAGTATAATCTGAATACGAATAGGAGTTTCTAAACGATACTTATTCATAATCGTCTTTGGCATTGTGAAGACGACCTATGCAACTTTTGTGACTACTACGGACCAGTTGGCTACCGAAAAAGTTATCAACTATTTCAAGATACTTATTACACTTAAGTCTTCAATATCATATCCTAACGAAGCACTCATTAATTTACTTGCCACCAGACCAAAATATCACTTCTCTATTATGAGATTCTCGAAACGAAAAACTCACACTAATAACGTAGCGAATAACTTCGAAAATGTATCCGAGCTAGATGCTCATCGATAAACGGTAATTATTTCTGTATCATAGTAAAAACCAACACAATTTCAATTTCTATTAAAAAGTCCTGTGTGAAAAAGTTTTCTTAGGTTGACTTGGAGATAATAAGCCACCTGACAAAATCCGTGAACAAGGTCAAAATCGATTGTCGCTGTTTCAATCACATCCACACATACCCACGCCTTTTTTCTCTATGTACTTTGTAATGATATTCTTTACATGCAGTGTTGTTTTATTTATTATATGTAAAATCGTCGTAGTAATAATTGAGAATGATTGGCTGTCGCATTTAATACAAAATGTTTCTTTCACTATATGAGTTGAGACCGCTTTTGGTTGAATCCTTCTTTCACCGCTTTTCTTCTCCTTGCATTTCTACTGTCAAGGTTATTGTCGTAATTATCAGTCTCATTGTCTTCTTCATAATGGTCATGAGACTTATTGCCATTTTGTGAGACATTCGATTTATTCTCAGATGGATGACTTCCGTAGCAACTTCCCATGATGGTAACACAAGTTGAGTTTACTATAGCACAAGCAAGTTTTGAGTTACTATAAGAAAATAAAAAATAATATGCCACAAAGATTCGTATTCCGACACTTGTACATAATGTAGTCGCGTGTATGTTGCTATGAAACAGAGAAATGCAGTATTTGTCAAGTGCACGCCACATGGACATGTTACATTAAAATTTTTTCCTCTGTGCACTATACACCTGCATAGAAGAAAAAGAAAAAGAACGGTATTTTAAATGGCAAAAAAAAACTATGTCATGTGTTTGTTTAAAGATTGTCTCAATCTGTAACAGCAACTTTTCAAATACTTTAGTGTGTATATGTGTGAGTTCTATGCGCAAGTCTTAATCTGAATGAAGATATGGTCGACTAGAGATTGCATAATTACTAATAGATGATACAGATCTTGACCTTCTATTCAGCACTACTTAGAGTAGTTAAGACTGAGGTAGCGAGACATGAGAAATGAGTTCACGACACCAAGACAAAATTATTTTCAGTATATGTCAGAACCTTTATGTTTTCAATTACCGTAATCGAATATTGGTCGTGCTCAATAGTAATGCTCAACGATTGATTCTGTGAGAGCCCCCATTGAAACAAAATAAACTTAAATTAATACCTGAACTATCCAGCTGGTGTATTCCATGTTCAGATGTAAGCACCATTTTCTGCGAAATGCGCTGAACAGATAGTGAAAACTATTGTGATTTCTGAGTAAGAATGCTAATGGCTATATTCTCTGAAAACAATACAGACAGAGCTGCTTTGTTCTTTCATACAATCGGTCTGTATGTATTGACACCTTGGGCATCACATTGTCGCATAACAACAGGAATAAAAAAAAACAAGTGCACCTCGTGTTTTAACCATAGTAGCAACGTTGAAAACATTTCATGTTTTCATGGCATGATAGTGGTAGAACAGAACTCTGTTAAAAAGAAAATAATTCTTACTCTTACCTTTTCTTCTGTTCAACGTCAGAAAAGCACAATGCATGATTACTCTCGTTGCTTTTCAAAGCATATGAAGTGTGCAACAGACGAATTTCCTTTCCGTTGACGACTAAAACTGATTCTAGATACTATTAATTGACCATAGATAATTATAAAAAAATGAAATTCAATTACTGACTCGTAGTACGATGAGTGGATCTTCGATTATTGACGAACAATGTCTTATAATTAAAGAACAAGAAATATCTCTCAATATCGAACAACTCAAGAAATGCTTTGATACGATTGTCTCCGAATTGAACAAACTCAAATTCCCCACCAATATCAATGCAATTCAAAAGATATCAACATCCATTACGATAGATGATACCAATCCCTACAATCAATCTGACATTGTGAATCATCCACTATTTATCATTATCCGTGATTGCTACTTAGATGTACTACACCAATGGCGAACTGATCAAAGACTCGAACAATCATCTCGTGCAGCTTTCTCCGAAATCTCAGTCTTGTTCGCAATTATTGGTGATTATGTCACTGATATCAATGTAAACGCAGTAAAACAACTTCTAATTCATAAGCCACTCATTGATGAACTTAACGAATGTCTTATAGAAGTTGCAATCCATGGGAAATATTTACAAGATCTTCAAATCGATGCCGTCGATTTTATGATTCGCGCCATTCATCGTCTTTCAAGACGTCGATTGGAAATTCAGAATGATGCGTTACTTGGACCACTCTTAGATGTTATAGTCAAATGCGTTTGTTCACCATTTTTTTTCAATATATTCATGCAAATTACTGAATTAAAAAATCTCAACGAAGCACAAACATTTTTACTTAATACATGCACGGATTATATTGCTTGGTATGAAGGCAATCGTCGTCATGCCATCTATTCTGTTGTTCGTACTGCTCTATTAAAACCGTTTACACAATGGTTCCAAAGTCATGTAGCTACGTTTCAGCAGTGGAATCAATTGATAAACAATGCTATAGACAAACACTGTGCTATTATGTTCGATTTTGGTTTGGAGAATGATGAAATGCTCAGTAGTGATATTCGTGATGATTGTGAAAAGCTTATTGATGGTTTTATTTTCATTCTATCTTCATTATCAAATTCTACGGCTAACACATCGAGCATTGATTTGATAGGCATCTGCATGTTTCATTTATATGCAATGACACTAGAACAGAATCTATTAGATTATATCAAAAGTCGACAATTATCTTCCATTCTATTGAAATTGATCGATATTGGTAATGAAGAAATGCAATTTAATGCTTATCGTATTTTAGCTTCGATTATGACAGAACAAGATATTAAAATGTTAGCCAATCCAAGCAAAATTGCCAATGTTTTTTTCAGATTTCTCGTCGAAGTAATTGATAATCCACGAAAAATTCGACGACTACGAAATCTACTTCGTTGTTTAAAGAGTAAGTCAAGATATCTGTCAATTCGATAGAAAAGATGCAAGCCTGTAGATAAGAATTTTCTAACGGGTAGGCTCGAGTTCTGAAGGGAAAAATTGTAGTACCAAAAAGTCCTTTCCTGACATCAAATTTCATTTTTCGTATTCTTCCATTTGTAAGCGACGAAACAGATATCTTTTCAATTGCGATACAGTTTTCATAGTATCAGAAACATTGTTAATAGTGCAGATTGTCCAAAACAAATGAAAATCCCTTAGTGGATATGACTTGACGTGCCCAACCTTTCAGCTTGGGTGTCGCTCTAATTCATTGCTTAATTCCAATTGCTCTATAACATTTGACGCTTATGCCATCCAGAAAATGTTTGTATCCTGTCTCTTGTGTAGGTTTGGTTCAACATGATCAAATTAAAGAAGAACTGATCAAGGAAGGTATATTACCACAGCTTATTCGATGTGCAACAGAAATCAAATTTGATCCATTGAAAGAACAGCAACCAGCGCTCGAGATCCTTCTCGCTATGACATTCAATAGTGAAGCAGCTGCATTACTCAAACAAAACTCACAATTCATATCTTATCTTAAAACACTTCTAATTTCATCACCTGAGCAAGGCGTAAGGCGAGCTGTCGAAGGTCTTATTTGGAAACTGGAAAAAGAAGATACAGCGACTGCGAACTCGGCTATAAAATCGACGACACAAAGTGCTATAAGTTACAAATATGACATTATGTTGAGTTATTCTCATAGTGACAAGGATTTGTGCTATCGTCTTCATGATCGTCTGAACAATGATCATTTTCGTGTATGGCTCGATCGAGAGCAGATGCATGGATCAACTATGGTTGCGATGGCTGATGCAATTGAAAATTCACAGTTTGTTTTAATCTGCATGTCAGATGCATATAAACAAAGTGTCTACTGTCAATCCGAAGCTCACTATGCTTATGAACGTCGCTGTCATTTAATACCAATTGTAATGAAGCCAAATTATCGGCCAGATGGATGGTTAGGTATCACGGTCAGTGGAAAGATTTATGTTGATTTTCCAAAGCTAGGTTTCGATCAAGCTTATCTTAAATTAAAAAATGAGATCGATCAGCAACGAAAAAATTTCCAGCATTCAACTAAGAATCTAGATCAACTGCGATCTGATCCATCCATAACAGCAACACATTTAACACCAATAGAAATGACATCTAACAATTCAGATGGTCAACGGTCAATCAACATGTGTGTAATGTTTCTCCAAATCGTTTGCTTTGCTGAAACATTTTTATAAGGAGGCAGTTCAAACAGGGATGCATGCTTTGTTTAGAAGCTATAAGAGGCTACGTAGAAATATGTCTTTTGTTCGAGACCATATTTTTTAAAAGATTCATGGGTACTTACAGAGGCGAAGGGCACTCTTCCAAAGCCCAAGAGACTGCTTTTAAAAAAGACAGGTTTATTTTCTTTTTATCGAGAACTTCCAATACATGGTAAAATGTATTTGTCTCTGTAATTAGCTACTAGCCATATAGAGGCTTGTATACTCTATGTTCACAGTTAGAACAGTTCTCTAATTCATATCTATGCTTTAAGGAACTTACCACATTGTATCGACCTGTGGACAAATGAACATGTGGCATCGTTCCTAAACAACAACCATCTGCACAGTCTTCTGCCCGCATTTGCCAATATGAATGGACGTATGCTCCGTCAAGTCTATACAATGTGCAACAAGAATCAGGAGTCAATGTTTGATAAACTAAAGGATGAAATAGCTGCCAATGGTCAACACACACCTCTCACTCTGAGCACATATCTCTGTTTCCTCGATGAAATTCAAAAATACATACCGCTATCGCTTGGCCAAAATTCACCGACATCTCTCATTTGCACTCTCATGTAGATTATCATTGCATTCAACAATAAACATACAATACTGTGTTTAAAAGTCGATGCTCTTGACCAATTTTAATAAAATATGTTTTCAATCGTTTCTCATTATTGTGAAACTTTCTGAAGGTTTGTAGCATTCTCTGGTCAATGGAAAGGCTTCCGTTCTATTCGTTCCTTACATACTGGGAATACAAGGAAGAACATCTCTACAGTTTTATCATTAATTTTACATCGTAGGTTAATTCGAAATTTGATGTCAGGTGAGAAAGGATGTGTGAATGGGTTTACATCGACTAAAATAATACACTCACACTCAAACCACCGTCTAATTGTCACTGAACTGTGGTGAAAAAATACTGAAGAATATCATTGACTAGACTAGCAAAGAAATGAATTAAGGGTAATACTTCACTGGCGATACTTATCAGACAATGCTCTAGAGTATTTTCAGTTGAAATAAATTTTATTAGTATGATTTTCAACTCAACTTAGATAATATTCGATGCCAAGGAAAAATGCAACTATTCATTTCAAACCCCCGCATTGATTGTTTATTACAAATCATTAGACGAATACATGGATTCTATGTGTTTTGAGGGTTTCCAGAAAGCTCTTTTCCGCCGCATATTCTTAGGAAAGAGACCTGTGTAGCGTAATGGACATAATAGGTGAAACTACTTATCATAAATATAATATTAAAATATGAGTCAACTATGAATAGGATAGAAGAAATAATAAAACGAGAAGAAAATGAACAAAGCATGGGCAGTAATGAAGGAACAGATAAGGAGGTTCCGATTATCATAGTGTTGACCCAACAGCATATAGAAGCTGAAAGCGACATTGATTAGTAAGATCATATTGAAAGATAGTCAAATCAAGAAATTACTCATTAAAGAATCATTGATAACTAAGGGTGTGTGTGTGTGGATGTAAATACCAGTGAAAAGAATCCTAGCAACCCACACCTGCACCCGTACCCGCAATCTGCCAAAACAAATCATCGGTTTAATCAATTGTTTATGTTCAGAAATATTCAACACTGATTTTTCCTAGTTTAGCAAATCGTGTCCATCTAATTAGAAGACAGCAGAACTCAATCTATACGCATTGTTAAAAACAAAACTAACAATCTCACATTCATGATTGCAGTTTTTGTATGACTCTTTGTAGAAGTTGTTCTTGATGTTCACTGCTAGTTTTACCATAGAATATGTGATTATTATTATTACTATTATGAGTCAAAAGTGTAAGATCAAAATCGCTTCGAGAAACGTGACAACCAATTTCACTAACTGCCAGCGCAGACCATTCTGTAACGATGCATCCAGATTTTCCATATAACAAAAGGCTTTCGAGGAAATGTTTGAGTATTAAACGATGTACTGGTGAACCAGAACGTCTTTGATAAATTGGATCAACAACGAATGAAAATATATGCATACAATATTTACTACCGAGCCCATCATTCCATGGTCGTATAGCATTGTCAGCTATGTCTGTAAGGTCATTAAATTCCGATTGTTTGGTTTTCAAAAATGCTTCATGGCTGAGTGGTATTGCACACAAATAACCAATAAGACAAGTTTTATCTTTTGCTAACCACCATAAAGAAGGATTACATCGATACCACCGAAGAAGTTTATCAGAAGGGGCAACATGACTTGATTTGTAAACTTTTTTAGCTAAAAATTCAATATCACTCATAGTTTGTTCAGCTTCTGCATAGGGTATTGTATGAGAAATGGCCAATGAAGTTGCTTGAATATATTTATGTTTTGATAAATGATGAATAATAAAACGATTGCTATTTAAGAGCCGTCGTATGAATAAATTTGAAATCATGTTGAATAAAAGTTTTATCTAAAACTTGAATTGTCATCAGATCATAGAAACTAAGATTTGCGGCCGATATGCCAATGATAATGAGAAAATAAACGGAATTGACAATTAGTTTATGGAGATACTGTAATCTCGACACATGAATCAGCATGTAACTGATGGCCTATATTTAACTGCTAGTATTTGAAAAGTCGTTTCTCCAAATTAAATAGGAGACAATTTTGTTTGCGTGCTGCAAATAGAGAAAATTTTCTAGCATTTGTTGATGACTCAATTGAAGTGAACAAGTAAATGATATACTTTTCATTCCACTGCTTCATGCCAATTCTTCTACGTGCCACCAATGATTTATCTACTGTGTGGGTCAGGTGGGCGGCGCCCATCCGAAATTTTGATTCGCCCACCCGAAAATATACAATTGATTTCATAAAAAGCTATATGGCAACAAATGTTTTAGCCAGCAGCCCCTCCAAAAATTTCAACTGCCCACCCAAAAAACGAAACCTAGATAAAGCACTGCGTACCACTTCCTTGTGATTCTGGTCCATATAAAGAAAAGTTAATGCAGCTATTTAGAATGCGCAAAAACAGGCAATTCATATGGAGAACCATTCAATTTTACTATACGTAAAAAGTTAAGAGGGACCTCTCCAGAGTGGATGCATATCAAATTGTAGCTCATAGTGTCATCCATCATATTAATTATCAGCTATGGCCGAATTGCTATAGACATTGCAAATTTGATCGCAATTTTTGGGTATGAGTGTGCATTAATCGAGAATTCATACCTTCACCCACACCCTCATTAAATTAGTATTATGTTATTTACTGTTGTTTTAGAGTAAGTTATTATCTAGCATAGACCGAAAAAAAAATCCTGAAACTTGAAACATTATGAATTCTATTTTAATATTTGTTTCATTTATGTTTTTTGTTTTTTAATCCATTGAAAGTAACTATTCCAAATAGTTAATTGTGAATACTGGTTTGAGACAAATTTTTAAAATCTTTTATCATATTTTACGAACTTAAATACAAATCAAAATATAGTAACGCAAATCTTTTGAAGCAAAAAAATAATCAAACACAACTATTTTAATAATTAAATGAAAACATTTTTGATAAAAAATAGTAGGAAAAAATGTACTGAATGTTCTCTTGAAAAATAGTAAAGCAGGTTTAAAAGATTAATAACAAAAAGATTGCAAGAATAACATAAGTCTGCCGAAACTGAAGTCAGCGATCAGTTCTAGTTTCTTTGAGGATAAGTTGAGCACTTGCTTGTGCTAATTATGAGATATATCGCGCCAAATAGAGTTTAGTTAGCTCTACCGAATGGTATATTCAGATTTTAAAGTCAACATAAAAGTCAGTGAAGTAGAAACAAAAATGATATTTTATATCATAGGCAAAAACTCAAGAAATTCATTGTCTCTTGAATATAACCGACCTAGAATTCGTACAAGTTTCGAATTTGATGTTATTCGAAGAAACCATGAAAAAGAATTCAGGGAGCTGCTCATGGGTCAACTCGTTCTAGTACGCGTGCTAAATCAAAAACTTTTCTGTTCTATCCATTGATCCTCATCCTCAACTGTCATCAAAGCAAAACATATCTTGGCCTAAGTTATATAGAAGGATGTTCTATGGCCAAAACTGATATCTTCAGATACATCTCGATTAATCCTATTGATTGACTTAAAATTTATTGCGACTGGTTGTATTCTATCGGTGGCTGGATCTCCAACATTCGAAAGCTACAACTAATAAATGTGGAAACTTCGGATTTCATCCGAGAGGTATGTGTACTGCAAAAAGTGCACGGGACATATGAGTCATTTTAGAATGTCTGAACACGAAAATTATCATGAGAAACTAGGTAATTTGATTTCTGGATGCAGTTTTTGTGCATTTTGAGACGGTTTTCAGGCGATGTTTCGTTAGAAAGCTACGATTTAGCGCAAAAACTAATATCAGATTCAGAATCAGCGTTAAAAACTGAGTCGATTTATGTATGTTGTGAATAATTCTGAGAAAAAAAGTTTTTTTTGAAAAATCCTTGTACCCCTCCTCAGGGATGGTCTGATCAAAAATGACAATTTTTTCGATAACTCAGCCATTTCTTGACGGATCCTTCTCATCTTCGAACTCGACCTAGATATTGATGAGACAATTCTGTGCACAAAATTTCAGCTCAATCGAATGTAATTGTGAAGAGTTATCGAATAAACGGCCGGACACACTGACCGATTCTATAGTGTACTCTTTTTGTTTTTTTGAGTACACAAAATAACAACAATAATCACTTCACATATTCACTCTACAATGTTGTGTCAGTAATGAAAAGTAATCGGTTAATATGATTCAATACAACGAATCATACCAATTTGAAAGACTCAATAGGAAACAAAACAAAAAGAAGACAATCAATATATTCTTACTGACTTCATCAATTGTATGTGATCTTGCTCCAAACACAAAATCATCGAATTCAGATCCATCTTCAAGTATTAATGTTTCACGTTTCATCTTGAGAAAAAAAATAAAGAAATGCAGCTCATTATTTATAAAAAAAAGCAATATTAGTTATACTGATATAAAAGAAAAACAACAATAACTACTGTGATGGCAGAATTACAACCAAAATAACACCAACATTTCATACCCTAAACAAATGAATCGATTATAATGTGATCATTTCCTTCTTGTTCTACGGGTAGCTGGTATTAATCAAATCTGAATGTGTAACATTAATGTATATTTGACGAAAAACGATCTTCTGTTGGCAAGTCAATTTTACTATTGACCTCAGTCACTCTTTACTAGCTAATTTCTAACTATCTGACGGATATTAATACAGATTAATGATTTGTATTCTATATTTGTTAAAATAAAACTATAATTTAGGCGCTTTCAAAAGACCAAAAGTATATATAATTATTATTATAGTGCTGATCACGAACAAAGATTAAAAGAAATGTTTCTGGTGAAATAAACAGTATGGATGTTGCGCCGACTATAGCAGTACATCGGAAGAGATTCATGAACGGACACAAATTCTTGTAGTTGCCAATAGTTTCAATAGATAGTTAAACGAATCGAATATAACATTGAAACTCATATCTTGCTCACATGTTAAACAAGTATCATCTGCGTGCCCTTTTACACCATGTTAGCTATTCGTGTCCGTTTCATTCGTTTGCAATGTGTTCCTCTTTCTTTTTCTTCTTTTCGTTCTCGCACCGTTATCAAAAAGCACACTCTATCACGCACATCTATAAGATAAAGTGTAGAGAAAAAGGCTCTATATTGTTTTATGTTTGAGCCCCTGGCAAACAAGATGCACTCTTATCAATAGCACATCAATACCTGTTGAAACCATCTTTCGGAGCTTCTTATTCTTTTTGTATATAACATGTCAAACAAAAAACTGCTCCATATGTCACTAGACAATGGTGTCACTCTTGCTTATCGACTTTCTCATCCTATCGACAAATCATTACCAACTCTCGTCATGTTTCACGCATTCCTGATGGATTCGCGGTTCTACGACCGTCAATTTAAGGACTTTCGATATTCGGCCTATAATCTAATAGCAATCGATGCACATGGTCACGGAGAAACAACAGGCCGGGAAGATGACTTCACCTTTTGTAATACTGCCTCGGATTCACTACAGCTTCTCACTAAACTTGATCTTGATCAATTTTATGTACTCGGTACTACACAAGGAGGCTTCATAGCCTTACAAATGGCTTTACTCGAACCTGAACGAATCAAAGGGTTAATATTACTCGGAACTACGGTCTTCGGGGCGACTAAGCAAGATGAAATGAATGCCAGAAGGTCCCGTGATAAATGGTGCGAAACCGAAATTCCTTCGGACGAGGCAATACTTGCTAGATCAGCATCCTTCGGCGGCCCTACAAATGTAGACGAAAAAGTCTACGAATCAATTAAACAGATGTGGATTAAACGACATGCTGGTTCCAAAGGCTATGATCCGGCGCTTAACTGTCTCCTTAACCGTGATGCAATCGATGATAAACTTGATCAAATTAACGTGCCAACATTGGTGCTGCATGGAGCAAATGATCATATCTTTTCAATCAAAGATGCAAAAGATTGGAGTTCAAAACTACCTAAACTATGGAAATTCGAGATCGTAGAAAAAGGCGTTCACCATCTTTCGTTAACAGAGCCTGGAGCCGAAGTCGCTGCTCAATTAATTCCAAAATTCATTGAAGAAACATTATAAAAGTCTATAATCTATAATAAAAAGAAGTCTTATTTAACTAACGTGTGCACTACTAATATTCAATCCCTAGGGTGTGGATGTGTAGTGTTGGCATCATGTTTTCCACACCTGTGCCCTCATCTGATATCTTTATAATCTAGAGACACAGAATTTTTAATCAATAAAACATTAATCAAGCCATCAAATTCTCCGACTGTAAATCAAAAAAAGCATCGAATTTTTTCTTCTATGTATTTTATTCACGTATATTGTTATTCAAGCAACATAAAATCATGCAAAAAGATAACACTAGGACGAATGAATATAAAAAAAAGAAAAAAGGGTCCACCAGGAAGTAATATTAAATAGTTAAATGATAATTTGTGCCTAAAACTAAGATCAATCTCTCCAGTACTCTCCATAATTGTTAGCATAGTAAATGGTGAAAATTTTTAATTTGATATGTAGTGCATTGTAAAGAAGTCATTTTGAATCCAAAAGAATTTGTTGACTGCCAATATAGCTGCTATCTTTGTACCTTCGTCCAAACCGAGATCACTAGTTAAAAGAGCATTAAGCAGGACATGTTGAGCAAAGCCAAGTGTTGCATTCATGAATATATAGCTGATATTCACATTACCAGATGCGGCTTTGTTTGCATGTATTTTTCCAAGATGTGACAAATAATCGAGAAATTCCTTGTTCCATTCACTTTGTGACAAAGCTTTCTTTAAATACGTGCCCAACATATCTTTGAGAAAGGTAACGCGTTCAGGAGTTAAATCAAGACTACCTGGAGTTGTCGTAGTATTTCCTTTAAAATGCACTGTGTTATTGGCAAAAATGCTCTTGGTAATATCAAATGAAAACAAATTGCCATAAATTGCGTCCACTACTGTTGGTACAAGAGGTACAACAACTGGTGCGATTTTATTCAGTACACTGATGTCATCCTTAGTGAAATTGAGAAATTTCGATAGATACGCGAATCGATATTGAATATCGGTGTCCAGTTGTGCAGCATTAATGTTTTCCATGATGAATTCTGTTGTTTATAACAACGTTTTTTCAGGATAAAATAATGAAACGTTTCTGAAATAATGCTTAAGAACTTAGAAGCAATTACTCCTTGACAAGCGTAAAATAAAATGTTGCTGAAAATAAAGTTATTCTCTACTAATGAAATGAAAAAGAAAGGAAACCCTCCTATCATCCAACAACATTTGAATATTTTATCAATCGATACACTGAAGAGTATTGTATTCGCATGTACGTACACTTCTAGAGTAGATACCTAACTCGAGCTCAAGATATACATGTAGACTAGTGTTTACAGAAAAAATAGGCACGAGGAGTTCATGTAACAGATATAGTTATCCTATGACTATGGTAGCGCGATACAAAATAATCGAATTACAATTGGTATAGTATCTGAGAATGAAGGTGCATGCGTTTTCTCAGTTACATCAGCTAGATATGCTCGTGTTAAATGAAAGATTTTCCTAACAAGCTATTTAGAATGCAACAAATTTCACATCTTACGTATCCTAGATAGTCTTTCAGTGCAGGCTTTGATTTGACACGCATTTCTCTAATCGATTTAAATGAGATGAGACTTTTATTGAGCTCTGAAATACAATTTCTGTTCGAGAACAAATTTTATGGGAATGCAAGAGAACGTAGCTGTAAATAATTCACAGCAACTACATCCAATGAAACTCTATGATGTGTATGAAACTGCCTGAGATGTGTCAAAGCTTGAAACTTATGTCAAAGTAATTATATCTCATTCTGCGTAAAGAGACTTCTACATATGCATCCAGACATTCAGTTATAAATGTTGTACGCAATCATACATATACTTCAAGGGCTGCATTAGATCCGTTAATATTGTTGTTTCTGTAAGTTTCTTCAGTACGTATCGGTTAGATTCAGCTTTATGGATTATGATGCATTGTAATATATGATATATTCATATGCGTCTCATGCAATCCGATAAACTTCGTGGAACTAGATGCTGCTGCTACTTATTGTACTTGTAAAACGCTTCTTGTTATAGTAATCTGTGTTATTCGAAAAATCCACAGGAAGACATATGGTACATTTACAAAAAAAAGTGACGACAAAAATCGGATAATCATAGTCTTCCTTCAGACACAAAAGGTAGTAATGTTGCACAAAAGCATCTTCTCTAGTCAGAGTACATCACTGTCTCATTTATAATTTGAATTCAAATCAAAATACTTCATTCTGAAGTGTGGATCATCTTTTCTGGATTCTCATGATGTTAAGACTTACTATATTAAATAGATATGGGCAATGCCTGCATATCACCGTGTCTAGAGCTCCTTTTAATAATGTACTTACACGACTGTTAAAAGTATACATACTGTATAACGATTAGTAGTGTGAGAAATTATAAACTTGGGCAGAGTGGTTCTATTCTCTTCTGTACAATCATTCCTTGTCTCTCTATCATACAAAACATACCATTTTATAGTCAAACAAGAGAGAGAAAGAGAAAAGATTCGATGAAAAAGATAAAGCTAGAAAAAAAATACAATTACTAAGACGCAGTAGATAAAGTGAGTTCGAAATATTGAGAGAAGAAATAATTGATAACATATATGATTACGAGAGAATAAAAGAACAGGCATATCACGATAAGAAACAGTACGAAAAGTGCAGCGAGATATCTATAGAAATAGGAGAAGTTCATGGAGTAACATCCTCTATGAATGTATGATGCACTGATTTTAGAACATTACAAAGTGAAACAGAAAACGACCATTTTTCTTAATCAGTGCTTAATTCTTCATGTCAATTCATCGTTGTTTCTGCTACAAAAAATTGATTCATTAACAATTAATATTGTTGACTAATTGAACAATTAATAACATTGGTATGAACCGTAATGTAGTGTGCTTTATATATATAGGCCATGAGTAAATTGCATGCTCAGTATACTGTTGTTTCTAGATTTGTCTCAAAAAACGTTTACAGTGTTAATCAGCACATATTGTGTAAAACAGTTGTTCTGTAATTATCTTGCATTTCCCTGCAAGATTCTATATCTTTTTACATTGCTTTCTTTCAAAATTAGAAATTTCAAAAATAGAAATATGTGCGAATGTTAACTGTATTAAAAAATATTCTTCTTTTTTTTTGTCTTATCTCTCTTCAGCTATTACAAATTTGATGATAAACATTCGATCCACCTTGAAGTTTGGACTTTGCTTAGCATTAAGATAGTGAATCGATTAAAATAGAATCTATAAAGAAAAAATAAATGAAAAAAAGACAATATTTATTCAAAACCAAATTAACAAAATATAATTCCCTTGGAAAAATTAATAAGTAATACCTCCAAATCAAGGTTGGTCTATATACTCTTTGTTGGTATAGGATTGCCAATAACCCGAGATATGCATTTGCGTAGATGTGCTATACGAATTCAATTAATCGAGTCACATCTATATACTTTGTGTTTCGAGCAACGCATGTTTTATTTGCCATTGAAACTTCGTTATCATCGTGCTTTGAATAACCAAATATAGAGACTCAGACAATCTGCACCAAGCATACTGTGATTAGGCGTGCCAATTTACAGTTTATTTAATTAAAATTTAACTTCGTGAAAAGTTAATTTAATTTAAAATTAATTAAAATTTTTCTCATACAAAAATTATAATTTGAATTAAATTTAAATTTAAAATAAAATAAATTGTTTGGATGGATACTCATCATTGCTACGAGAGAAATACGTGATTTTAACAGTAGTAAATACTAAATGAGAGGAAAACCTAGTATTTTAGGTTAATATTTGTTCATAATAGCCAAAATTTCTCTACAGATTTTGCAGGATCCGTCATCTTTCTTCTTCAAAATGCCGCGATACTCATAAAAATATATTTAATAGCACAATTCGTAGAAGAATGACTACTCTGAAAAAAATAAAGGAGGTTTACAGAACCCTCCGAAAAGGTTCTGTAGATTTTCAAAATGCTCCAAATGTGTTCAAAGTCTCAAAAAAAGGATAAAAAATTTGACAGAACCTTTTTGTGACGGATTCCATCCATCACG